ACAAAACTTATAAAACTAAATATGTATACTAAATATTAAATAATAAATAAATAAATACGTGCAAAATAAAATTAAAAATTATTAATTAAGAATTTACAAAATAGCTTAGATTCCTGATCAAATTCTTAAACGCAGTTTTATTAATATTAAATATGTTGAACCTCTGGTCCTCTGCGAGTGTGTTGGCTGTGTTCATCATTCGTCTAATTGGATGGTTTTGCGATCTTTTTGTTATCGACAAAGGAATTCTGAAAATCTGTTGACTGCGAGTCAATCTGCTATCAGCAGGCAATACAATGAAAGATAGTTTTTCTAGTAAGCAGGCATTGTCTATTTCACCATTAATAAGTCTTCGAAGAAATGAAATATCGGAAATTATGCGATGAGTTTCGAGTGAATTAATATGAAAATTACACATTATCCAAGTGTAATTACCCTGTATATGAGTTCGACCAAGCTTAAACTCTAATAAGCGAAGGAATTTTTTCTGTACTCTTTCCAATAAATCACAATCTGTTTTATAATTAGGATACCATATGGAAGAACAATAAACTAGGTGAGATCGAACAAGAGAGAAGTATAATATTTTAAGGGTCGAAATCGAAAAATGTTGACAATGCCTCCAAATGAGCCCAAGAGTCCGTATTGATTTATTAAAAATAAAATAATAATGATTCTTAAATGTTAATCTAGAATCGAAAACCACACCTAAATCTTTGACTTCCTCAACACGAGACAAGATAGAATTACCCAAATAATAGTCAAAGTTCACCCTCAGTTTGATATTAAGAAATGATATAATAAGACACTTGTTAACATTCAAAGGCAATAAGTTGTTTTCTGTCCAATCGTATAATATATTAAGATCTGATTGTAATTCAAGTGCATCTTTCACGGAACTAACAGTTTTAAATACCTTCAAATCGTCCGCATACAACAGAAAATTGGAGTAACGAAAGCCACGCATTAAATCGTTAATGAACAGTAAAAACAAAATTGGTCCACAGTGCGACCCTTGAGGTACGCCTGATGAAACCAAATAAGGAGACGACATGTAACTACCAATCCTAACTTGCTGTGATCTTTCCGACAGGAATGATGTTAACCATTTAACGGTATTATTGTTAAACCCTAAGTGACGCAATTTACAGAATAATAACCTATGATTTACCTTATCAAAGGCTTTTGAAAAATCAGTATACACGGAATCCACTTGTAGTTTTTTATCAAAAGCTTCATTTAAATAACAATAATATTCCATTAAATTGGTACAAGTAGATCTTTGTTTGCGGAAACCATGTTGTTTGATGGAGATGATAGAAGAAGAAATCCATTCCAATTGTTTGGCTACAATGGAATCAAATATTTTAGGAATGGTAGACTGATTGCAAACACCTCTGTAATTGTCGATCTTATTACGATCCCCAGATTTAAAAATAGGTGTAACGTAACTATTTTTCCAGGCCTTAGGAAATTTACCCTGAGACAAAGACACTTTGAAAAGTTCACACAAGGGCATTGTAATTGTGTAAATGCAGTTCTTCAGCAGAACGTTTGGAATGCCATCAGCTCCAGGATGGAAAGAATGTTTAAGACGAGCGATATTTTCAAAAACTTCTGATAACTCAACTTTCAGTCCAGAATCAGCTACTTCATTTATACCATCAAATTCTTGATCAAAATCATTGTTGGCGTCTTCTACGTAAACCGAGGAAAAAAACTCCGCAAACAAATTGGAAATTTCAGTGCCAGTTTTGGCAAACTTCTGGAAATATTGCATTTCACAAGGAATACCACTACTTTTTTTCCTATCATTAATGAATTTCCAGAAGAACTGTGGATTATTTGTAATGCTGTCGCTGACTTTAGAAAGGTAGGAATTATACAGATTTTCGTTAAGTTCTTTACATTGGGTCCTTAAGATTTTAAAATATTCATAGTCATCATATCTGCCAGATTTCTTATAGACTGAATGGGCAATTTTCTTAAGGCGACACAAATCTTTTAACTCTTTATTAAACCATCGGGGATAAGTTGATGAAAAATAATGTACCCTTTTCTTAGGAATATATGTGTCCATTCCAAAAAAAACAACATTATAAAAAGCAGTAACCATATCATCTAATTCAAGACCAGAAAAAAGATTGACCCAATTAATAGAGGCTAAAAAGTAATTTAACTGTTGAAAATCACCGTTAGCAAAATCAAATACATTAGCTTGTGAAGATAATTTTTTTGAAGACGAAACATAAAAAATGGACCACGAATAAGGAATATGATGACAACTTTCAGCAAAAATAGGATCGACTGCGGATGAAACTTGCAAATCAAGAATGTTCGTAAAAACGAGATCTAAAAACACGTTTCGATTATTTGGAATATTGTTTACTTGATTTAGGTTTAAAAATGAATAAGTGTTATTAATCACATCAAAATAATCCCTCGAAGAACCCATTAATTCAGTATTGGTACAACTGTTATTATTCCAGATAAGTTGTGGAAGATTGAAATCACCGGCTATAACATATGCAAAATCAGGAAATTGATTAAATATAGATTCTAAATCGGCCACGTGGTTCCGATAAATGTTAATATCAGATGTAGGGGGAATGTAAACTCCTCCAACAATTAAATTTAAATCGTTAACCTGTATCTTAATAAATACACTCTCAACGTTATAACCAGAAAAAACACACGATGAATTAAAAAGTTTATTAACCGCTACCAGTACACCACCTCCCCGAGATTTCCCACTAGTGTTAATAGTGCGATCAGCACGGTAAATATTGTAATTACTTAGCAATAATTCTTCATTACGTATTTTGTCACATAACCAGGTTTCCGTGATAATAATAATATCATAAACACAAGAATTAACCTTTAAAGAGAAATCTTGAAGTCTAGTCCGTATGCCACCCATATTTTGAAAATAAAAATTGATTACTTTTTTGAAGTAGTTCCCCTAACTTTTTTCTTTTCAATACATGGAGTGTTATTTTTGTACTTCAAAGTTATATCGGTTTCGCCATTTGCAACTCTGTTATTAAATTCTTTTCTAATACGGTTATTATACTGGCGCTGCATTAACGTTAAATCCGGTTTAAAATGATGATCACGGTTATTATTTAATTTATTGGATTTTAGTATATTGTTGGCCGTGATTTCGGAGTCATATATAATTTTAAGGGGTCTGTTTGTATCAGTTTTTTTTACACCGAGTCTAATAATTTTGTTGGGCTGAGGATAAGTTCCTAAAGGAGACAGAATGTTCAGAACTTGACTGAGATCTTCAGCAACTTTATGAGCTATATCAGTGGCAGATGATTCGGGTATGTTGAATAGCATTACATTACATGATCGTTGTTTCCGTTCTTCGATTTCAGATACGACATCATTAAGCTTAAGATCAAAGCTAGCAGAGGACTTTTTGAAATCGTCCCATTCTTCTTGAATAACCTTAACGTTATTCTCTACAGTTGAAATGCGATCATTTAAGCGTTTGAAGTGATCATCCATTGATTGTTGTAACTGATTTTTTAACAACTCTAGCTGTTTAGCAACTATTCCCTCTATAATTGCAGCTGTCACGGGAGGGTCATTACTAGTACGTGTACAGTTGTTACACATCCAAGGAGACTTATTGCCAATAATTGCAGAAATTTCACCTTCGGTTAGGTTTAAACATTTTGTATGGCAATATTTTTTGCATAAACCGCCACATTTAACTGAAGGAGTGGTAGGAGTGATTGCATTATCACATACAAGGCAGAAATTCGTCATACTTATTACTGGGATACAATGCTTCACACCGACGGGGTCTTTCGTGGTGACTGACAAGCAAACATACAAGGTAGACCACGGTAAGGTTGAACACTAGGTAGGTACAAAGGAATGAAACTACCGTCCAAAATGTAGAATGGACAAAACTAATTGAAATAGAGAAGTTGGGAATTAATGTTTTATAGTTATCGAACAAAAACACTATCGTGATTACGGTAGCCTTGCTAATTACCGGCGAATTAATAAAGACTGATTGCAATAGCAGTCTCAATCATAAGGCGATATTATTGAAATTTATCACTAGCTTAGCTTACCCAATACGACAACACCAAGCCAAAATTCAAAAAATTAACACCAGAAAAAACTAGAGAAATGAACCTAAATTACAGGAGCACAAGCTAAAACACTTGCACGATGAAAAACTTATCTGAATACGTAATTCGGCTGTGGAACTAATCTCGATGAATTAACAAGATGAAACAAAGAACCTATTTTACATGGAGCGAGCGGCCGAAGCCTAGCTTTTTGGCGAACGTTTCTGTTATTAACGAGGTTTTATAATTTCAAATGTAGTCGTCCCTATATCTCTGCGCTCCCTTTTTTGTTTTCTTTCAATTATTCCCCATGTTTGTAGACATCTTGAACCGAGGCGTGTTTTTGCAAAAACTCGAAAATAGCTCCGAGCCACTTCACAATTAGCATCGCGTCAATAAATTTGGCGAAAACAGTGTTGAAGCCCGATAAATGTTTCTCTTCGATTCATTAACAATCGGTTTGATTTACTTTTATGGGCCCAAATCGGATTACTTCCGCAGAATCCAAACAGGAAAATTAAAAATAAATCGATTCTACGACTTTAATCTCACATTTCCGACCGGATCCGTCAATAATGCGGGGGCATCCTTGGTCTTCTAAAACAGTGATAACTGCCAGACTCAGTTCCAGCTCTTGTATTACTACTTGTATCCAACTTGCAAACTGTTATTAATATTCTTGATTGTCTAATTATTCCTCATTATGCTGTCTCTGCTTATTTTACCATAGATATGCAAATACGTCTTATCTAGGAAATTGTCGGCACTTGCCATAAGGTACACACAAACAGAAGCGCGAGATAATGCTGAAAGGGCGAAACGCTCTCTAATTGATTGGGGAAAAATTCGAGTGCTTGATTCAATTTGAAATGGCTTTGTTGTAAAATAGATGTGTTATTGTTCCAGACCGGCAAGCACTTCCATCGCACCTCGCTTCTCATCAAAGCCTTCAACCACAAGTTTCGCCTGGATCTTGAGCTTAACACGTAAGTAAAACAAATTAATTTCGGTACTGTCGTCACCTTTTCGACGCAGAGACGAAACGCGGAAACGAGTTGATGATGCTTCAACAAAGAACTACCCTTATAATGCGGTAACAATAATTCTTACGGCTAACGAACTAATTTACTACACCTTCTGTGATCCTCGCCAAAATTTCGCTACTCTTACCTTATATGCGAAATATGGGGATGCGTTTTTTTGTTTTGTTTGTGTTCGTTGTCCGATTTCTTCGACGTTTGGATTTTCTTTTTTTAATCTTCCGATGGAGACTAGTGAATGTGGAATATCTTGAAGATCTTCTCCTTAACCTACTTCAACGGGTCGTAATAAAAGCACGTTAGATTACTAGCGTGACTTTATTAGTAATAACGACGTGATTTCATCTTGGCAGTTCGTAGTTCATAGAGTTTACTGCATTCAGCATAGTCCCAAAAATTAACGGTTTCCTGACGTAACCTGAATCGATGCTCTTCGCACAGACGAGAAGTCATTCTAAGATGACTGTAATTTCGCAAAGAGGTTTCTTTACGAATAGCGAGTTACCTTAAAATATAGATACTTTTGGCATTACGGCTTAAGGAAGCCGTAATAAAGTCTAGGGGGGCCGTTCCTTTGTCTAGCACGTACCACGGCGACAGCAACTTTCGTCGTCTTGGCAATCCTCTTGGCCAGTCTGGCGTTCGAAAAAGCGCCGATTTTGCACCTGTCCGATGGCAAAGGGCGTCCGTTGTTTTCGCCGTCGGGTTTTCAATTTCAGTCACGTCGAATATGATATACAAGCCATTGTACGCGACGCCGGCGAGCCTGTATTCCGTTCAAAGGAAGTGTAAAACTGGAGAGTGTTTTCACACAAGCAATATCATGTTTTGGAAGGGTCTCTTTCGTCGACGTTCGTGCTTTTATTAATAATTTTCAACAATAATAAATTTTCGGAGCGTTTGAAGTGCTCTGTCAGTGTCCAGTTTTTGAAGGAAAAGTCCGTGAAAAATGACCGCTTCGGACGGTGTGAGTTATTTCGTTTTGCAACGCTAACGATTCACGAGTTTTCTTCGCGTGTGTTAGTGTCTGCTTGATGCACGATGAGATAATGCCAGCAGAGAAACCGTAAACTTGACCGAAAAATATCAATGGGAATATCGTATGTCGCAAAGGAGAACTTTTATGGCTAAACCTTGCAAACTATCGTAAAAAGCGAACGTTATTGATGAGACATGACGACAAATTTGTCACTGGACGGAGGTCCGATTTTTACTGTTTTAGTATGGCAGCTTCGTTGGAGGAACGTGGCCGGAAATTATTTCTTTGCAAATGCTCTCGAAACGTCAATCGGGAAATTAAGTTTCCATCAAAACCACGCTCTGGACCTGTTGTTTCGCGTCGAGCGAATGTGCAACCAACCTAGCCTTCGAACTAGCGTCGACCTCTCTTATTTATATAGCCAGAGCATGAACGTTCAACTATTACAAAAGTCATGTACGGACAAATTGATTTAATTCAAACTTTATCACGTCCACCGCAATTTAGCCGTAAAAGAGATCCATTCATCGATTTCTTATGAAAAAAAAAATGACGATTCTCACAAAAGGTGACAGTATTATTGTATTATTTCGATATTTAAGTTTAGTATACGGCACTCCAAAACTTTTAGCAGTAGTACTTATTATGGATGAGCTTAGTTGTAATTTCGTAATACTGAGCTTCGTATGCTTTAAATATGAAATGTAATTTTTATCCCACGTCACAACCTCTTGTCTAAATTAGAAGGGATTTTTATTCCGTCGGTCTGCGTCACGTTAATCCGGTCCTGGCCTTATCCAGTCGCATGTCCGATTAATTAAAAGTTTCCGGCTTGGAAAGAAAATAACTCACGGCGGAGGGCAAAGGTGACGGGGGTTAAATCAAGTGTCGCATATTAATGCCGCGTTAAGCCTGCTCCTCACGTAAATTTATATAAATTCGGTGGTAAGAGCGGGTTTTTCTCCCTCTCTCCGAGGCAAATCTCTTTTCGCCTCCATCAAGCGCTAACGAAATTAGAGAACAGCTAATGGCCGGCACGCACTGGCCGCTATAAAAGTGTCATCGCGTTCCGATTAAAGCCCGACGATAATGAATTCTGGAAAGTCATCCGACGACGTTCGGTTCGTTCGGCTGGAAGAAACTTATTCGCAGCTGTGTTGTACACTCTTTTTTCTGTTCCATTTCGGGGCGGTCTGTATAAGTGTTGCCCGGAGGGTCGACAGGATAAAAAAGGATCACACAAACACAGTGCCGAGGTTAAGAAGGCTCTTCTGGACAGTGATTGATAGTTGGCTTTCCTTTCCGTTTCCTGTATAATATAGGGAAACCTCACGTACACGCCCGGAACATTTCTGCACTTTTCAATTTGTGTTGGAGAGTTTTCGGTTAGGAGCGCACGCGCCCGCGTTCCTCCAGACTAAAAATAAATCTCACCTAGCGGAATCACGGCGCCAGATGGGACCCGAATTACTTATTTATTATTATTTTTTCTCTCCTCTCGGCGCTGCGTAAATCGACAAACAAATTCGATACATAAATAAAGTTGTTGGAAGTTTTTCAACTCGATTGAACGAACGAAGAGGGAAACTTTGTCTGGAACATTACGGAAATCGGCTTATTCACACCGAAGATTTTACACCGCGGCTCATAAAACAAGTTATGTCACTTTTCTCCTCGGGACTAAAGTGACGGCTGAACCGCCGACGAAATCCCCGACAATCGCAACGGTCGGCAGGGATTTTAAAAATGCAACGAAAAAATTGGCAAATGAAAAGACTGCGACGGGTTTATGGCCCGGAATCCCGGCGCCTCCGCCATTTTTATAAAACGGCATCGAGAGAAGGCGACGCTTAAGCGGGATAAACAAACAAACCGAAAAATTGACACGTTCTATTGTTTTATTCGTCGGAAGACGGCAAGGGCCCAAAGGAGTGATTAGGCGCTATATAGACGCCAACGGAAAACGATTTTTTTCTAGCGACGTAGACGGAAACGTCAATTACTAAATCGCACTGTACACATTCGTAAATCACCACTATATCCTGTTCATTTACAAGGTAAGCAATGCAGTTCCGCTAACTTTACACAAGCTTGACTTTGTTGACGTAGATTACAACACTGCTATTCTTTTAAGAAGATGCACTGACAGGATTATCTCGGTCACAGCTGCCTTTTCTAGCCAAGTAGGACACGAACATGTCCTCTGGCTTTCTTTTCGAGCGACAAATCACTGTTTATCACATTCCCTGTTTTTGTTATCTTAGGATCGTGACGTCATAATTTTAGGAATACATCTTGCGAGGTTGCGAGAGAGGGTCATTGCCGCCAGTTCTACGCGATTTACCTTCGCAAATTCCCAGAACGCTCTGCATGGCGACAGGAATATGATATAAAAAATTCCTGCCTCGGTTCCCCCAATTTCGTCGCTTATTAGGCGACCTAAAACCGTTCGATTTTCGCCACTAAACCCCGGTTCCATTCTTTATCATCTCCTGTTAGTATTTCCCCTCAGCACTCGTGATTTCCGATGCGGCATCACAATTTATTGATAGAGCCGAGACAAAAGGGACGTCGGAACGATGCGAATAGATCAAGGTTTGTTGCGTGAGGACGGACGGCAATCCCATAAAAACAAAAATAAACCCTATTTCCTATTCCCGGTTAATGAAGGGGACGTCGACGCAGTCCGTCGAAATGTCGTTATTTATACGATATCGTAATGATCCGCCACGAAATCGTGTGTTGCCGCTCATTGATTGACAAATAATTGATACGAAACCCCGTGGCCATAATAGATAGATATGAACGTGATTATCCGCATTACTGGGGCAATTTAGGGAGGGCTATTTACGAGATCGGTTCGGCATTAGTGCGTCGACCTAAAAACGGGCAAAGCGTGACATTTCCCGGCAAAAAAATAAGGCCGTTAAGCGTTCGAATGGGTTAGATCTGAGAGGGGCAAAAACGGTATAATTTTCATACATTAGTTCTAATGGACTTTTATGATCCCGGAGCTAATTAATCGTCGACGTTAGAGAATAAAACTAGAGAAATGGAGCGGTTCCAGTTTTTTTTTTAATAATTGACAAACTTCCGGGGTCGAAAGCTCGCCTTCTGATTAATTAATTGGTAGATTGTAAATACGTTCTGATAAATTAGGATGGCAACAGATTAATTTGTTTGCATCGTCCGAAAAAGAGGCGGAAAATCAGACAGTTCGTTAGCCGTAACGGAATTTATTCGTACAAATTAACTTAGGGAACACTCAAAAAATTACGTTCTCGATTAATTTGTTTGTCGTTTATACTAACACGATGAACTGATGCGCTTAAAACGCAGCGTTTGCATTTTTTTTTAATTGATTAACTTATTTACAGGCAACTCATCGCGCCCAACATCATGCAGAAACATTTCCTAGCCAATGGAGCCGAACAGGTTTCGAAGCAGGTCAGTACAAATCGTTCGCCATTATCGAATTTGAATATAATTTTATGCACCACATACGAATTCAGTCATATAACCATTCAGAACTTAATTTCTCTTCGCGATTCGTACGCTCTCGCACCAAATAATAGCAGTTACTACTCTCTTAACTCATTTTTCCAAACACACTTCGATATTTTCCAGTTTTCCGGTGCCGCGAACCTATTTTGTTGTCATCAGTACGTTGGATTGAAACGTATTGCTGGAAACATATTAAAGCTGCACTCTTTATATAATAAGAATAAATTGTCTCAACCACCAAAGACGAACTATGAAATTTGTCGCGTGCATGAAGCAATAAACCGTCGTCGTGCCACATTAACTTAATAAAAATCTATTGTCGTACTCTTCGTATTATAAGTTTCGGAATTCGTCACTCGACGTCGCAGTCGGTGAGTCTTCATTCAGGCGTCGACCCTCCAACACCGTAATGCTTAGTTTTTCGATTTAATGTCGTTGATGGTAGAATTCCGACGCCTATTGATATTTACCACATCGTAACCGCTTTTTGTATTTGCCTGCTAAATTACCCGTCCGAAATGTCAAAACGTCCGTTTAATTTCTAGTAATATTTTAACGGCGACATTTGAATCCTCGAAAGCCGTTTTTTATTAGTAGTCGTAAAAGTGGGTCTGTCTGCGTGCGTTCCCAGCGTTTCCTTAACGAACTGTTCGCTCTCACCTTCGTGTCAAAATTCCACCCCATCATATAAAATTTAATTAAACCGAATCACAGCGAAAGGAACACTCTGTCACAATCTGGGAGAACTGATCTCGTTAAACTCGAATTAAATAGTTCGTGTTTGAGGAGAAGCACTAAATCGCACGTCTTATTCGAGCAAGCGGGCGATTTCTGAAGAACAAAAAAATATTTGCGAGGAGTAAAACAATAGTTGCAACCGGGGGATGGAAGGGACGCAGAAACGAGAGCCCACATAAAAGAGCCAACCTGGAATTATCGTGGGTGTTGTTGGTTATCGCCTGTTTCGGTCCCTAGCGACCATCACCTCCATGACGACCGGCAAAAACCACAATAATTTTCAGCATCCATTTCGATTCTATAAATAACATAAAACAGCGCAGGTCTCTGAACTTGGAAATAACGCGCGTATCGCCGAAAATGCCCATTCCAGACACACACCGCCGATGAAATATTAATCCGATCTTGCCACAAATGTAGACAAGTGTGAAATTAAAAGATCGGCTCGAATTTTTAATCCGTGTACGTCAGAAAGCGTGTTTGTGTTTTTCTCTGTGCGGAAGTCGGTGTCAAGTTTGGAGTATTTTAATGAAAACTCTTCCCTTTGAGAGAGAGTTAATTACAATTTATGCAATAGCGACCCCTGTAAACTTATCTCTTCAATATTATGCCGAAGCTTTATTATTAAAGGGAAACCTCACCGCCTGTATTAATTGTCTCGATTATTAAATATATTTTAAGGAAAATTGATTTCGCTCGAATTAATCTGAAATTTCAGGCAGTTTCGTCGTAATCGCAAACTTTCGACACGGCCGTCATCACTTCTCGTCGCCACACAAAAAAGCGAAATCGTGGATTAATTAACTTTCGCGCCTTAATTGGACGTGATAGTTTCAAGGACGCGCCGGATTTTCCCTAATAAATATCATTTTAATCCCTAATGGGGAGATAATTAAGGCTTTTCATTGCTCCAATCTTATCAGCCGAGACTCACAAAGGGATTAATTTTTGCTTGATGTGTTATTTCGTCCGACACAAAACGAACACAAACGTAAATTCGAGCCGTAATGAACTGTTTCTTTCACGTAATTGCTTCATTTATAATAATAAACAAATTAAAAGATAAGGGCTTTGTTTACGTTGCGGCTCGGATGTCGACAACGTTGTTCGAATTTGTTACGAAGGATTTGATGGTTTCTGCGAGGGAACAAAACGTTCCGTTTTCAAAATTTAATCGGATGAATTTTAATCAAAATTAAAATGCTGTGCGAGGTGACCTCGGATCTAAAAAAGCAAATCATGACAGGAGGACGACCATTGTGTTGGCATAACGAACTTGAGATAATCGCGCCGTCATTAAAGAAATGGCGGTACTTGAGCGGTGTATTAAATTAACTATACTTCAAAGTTTATGTCTAAATGTAGTAGGTACTCGTCGAAAACATCACGACCACTGTAAAAATGTCAAGGAGATCCTCTGTCGAATGGTGCGGACTGAATTACTCCACTTGTCTTTCGACTGTGTTAAAGATAGTACGCAATCGAGCCACCTTTGGACTTGAAGCTTTGTTTTTGTCGCGTTAAGCTTACGAGAATTCTGTATTTATTTACTTCGCTTGATTATTTGCGAATATATTTCCTAACTTTTATTGCACAGTTGACGGGTATTTCAGGGCGTTTACACTTTAAGTGAGGTCGTTCCGTAAACAATATACTTTGTCCGTTGCGCAAATAACGCTGACGGAATAAATATAGAAAATAGAGTATGTACAAACAAAACCAAAGGTCAATAATTTTCACGCGTGTAATTATTGTAACGGTCGCATAATTTTATCCAATTAAATAGAGGCGATTACGCATATACTACTCGATTTTTACGTAAAGCGTCCGTAGACTTTCCTTTCGCCTTCGTGACCATGTAGCACAACCAACCGCCAGTTTAGACGTTCTACTTTCAATCCGATCCCTCGAAAATGATAGATCTGGCACAAATTAATTCTCTTTGTAGTAGGCCTCAGATAAGACTCACCAAACGAAAAGTCGTAATTATGCCGTCGTTAGAGATTAAAATTATATTTTATTGCAGCAGTCAGATCAGATTGAAAGTTATTAATTAAATTTTCGGATAAATCAAATCGAACGGGCGTGTAGAAAATTAACACCGATATCTTAATGCCGATTATTAACAATTAAAATTTAGGCGCAAAAATCATTTCGAGCCGCTAATTATGCGCGATTTGCATTTTCTTAACGATAATTTAATATCGTAAACAGTCGCGGTATCTATTTAAATGCATTATTTAAATTTCGTCGAATTGAACTTGTATAAAATACCCTTGATAACGTAATAATGGTTATTGTGAAAATTTGTTCGTGCTCTCACCGCGTCGTGAAAGATTTCTTTCGCGAACATGAGGCGAACCTTACGTGTGTGTGTTGTGTTAGTGTTTGCGACAGGTAATCCCGTTTTTTTTTTTTTTTCGAGCAAAAGTGGATTTTTTTTATTTCAGCGCAAACCACGGCACTCGACTCGAGGTTCTATCTTTTTACCAGAGAAAATCGAAGTAGATATATCGAAATAAACCGCGACAACGCCAAGAGCCACATTAAAGACGACACTCAATTAAGATTTGTGATACACGGCTGGTCGGAAAGTCGAACCACTAACTGGTACGAAGACTTAACGAATGCTCTAATGTCGCGCTACAATTGCGACGTCGTCCAAGTAGATTATGCCAAAGTAGCCTCAGAACCGTACCCCATAGCGGTCAAGAGTTCAGTCCGAATTGGTAAATAGATTCAAATAGTATGCTACAATGCTCGAAAATGTCTAACTTCAGGTGAGGAAATTGGCAGTTTTATTGTATTTTTGACGACACAAGGCGTTTCGTTGCAAAATATTCTACTCGTCGGTCACTCCCTCGGTGGACAAGTTTCGGGATACGCCGGCGAATACATCTTCAGAAAAACGTCAAAAAAGTTGCCGCAGATAACTGCACTTGATCCTGCTGGACCTTTGTTTCAGGGATTCTTCAACATAAACGGGAAAAGTCTAAATAAAAACGACGCAGAAGTCGTTTACGTTATTCACACGGATAAGAGTTTATTCGGTCAGCGTTCAACATGTGGTACTGTCGACGTTTTTCCAAACGGTGGAAGCGATCAGCCGGGGTGTCCTGAAAAAGATGACCACTGTAAGCTATAATACCGAAAGTACGTTTACTCTATTAAGGACTTAGGGTTTTGCAGCCATCATCGGAGTTTCTGGTACTATATTGCCGCAGTGGAAAATCCCAACACTCTCGTGGCCGTGAAATGCGAATCTTATGACGATTTTTTGGCAGGAAAATGTGCGAACAAGCGAAAGATTGACATTGGAGGAGACCTTACGCAGGCCGACAGGGGACAGTACTTCCTCAAGATATCAGCGGAAAAGCCATACAGGCTAGTATGATAAACCGATTTATAGTTCAATTTATTGTATAATGAAATAAACGAATACGCAAAAATATGTACATCATGCAGATTTCATTTTTCTTTTTTTTTTCCAACCACCTCACCTTCTGGATTATACGCTGCAGACATTGGCACTGCAGTCGTACCATCGATTTCCTATCATTGGATGTATGTATTTTGAACAAATGACTTCATCAAGCTTTTCTCATATTTAGTTCTCAATCTCAAATCTCAACGCATAACTTTGCTGACTGAAAAATACAATTTTCTGGTACGCAATGTCGTTATTTCTATTGGTGTTACCTTGAGAAAAATAAAAACTTCCGTTCCATGATTAGTATTCCATTGCATGAGGAAAAAAACAAACAAATAAATTTTCCAGAAGGCAGTGCATAAGTTATAAATTATAAGTACTGTTAACGTGAGAAATTTAACATGCATACATTATCAAAACATTTTGACGTGAAACTATGTGAAGATCGTCAAGTATTTGCTGGTACTATCTTTCTAAATTCCAGATTTTTTAAACCGATATCTATATATAGCGGATGGCTAATTGAAAAATAACAGTGCAAAATGTACTTGTCTGTGTTATTTTTTATTTTAGCGACTGCTGTCAATTCGTACCGTATCCAATATTTCTTATATAGCCCTGAACATCAAAATGAACCTATTTTAATTGGCCCCAACAACGCCAGCAGGTACGTCCAACGTGATTATCCAGTTCGAATTTTCATTCACGGCTGGACTGGTAGTCGAGAATCACCGTTTTATCCCTTATTAAAGAAAGCACTTTTTTCACGCGGCAAATTTTACATCATTCAAGTGGACTTCTCGGAGCTCGCTAAAAAAAATTATATACTCGTGGCTAAAAAAAGCCCCGAAGTCGGTAAGAAAGAGGATCTTGTTTTTTGTTTCTCCAAACAAACTGTTCTTTTGCTAGGTGTACAAATCGCAGACTTCATTTTAAACATAACAAAAGCAGGATATCCACTAGCTAATATCGAGCTTATTGGTCATTCTATCGGGGGTCAAGTTGCAGGATATGCTGGAGAACGTATCATAGAGAAAACATCACGAAAATTGTCAAAAATTACGGCTCTAGATCCAGCAGGACCACTATTTGAACTGTTCAAGTTAAATGGCAGAAGCCTTAATAGAAGTCATGCTGTTGTGGTATTTGCTATACATTCCGATCGCAACGTCTTGGGTAATTTCGGAGATGTTGGTACCACCGACGTCTATCCAAACGGTGGAGTAGGGCCACAACCGGGGTGCCCATTTCTCATCGGCATCTGTAGGTAACGAAATCGAACAATATATTAATACAAACTTTTAGTTTCTTGTAGTCATGCGCGAAGCTGGCAATATTTTACGAACGCCACTGCTCGGCCGGGAACTATATTAGCGGAAAAATGTAAGAGCAACAATAATTTCAAAAATGGGAAATGCAATAATAGTAGAATAATTGACCTTGGCGGGGATATTACTGTCGAAGGCGAAGGGAGGTACTACTTGAAAACGAATTCAGAACCCCCATTCAAATCGTTGATTCCTGCAGGCGAATAATTGAAAAATAGATTCGTTTAAGAAATTATAATGGAAATAATTTTATGGAATAAATGGATTCAGAATATGCCTTATTTTATTTTTCGACTCTCGAATACTGTTTCGAACGTGAACTTTTAAAATAGCTCCCTTTCAGATCTTTGTTTCCTACAGGAAAATAACTAAAGAGAATAGAAACAGTTTCTAGAATCTAGATTTTTGCTAGTACTAACAATAAATGAAAAAATACGCGCATGCCCGTATTCGTTCTTGCAAGAATTACGGCCCCAATCCATACGGTTTCTTGAAGTGAGTTTTCAAATAATATTCGCCCCGTTCGTCATATTTGAATTCACCCCCCAGATCAACCTGCTTGTTCCGTTGACACCAGCCAAAGAGCAAACCCAGATAGCTCCAACAACGTGTAGCCACGAGTGTTCCAAATTTCTGCAAGGCATCTATGTAAATTTGATGACTTCTTTGGTGACTACAAACGAGCCAGTTAAGCTCCGCAGTATCTGGACAACCGGGTTGGATAAGCGGACGCCCGTTCACGTAAATGTCGACAGAACCAAAAGAAACCAAATACCCGAACTTCCAGGGATCTGTATGTATGGCCACCACCACTTCCGCGTCGGTCTTACTCAATCTAGAAGCTTCTGAAACCCAAAAACCTCGAAACAAGGGTCCCGCAGCATCTAGTGCTGTAATTTTTGACAGTTTGAAGCCAAACTTTTGAAGGTATTTGCCTGCGAATCCGGCAACGTGACCACCCAAAGAGTGACCTATTAGATGTACGTTCTCCACGTTTACTCCACGATTCACCACAAGATCCAGAATCAAACTACCAACTATATTTCCTAAAATTTTGCTTTCAATCCTCGTCTTTTGCCAAGTTTTGCATTTTACCAGTTTCTTTGGTGTCGTAAGCTGCGGCTGGATAAAACTGTAGAGCTGGCTTGGACCAGTCCACTTGAATGACGTTAATTTCGTCGAATTTAGACAACAGCGTATCGGTTAAGTCAGAGTACCAAGGTTTCTCCCTGCTTTCACGCCAACCGTGTATGAGGAAAACGAGGGAAGAGTTGCCGTCTACGGTGGCATTTTCTTTCGTAATTTCGGTGGCGGTTTCCCTGTTTTCCGAGGTGAACAAGTAAAAGGTTACGTCAGTCTTCTGGACGCGACCTGCAACTAACACGCGAGGCTTGATTGAAGCGAACCATTTGTTAACTTACCCAGAGAAATAAATGTAAGAAGGAAGACGGTCGTAGCTAACGATACAAACATGTTTGCGTGGATTTTCTATTTTCTTCCGTTTTAAACTCAACCTCAAGTTTATCTATGTGCAAACATTTTTAATCCCTCAAATGTTTGCGCAAAAATGTGACAATAGCGTTTATTGGAAGGGAGTTCGTTAACCACAAGCAAACTATCGTGGCATTGTGCGGGAGTTTAGTCTAACGATCGGATTGAACGGCTTAAATATCACAACTTTGTTATTATTGGGTTTAGTTTCAGATTTAGCAATGTTGTTACAGCTGTATTGCTTTACATCAATACGAGGCGGTAATCGAGGCAATTAGTAAGCCGAAGGTGAAGTTCTGTGGCACGTCTCGGAACGTACTCCATTCAGACCGAAAAGAAGACTCGAAAATAAAAAGAAGCGTTTTCAATAATTTCCTGTCAAACGAACTAAACTCTAAGTGGATTCTGTCTGGACCGCACGAGAAAAATAAACGTTCGATTTCAATTAGTTACCGGAATCGATCTTTTATTCGCTCTGCGAAACTGATTTTGATTATAGTTATTTCACACATCCGTGGAAATATGCAAATTTTGCCCAAAACAAATTCATTGCCTCATTATGTTCACTGTTTAACCAGTCGTTTCCAGCAATACGTTAAAAATCTATCGGATACGTTAATAATTTATTTACATTTAATGATAATAACGTTCCACAATCGTACATTTGAATATTATCGGCGCATTATTCAAATTAGCTTCGCATTTCAAAAATATTGGTCACTTTTCGTAGTGCATTTAATGCTATCGGTGGTCTGTACGGCGCCTAAAAAATAGCGTGGTCATGGCTCGAACGAAGCGCAAAAATCATCTCCTTGGACCGTTCCGACGATTCTCGTAATATTCAAGTCGAGATCGAAAAATTCACGGGTCGCTTCCTGGATCCGACACGCGTTAGCGAATATATATAATAACCCTTTGTGGTCTTTTTTCGTCTTCCAAAAAAGTCCCTCTTTTCGCTAAAACTGTTTACGGCGCCGCCTCCCTTGATCGAAAAATTAATTAAAAAACAGCCGATGCGCGAGTGCGACTTTTCCGAATTAGAAAATAGTGTTAGTCAATTAGATTCGAGTCGGGTTAAAGCAAACAGAATTTATTTAAATACCAAATCATCCCTATTAGCTTTGGGGAGTATCCATTAATGGAACGACAAGATTTGAATTGGACCTCGAGACCTCGATAATAATTAAATCGAATCCGGGCTTTCGTCGAACGTCACGTTTGCCGAACAAGATCCTAAACTATTAACGTCTTTTGACAGGATATCGAACATTGCTACTACCACGGGACCGTCCAGGACTACCCAGGTGCCACGGCCGCCTTCCACACGTGCAACGGCGTCAGCGGGGTCATTCACGTGGGGAACGAGACGTTCGTCATACACCCGTTCTACGGAGGAGACCTCTCGGTCAGTACTTATCAGGAGACGAGGGACGACGGCTGGCGAAAAGTAGCACCTGCTAGAGAGATCTGCCGCCGCAGGGTCCCGCCGACCGATCGCAATAATAAATGTGTCGAAAGCTGTGCACAGTGAAATATTCATGGCGTACACGAACGGAAATTAAGGCGCGCACTGTCGGAGGGTCCAGAAGCAATTACAAAATCACCAGAATCGGGGGGGCGAATTCATATCCCGGCTATTATCAATTAAAATGCCAATCTCCGGTCAGAAGAATGCGCCAGCGTAAGGTCCACCAACAGTAGTAGTCGGGAGAATTTTAATAAAACCGCCGGAAAATCGCTAGGCGCATAAGCAAACATAATTCCTTCGGCTTAAGCGCGTCAGGTTCTCGGCTAAAAATGACCGCTCGCAACGGACGGACGACTCGAGTGTCGCTGCGTTTCGCCGGATTAATTAAAATTAATTGGAATAAGTTTTAATGAACACGTCTGTGCGGATGTCTGGGGTTCGGTGACAACTGACAGCCAATTACCCCCGTCCCTTTTCGGCGGTACACCAGCCCTCTTAGAAAGCCCTGTCGATAACACGAACCCGATTAAATCCGCCGTGCCATCAAAAACTTTTCCCCAATCAGATGTTAATTTAGTAACGTCACGGCCAAGGATTCGCGAAATTCGACCCAGGAACCGTTCGGACGAGTCGATTCTCTCGCGCGACGCGAACGCAAGGAAAGATTCGCGCTTCCAGAAGAAGCGTCTAACCAACGATGATGACGAATTAAATCAATCGGTACGAAAACGGTACGACCACTACGACGGTCCGAACGGCAGATCCCAGCTCCGTTTTTGCACCCGGATCAAACTGGTCCACAAAGACCGTAATTATTCCTTGCGAGTAGTGGCTGTTTGTTTTTGCTTCCGACCGCTACCCTCCGGGTCTTGAGATCGCCCAATTGTGTCTTGTTCTAATTATATATGTGGCGCGTCTACTTCTCCGCGTCCCTCGCACAGTTTTCGCCCCAATTAGGCCCGAAACTGCTGCAATCCCGTCATAAATTACGTCCCATTGTGTAGTTCGCGAACGCAGACTTGAGGATGACCGGCAATTTTTTCCGCCATCACCTAGTGTCGGCTTTAATATGCACCGCACGCTCCCCAATTACAATGCGAATTTTAATCCGATAAGCTGGTTTTCCGTGTGCGGAATTCCGTCGAAACAATGGTAAACGAACAATGAGCTGTCCCTTTTATCGCATAATCTGCACCGCCATAAAATTATAAAAGTTGAGAGAGTTTTGCGGGCGAACGAGAAAAGAGGCAACGCCGGCCGCGGACGGTCCGTTCGGATACTCTCTGCGCTTGAAGTAGTCGGAATTAACGGCCTAATCCTCTTTTAATGGCCACACTGGCGTGTTTCTAATCAAGGGATTGCTCTGACCCGGCTCGCCCGCCCTCCCGCCCGCCGACTCAGACAACATACCCGAGGGACCAGATGCTTAGCTGATTGTCAATTCTGGTTGCGATAGACGGCCATTATTCCGCGTGCCGCCGTTTTTAACCCACCCGTCCCGGCGGAATTAAGGGCGAGCGCATTATGCAGCCCGCCCTTCGGACACGGAAAACCATCACGCCCCGACGAAACGTACGCAACGTACACCGTACGTAATACGTGGAGACGGATAAAAACCGAAATCGCAACTTTCGCTGCGACGCTCGCGAACGACGCTAGCGGCGGCTTTTCAGATTTTGCGGGACGCCGTAGCGTTAGTCGGAAGCGATTAATTGGATCCCGTAATAATAATTTAAGAGGCGGATCGAGAATGTGTTTGTAGTTTATTAGGCCGTAAGCTCTTATCGGGTAACGTATAATGCGGGCCGGTTCCGTGTAAACAGCATTTAGGTTAGCTCTATTGACGGCTGCGGGAAAGAGAAACATCACCTCGCCGATTTCTTTCGGCTCGTTTCCCGCCGCCGCTTGCTCGTATATAGATTGGCCGCCATAAACGTAAGAGTTGCAATATTTAAAAGGCTTTTCTTCTCGATATTTACGGCGGCTCAATAAAACGTATCCCGTTCGGACTTCTTTTTTTTTTGTTATTTATTTACGCCATAAATTATTACGGTCGACGATAAAATCGTTTAATATCAATTATTCAAGCGTAATTGAGTATGGCTCTTTCCTAAATCTAGCGGCCATCTGTGAAGTCGTAAAACGGGCTCGTTGCTTTCAGCGTCGGCGACTGATCGAAGTTTACGTTGCGAAGGAAGACTCGACGGCGGCGGCAGATCGCAGTCGGTTTCGGAACAAAATGTGACTGCACAGCTTCACTATTTTTTAGCAGAAACATCCACACGTGATATTCGAAGCCCGAACGAACGCCAACAAGGGTTGCGCCAATTCCGGCAACATGGAGTGGCGTCTGAATACGCACGCCGGCTTTTTTCCGACGTCGTCGAACCACCGACCAAAACGTGACGTCCGCGAGGCGACCAAGTACATCGAAACGGCGATCGTGATAGATAAGGCGATGTTCGAGAAGAGGAACGGCAGCACGAGGACGGACGTCGTCCACGACTCGATCCAGGTGGCGAACATCGCCGATCTGTACTTTCGCACGCTGAACACGCGGGTGTCGGTGGTGTACATCGAGACGTGGCAAGGCGGGAACCAGGCCCAGATCAATCGCAACGAAGACATCGGACGGGCCCTGACCAACTTCAACGACTACACCTCGCGGAAGTTGTTCAAGATCGATAAAGACACGACGCAGCTGCTCACGGGCGAGGTGTTCATCGGAGGCGAGGCCGGGATGGCGGTGCCGGCGACGGTGTGCACGGCGAAGGCCGTCGGCATCAGCGTCGACATCAACACCTACGAGCCGCACCTGCTCGCAGGGACCATGGCTCACATGATCGGCCACAACATCGGGATGGGGCACGACGACGGAAGGAAGGAGTGCTTCTGCAGGGACTGGCACGGATGCATCATGGCGCAGGCGATCGTCGGCCTCGACAACGTGCAGCCGTACAAGTTCTCCGAGTGCAGCCGGTCGGACTACATCGACAGGCTGAGGACGGGCAACGGGATATGCCTCCTGAACAAGCCCAACGAGCTAGAGGTGAGGAAGAAGGCCAGCGAGCTGATCAAAGCAAAGATTAGTTTGATTCGAAGGTGCGACGGACGTGCGGCAATCGTATCGTCGAGGACGGCGAGGACTGCGACTGCGGGACGATCGACGAGTGTCCCAGCGTCGATCCGTGCTGCGATCCCATCACCTGCAAGCTGACGACGGAGGCGCAGTGCGCGTCGGGGCCGTGCTGCGACAATTGCATGCTGCGAGAAAGAGGGGTCGTCTGCAGGGAACCGTCGAACGAATGCGACCTGCCGGAGTACTGCTCGGGAGACAGCGGCGAATGTCCGACCGACGTCTTCAAGAAGAACGGACATCCGTGCGGATACCACGGCTACTGCTTCAACGGAGTGTGTCCGACGCTCGCCCTGCAGTGTCAGAACATCTGGGGTTACGGTAATGTTTCACGTGTATGAAGCGCGTGACGTTGATCTATCGAAATGCGCGCCTCTTCTTGCAGGAGGAACCGCTGCCGACGATCAGTGCTTCGAGACGTTCAATTCAAAAGGTTCGATCAACGGGCACTGCGGCAGCTCCGGGAGCGGCACGTTCGTAAAGTGTTCGCCGGAGAACGTCAAGTGCGGAACCCTACACTGTCAGAAAGGTAAAAGAAAGCCGGTATTGGGCTCGGGTACCGACCAGCTGCCGTTCTCGAGGACTTTCGTCACCATCCAAGGAACAGAGTACGAATGCAAGTAAGTAGTCTCGGGTCCTTCGATCCGGTCGCCTTTGTAACGCGAAACAGGTCTATCTATAGATCCGCCGGGGGCGGTAACGAAGAGATTGCCGAAGCCCAACGTACGATCGGCCTGGTCTGGGACGGAACGCCGTGCGGAGAGAACCTCATTTGCCTTAATCAAACTTGTTCTAGCATTTTTCCGTACATCGACCAAACAAAGTGTCCTACAAACAACAACAATCTGGAATGTTCCGGTCACGGGGTGAGCGTCAAAGCGCAAAACGCTCGACGTTCATTCATCGAAATTCCTCCTCTTCTTTTGCAGTTCTGCACGAATCTGAACAAGTGCCACTGCGAACTGGGCTGGGGAGGCCCCGACTGTTCGCTTCAGGTGGAGGTGGCGCTGTTGCCGATGTCCACGCGACCACCGGACACGACCCCGATCGACCTGACGAAAAGCATGCAGAAAAAAGAAACCCCCTACGGTAGGTATGCGTTCTGGCGGATGCGTCCACCAAGACCTATCGACCGTGAGCGATCGGTACGACACGCGTCAGGCGGAGGTGGTGCGTTCGACGCGACGCGAAATAAGAGGACGACGTCGAACGTCGTCGCCCTCCGTCCTGACCGTGAAAGTTTATTGTTTTAAATAAATAGTACGACAGAGCACATGACGGCCGGTTCAGTATTTGCGTGTCATTCGCAGGCAGCAACAACTCGAGCAACTTGGAAACGCTGACCATGGTGTTCATCCTGGTAGGCGTGGTGAAGGGGGTCTTCATTTGTTTTGCTGTTGTGGCCGTTTGTTACAGGTATATAGCAGATCGTGGCGTGATCGAGTACAGTTTGCGCAATGTCCTGTACATAGGCTTACGTTACGTAACACCATATAAATTGTGTCCCTTATTTACTTACATACGAATGCGTTTGCTCTGTGTGTACTGTACATAACGAAAGATGTATTTATTTACACGTAACAAAAAAAATACTAATAATAAGTATGTGGATACATTATGTCGGGGCTTCCGGCCCGTATTAGTGTCTTGTACATTTGAAAACTCATGGTGCTTTCCTTCTCTCTCTCTCTTCGCCTATGTGTTGATGCATGATGACTGACAACGCCGCCGTGCGTCGCACCGCCGCCTCCCTCTGTGCTGCGCTGCTGGACCTTCAGCGGACTATCACGGGTCCAACACGATTTTTCTCGTGGGTACGCTCATGTCGGTGGTAGGGGGTGTGTTCATTCTGTTTGCAACTATGGCACTATGCTACAGGTCAGTCGTAGTACACAAAAACTTCTCGCTCTGTCTCAGGTTAGTGAGCAGACCATCCAGGTAGCGATCCACGTTTTCAGCATCCGCTGTCGCTTCTTTCGTTACGTTGCGATGAGATCCGTTTCACTTCTAGTTTCGTTCGCCTCTAATAAGCTAGATGTGTGTAGCTACTCCAGAAATTTCGGCGACCGATCGAACTCGAAGATCGATCGCCGAACAGAGAATATGTGTCTAAATGTATACCTACCTATATATATAATATTTATATATGTTCTGTGTATACCTTTCATGACGCACTAGACAGATTTACAATGGGCCGCATCGGGATACTAGCAACCCCGGCGGCGAAATACGAACTCAACGGAACGTCAGTCAAAGACGCCGGCGAGGCAAAGACCAAAGCCAAAATTCTGTATTAATAATCATCCCTTAAAACACCAGCAACATTTTGAACGACACAATGACTTACCCATGCTTCACACATCTTAACAACTGAGGCCGAGTTGAGTAGTTTCGAAATTTGTTAAAATTACACAGCAACTTTTTCGGCGGGACAGAAAAACAGCGCGGTCGCCACAGCTCCCGGGTTCAACCGCGCCGGCATATTAAAATTTCGACTGCAGAATCACGTCAAATTCCAATTTGAGTTCGTATTTTACGCCAGCGTAATTGACGCAGTCAATAAAAGCCCCATCAAGTTGGACGTCCTTTTAATTATGAATCGTGTATGGCAACCCCCTTCCACCGTAAATGAATGGGATGCTGCGGTAAAATTGTAAATCTTCGTAGCCAAACAGACATCTGACGCATGTTGCATGCACATCTTCCTTCCGCTGCCGAACAAACAGAACACCTCCGAACGAACGAGATTTAGAAACATGCCCTCGCCAATTATTATTGTTTTTTATCGAAGCGTCCGTCGTTTGTTGGTGTTTTGTTTCGATGACTATTGCACGAGCTCTGGATTAATGTCATGTATGTATATATAAATATATATACGCATAAGTATGATTTTGCGATGTGGGAATGTACGTTTCTGTCTCGATTAGCTCCTGCTGCCTTATGAATGCGAGCAGAGTGTATGCTTCCTTACGACCCGCCCCCCCCCAAATTCGCTCCGCTCACACGACACACACTTACATAAATTATAAGTCACAAACAAGCAGCTTCGTTTTTGCAAAAAAAAGACAACAACAGACAGACTTTTTTTTTTCTATCTTTCTCTCTTCTCTTTGTCTCTCTCTCTCTCTTCCGTCACTCTCTGTCACTGTTTTCCACGTACGTAACTGGGCATGTCCTCTGTATTTCTTCTTTATGTTCGATGTGAGACGCGGCGAGTCGGCTCGACTCGAACTTCCCCAACGTCATCCCTTTAATTGAAAACGGGTCATAACGTATTCCTGATGACGACGCCATCATACGTGACCAACTCGAAAGACACAATAAAAGGCTCGTTCGTGGATGATCATCGCTTCTTAACGAGACTTAAACGAAGTCGACCGTTCGAGTCGAGTTCGCCGCGTCTTTAGAGGTCCATTATTAATCCGGTTCTTCGTTTTTTCTCCTTCTTTTTGTTCGGTTTATGTAAATTAACAACTGGAAGGAAGACGACCGTTCGCAAATATGAAAAGCCATACAAAAAGCCCATTCCGAAAAACTACGTCCATACTGCTGGAAACCATTCGCAAGAGGACAGTTTAGATAACGCTAACAAGATCCTGACGTTAGGCACGGGTGTGACGGCTTTCGGGTAAGTCTTCGTCCATCCCACACAACCTAGAGAGAGTGCCGAACGAACGAATGACGTTCACACGTTTTGATTTCGAACTTTTTTTCGCTGTTGCGTTTTGGTTTTTCTTTCGTTTCTTTTTTTCCCTTTTCTTTTTCTTTTTTGAATGATCGGTCATCCTAGCGATGTTCACTGTTAGGTCATTATGTGATTGTTCATTTAGTTGGAGAATGATTTATACGAAAAGCTTTCTAAAACAGCATCGCCAATCCTGTGTATACGTGTGCTGAAGTTCGAAGGATCGATTTCGAACCAAAGCAAAAACTCCCAAGGAAAATATTATTACAACGTAGAGCCGAGGAGTTAATCTACGAATAATATTTTTTGGAGGAAGTATGCAGCGGTTGAGCACTTTTCAGTACAAGCAAAAACCTGAACGCCAACACGATGCATTTTTAACTCGGGCGTTTTTCTTTCGACCACTTGACCCTCGAAGCGAAGAAAAAAAAACTCGCAACCTGTTTTCGAATTTTCCGGTAGTGCTTGTACTCGGAAGTGGGATGACCCGACCCTTGTCACTGTTCGCCATATACTAAGACAATATTTTTTGTCAGCCGGGCCGATTCACAAAGGGTGTTATTTCGCTCGTCGAACCATATGGGCGCCGGAGGACCGTCCCATTACCAGTTAGTGACATTTATGTGGTTACACTCGATGTTGCATCCGACTGTTTTAAACCACACTTTGTTTTCGTTCGTTTTACGTTACTGTGCAAAACCACCACCATATTATTATTACGATCGAAAGCAGTGCCTTTTTGTTTTATTTTTGCACGCTTGCATGCCATCGATGTTCAGATTTTTACGCCCAATTAAACACTAATCAAACGCGTTTATCTGTGTGTCATTCGTGGATCCTCAGGGAGCATAAAATGCAGCAGTTGAAAAGGATGGGCGTCGGTTCCGCCAGCGAGGAGGATCAGGGACATTCAGGTATGTATGTCGCGAACGCTCACAATTACTCTTTCCCTAACGCTTAACGCGTCCGATCAACAGAAGAAGAGTCGGTGTCTTTCATCGATCTGCAACACAACAACTTGAAATTTCCGGAGAAGAAAGGCATACTGAAAAAGCCCGACTACTGCCTGTCGATGGGCGACGGCGCCCAGGCCGAAGAACTGTTGAGTCAGACCGAAGCCGCCATGACGCAGCTCATGTCCGGTACGGGAGCTTCCGAGGTGGAGCGCACCCTCAAAACCTTGAACGGTTATCACGAAGATATTATCACAGCTTTAAGGAAGGCTGCTTCGCATCGAGGCACTTCCACCCCGTCGGGCAGCACGAGCGCCCTCAGCGAAGAACTGCTACGAAGGAGTCTACAGCAGTGCGCCGACAGTTACTCGGAATACAACAAGAGGAGCAGCAGCCAGGAGAAGGTGTGCGAGCCGCAGGTGAGTAATCATTCGTCCGATGTCCGAATCCGGTCGTAACGCGCGTCGACATCAGGTCGTCATCGAAGCGGAGGAAGAGGACGAGGACGAGGTACCGCCGTGCGGTCCCATCAGGATTCGAAATCTGGAAGATCTGATCCGTCAGCTCGAGCACCATTCGCGGCACATGAGTCCGAGCGGTTCCGAGGACATTCGGATGTCGGAGACGGAAGCCGACCGGCACTACCGCCAAGAGTCCTCATCTGCCTGCAGCGAAAGCAGTCACCAGTCCCACCGGGAGAGCAGGTTCGTCTATGGCAGGTACCGGCAGCCGTCGGGACGTCTGCCCTATCCCCATCCCCATTCCCACCACCAAGCGGAGGAGGAGAGCATCTACGAGAGCGCGGACCACGACAGAGGGGCTCCTTGCGGCGACACCCCCGACAGCGAAAGGTAAATTCCGGCCGACGCTCAGATCGACGCGGACCGCCCGATCCGAACGGCCGGTTTCGACTTCCTCGGAATCGGATTTGTGGGGAAGTCGACCCGGGCGGGTCCGTCGGGCGTCGCTAATCGTCCGAGGCCCGCTACCAGAGTCTGGTAGTTGTGTTATACTTATTGTTTTCTAGTGATGAATTTATTCAAGCTCAGCAACAGATGGCCCGATGGGCGAGTGAGGACACGATGGGACAGGCCAGCGGAAGCGGCGTCGGGGGCGGCGGCGCGGTGCCCCGCGAGTACTTCCCTTCGCCGAGTAGTTCGACGAGCGAAGAGCCGCCGAGCATCGCCCGAGCGCCCGTCCCCGCACCGGGACCTCCCGTCGGACCGCCACACCCGGAACACGCCACCATCCACAGACCCAAACGTTACCCCGAGTATAAACACTGATAGTGACTGAAACAGGGTAGACTTTCGCAGCCCGTGACTTTACCTGTACATAATTTAAATGCGTGTGATGGTGACTGATCAACGTATATATATACATACTTATATATATATACCCACGTAGGGAAATTCTAAATTAATATGGGGACGGAAGGGTTCTGCACAAGCCCATAACTACGAAAACAGTTCTTTTTCCTCAGTCTCGAACGAGGGAAAGGGCGTGATTGCGATCGGTTCGTCGTCTGATGAGGAACGGTCTAGCACGCGAATACGTAGAAGATCGTTTAAAGAAATGTGTGCCGTGTCTCGTAAAATAGACGGATTACGTCGCATCGACTTTTGACATTAAAAAACAAAAGGCAATGAAAAAAGAACGGAATGACGTCAGCGCCAAGAAACATTTCCAAAATTTATTCTCTTAACGTACAAAACCCATTCTCTAGAACTGCGTCGGAGTGTTTTACAAAGATACCGATTTTACTTGTATCTAGTAACGCTCTAGGCGATCGGTACATTCAGAAGTACGTTTTGGAACGTCCAACTCACAGACTTGAAGTGCTATTTAAAATTTTTAAATTTCCCCCAACTCCGTTATTTAGACGCACATTTTATCGTACTTCTTCCATAATAAGTACACCAGATTTCATACATTTTGTGTATTACGAATTTAAAACGAATAATATCGAGTTGTAGCAAAGGAAAGTAAGTTTCCTCCTTTTTTATGCAACTAAGTTGTTACTGTATTTTGTGCCTCGTAAACTTGAATATGTTGCTCACTGACTAACGTTAACGATCATCTATGTATGCGCCTAGTATGAATTCTTCGAACGTTAAGGAAATGAAATGCTTTACTATTAAAATAGGCGAGTACTCCTAGTATTATTAACTTAAAAAAGCAATACAGACATTAAAATGATTTCTATTTGTAGACGAAAGTAATTTTATACGTGCATTTTCTAGAAACGATAATTTAACCAAGATATATTTCTAGAGACAAGAAAATTATCTGGTTGACTTCTAGCTTAAATTAGTGCTAAAAGCAGAATTCACCATCAGGGCGGTCGCGCTCCACGTGCTTTAACAATAAAGTTTGATTATGATTGCAGAGTGCATGTATGTTTCGTTTACAACATTTTTTTAAAAGCACAGAACTTATTTATGGTTCAAATCTAAAGCACAAATTTACAAAACCGACTTTTGCCACGGTGCCATAAAAAAGTAAACCTAAACACAATTACGGTATGTACCGCCCCTCAACACCAATATTGGCGTAATCGTAAACACTGAAACTATTTTACATTTCAACGCGGCAATATCGATGTGGAAGAATGTGTGTACCAAAATTACTTAAATTTTCATTTTAGAAACGTAGCAGAACAAAATTGAATAAAATTTGGCAACAGTTTATCATTTTGATTTTTTAATTTTTAAGTGAATAGTGTAGTGCCTACAAAAACGAACGTGCTACCTATTGTGCGCTATACAAGCAACAGGTAGCAACTTGTCTTAATTTCAAAATAGTTATAATCGTAGGACATTTCGCCTTTAGAATTCAGCACAACTTCGCGGCGAGTACCTGGTAAGTCAACGGTAGAATATCGAAACGATCGTCAACAACCGGCGACACGCCACAAAAGTTCCGATGAACTCGAAAAGTGAAATCAAATTTAGGCTTCCAGCATGCACAAGTCACCAGAAATGCCTTTAGTAAATATATTTCAGCATTTTTCCAAGTGGTTGTCTTTCGCAAAACATGCAAATTTCGAGTTTATACACTTCATCAGAGCTATCGTACCTCTTCGTACGCAATTTATTAGAGTCGAGGCGAACAAAAAAAAGGTCGACACAAACGTCGTAATCTTGATTTATTAATATGCTGCTCTAGTCTTTCACGTTGAGGGGTTCCAACGGTTACATCCTCTAAATTGATGGTTTCACCAATATCTACATGCGTTAGATCCCATCACAAAATGTATTACGTCTGGGATTAACGAAAGGACGTTCTCCCTCTAAACATCTCCACGCACAGTCTTGTCGTTACGCCAATCACCGTACTCTTCCTCGCGAAAGACTATTTGATTTCGACTTCTTGCATTAATCTGTTGTCGTGCAGAGCCCTTCGTCTGATTTCAGTTAATTCAACGTCGTCATCGTCAGATAGTTGCCGCGCGCGAATCGTAATCGCTAAAAAGACTGATCCGTCAAGACGACGACCTCGCCCCCTCAAAAAGACTCCCATGTTAACTAAGTGTAGTGTTCAGCCGATTTTCCCGGTTGACTTTTATAGTTGTTGACTATTTGTTTACAATAGACAGATTCTGTGCGACGGTGCGTTTTACCACAACAAAGGATGGAAGAGGATGTTTTGCATAATTCTAAATTTGTAATGTGGATAATGTTGGTAACTACCATGTTTTCGGCCTTAGTTATTGTATCGAACAGATCGGATGCGTAATACCTCGCACCAGCATTTCAACTTTTCCATTTCTACATGTTAGGGTGAAAGGTTCAGAACACAAATTATGTTCAGACTGGAGGATAATTCGGGCATAACGACAATATTAAATCTGGAAAAAGTAGTAGAGAAATTTTATTTATCATGTCTTGATTAAGCGACGCGGGAATTCAAACTCGGAATACTTGCTTGCGCATGCGCGTGCTTTTATTTTTGATTGGTCCTGAAGTTACGTTCGTTTTCCCCGACTAAGATTTTTCGACCAATAGCAGGCGAGGTAACCTTTAGTGGGGGAGAAAGGCGCAACGTCGCCAACGACAGAAATTTAAAGCCTGCTCAAGCGCAGTTTTAAAGGTAAACCGTTGCGGGTATTATCCGACCGATCTCTCTGGTACCGTACCGGCGTCCTTGCTTCCCTGGCCTAGAACGCTCGAGAGGTAAAGTCCGCCTGACAAGCGTTAAATTAAATTTAATAAAAAAAATGAATAAATCGAAATCGTTACAAGCGATTTTTTTATTGTAGTTTGTAAGTTAGTCTCCAATTTCTATTTAGTGATATTTCACGAGGCGGTGGCCTAAGTCAACAAACAACACATGAACGCAGTTATGTTAAAGACAGGTCGATTCGTGTCAACCTAGCTTCGCCACACCAATTCTTTTACGTTGAGCTACGTTGCAACGATTCAACTGTCTGAAAATACTTTTGTTGAGTGTACACATTGTTGAATATTTTTTACACTTTCCCTCCATTTCGGTGACGATTGTAAGGAGGCGTGCGGGGAGCTTCTTCGTTGCTGTAGACTTGGCGACGACGAAGCTTTCTTCCGGGCCTAGAAATGTACAGTACCTTTCAAAAAAAAGTCGTGAGTGGGTGCAGTACGTGTAGTGTTGTTCCTGAACGAATTGAGTTAGTTGTTAGATGATTACTATATGATCAATTCGTTTGAGCGGACGTCGATCCTTGAAGCCCGACACAAGTGTCCCTTTCTAACTGACATATCCGCCATTGGAGCCCAAGTCGGTCGCTTCGAGGATGAGCCGGTCCTCACCACGACTAAAACAATTCTAAATGCTCAGTAGAACCATTGCAAATTTTAAAGAGAAATATGAGAAAATAGTCCATGCAAGTAGTATGCAATGTAAATATGAAAAAAAAAGAACTGTAACTGTATGAAGTTACTGGAACGATAGAAATTGTTACATTCTTAAATTAAGGAATAATTGACAATTGCGCGTTTTTCGTTCGCGGGGCTCATCGGTTGGCACCTTAGTTCCGATTGAGTGATTTCTGACTGGGTTGTAAGTGCCTCTCAATGAGCGGACGACTAAAAAAAAATCAAAGCGTTATTTCATTTGCTTTTCGTCACGTCACTTGCGTTATAAATAATTGAATGTCAATTATTGCGTCCATATAAATAATCACCCGAAATCCGGTGTACGTTCAGTTTCTGACCCAAAAGTAATTGTGTAGCTTAGAAATTGCTGTACAATATTCGTTTTCGGTTAACCGATAGTATGTACAGTGCCAAACAAAACTGGTCCGTTAATAAAACAGGAACGTTCAGCATTTTACTTATCAAAACGCACGACTCGTTTCATTTTTTAGCACAAAATGAAAGGCACTAATATTGCAGAATACACACGATTTAACGACAACCAACTAACATTATAATGTTAAAAAAAAATGGAAGAATTTGCTCATTGTTGTATTATTTGTTTAAATCTTGTACCCTCTGTACATAATGTTACGTTTGTAATCGAATCTTATGATCTAAATTATTGTATTTAATAAATTTATTATGTATGTTGAGATTTATTTGTAAGGGGGTAGAAGATTTCAGGGTAATATGAAAAAATTTTCACATATACGCGAAATCACAGGCAAGTTTTTTAAGGAAAATAAGATGGATGTACATATAGTGTTATGATGATATACACTGCCTAATAAATAAATTATTACCTACGCGCATTTCATTTGCCCGTCCCCTAGCAACGTCGTTTGTTCGATAGCAGTCGCCGTCGACATGTTCTGGGGCTTGACTCCGTCCCTCGACATCCTCGGCCTCTACATCGAAGAAAACGAAACTCTGCCCGCCGAAGTGAACGTCCTTCTCGTAGGAGGTGCCGACGCCCGCCACATCCTCCACACCCTGGCCCGCAGATACCGTCATGCCCCCACCAAACTCAACTTCTACGTCGCCGAAGCGAGCCTCGAGACCATCGCCAAACAGCTGCTCCTTTTGAACGTCTCCTTCCAGCATCCGTCCGTGTTGGGTCTCATACCGAAAGCGAAGATCTTCATGGAACTGTACGGAAACGCCCTGGTGCGACCGTCGGTGGCCAAATTTCTCACCGCTACCGCGACAGAAATGGTCAAAATGGTGACCGATTACGACTACTTGGCGAAAGTAATGCCCTTTGTCAGTCTAGAAGTCAAATACAAAGAACGCGACTATCTGGAAAATTTGTTCAAGTTTTGGTGCGGCCGCGATGACTTTGACATCTGTGACAGCTGGGATCGACGTTTACGCAAGAACTTGGGCGTTCGGTACGACTCTAGATTAGGTGCCTTCGACTGGGACCTTCACATGAGGTTACATTCGATCGGAGGGCGGCAGATATGCAGCCAGGAATATCGCAATTTTCGTTCGACGGGAGTGGCCTTCAGTTGGTTGGAATCTGAGGTGTCCAAGCCGAACCGTTCTATGGTATGCGTGGTGATTCCGAACGGAGAGAAGTTCGTCCATTGTGGATATTTGGGGGAGATGAGCACCGGACCTTTTGTAGCTTACGGCTTAGAGTGCGAAGACGAGAACTACCTGAAGCACACGAACGGCCAAAACACGTACAGAGCGACGGACGTTACGGAACGCAATCTGTGCCAGATCTTCCACGAGATTCAATACGGAGCAGAATACACTCATCGAACGACGTCGGACGTGAAGTTGGGGCCGGTCGTTATGAATTTAGGCGAAAAACGCGTCATCGATATAAAGGCTAGCGAAAGCGAAAAAGTTGCGACGAATCGTTGTTTCGAATTGGAGAACGTAAAAATTACGTTCATTTCGTTGTCGTCGCTGCCGCTCATGAAGCACAAGAGCGACTACAGGGAATTTTTTCATGTTATTTATTTCGGATGTTTTTACGTGAAGCACTTGTGTAAAGAACTCATCAGCCACGTGGCTGCCGCACGTGCGCTAATTTTGATCGAGAATCAAAAGTTTGTGGTAACACATAGGGAGAAGGAACTTCGTGAATTTGACGAGGAAATTAAAAAAGCTTTAGATGGAGCTCCTCGCAAGGAAACGGCCTTTGATCCGTGTCAGGATAATTTTGCAAAGTTTGTTAAACTGTAAATAAACCTGCTTGCTTACTGTTAATCTTTATTTCTGTTTTTTCTTCAATAATACAGTTTTATTTTTATTTTTTAAAGTACCAAGTTGTTTCTTCTTCATTTTTTTTATTTTCTTGCCCAGCTTCAAGCCAACTTCTTTAGGAACGTCTTTCCAATCTATCTTATTTGCACCCACCGTGTTGCTCTTCGCTTTCGTTTTCTTCGACGATTTCTCTTCATTTCCGGACTTCTTGTTATCCAAACCCGTCTTTTTCTTCTTTTCGTTCGCGACGGGTTGATTTTTGACGCTTTCACTTTTCTTTTCTGCTTGCTTTTTCACTTTCTTTGTCTTCCCACCTGGAACATCCTCCCCATTTTTAATTTTTTTACTCGTGCTTTCCACTTCTTCCGCCTCTTCTTCCACCTCTCTCTTCTCTCCCTTTTCCTCGCCGCCACCGCCCTTCGGTACTAAATTAGAAAACTTCTTAAACTTGGCGACGAAGAAACCGTCCATATTGTGTGCGTGCGGATAAAATCGTTTCGTCAATTTCATACTCGGGTGGAATCTAAACTGTCTAAAATTCGTGAAACCTTCGGTTCCAAAATCCAGTCCTGTATCGACTAACTTAACATTTCTCTTCTTCAACGCGTAATCGACAACCCATTCATTCTCCTCGGGCAAAATCGAGCAAGTCGAATACACCAGATAGCCTCCACTTTCTGACTTTGCATTTAAGCAATCTATAGCCGCCAACAGTAATTCCCGTTGCAAATTATAGCACCTTTGAATGTCCTGCTCATCTTTGTTAATCTTCACGCTCTGATCTTTAGCGATCACTCCCGTGCCAGAACATGGAGCATCCAAGAGAACCCTATCGAAACCCTTCATGATTGTTGGGAATTTCCGTCCGTCCATGCACGTTATTACGGAATTGACGACCCCCAAACGGTGGAAGTTTCCAACGATAGCTTTCGTACGATCGCTGTTCACGTCATTAGCGAAAAGAACCCCTGTGTTTTTCATGAGGGCGGCTATGTGGGAGGCTTTGCCGCCAGGAGCGGCGGACATGTCGAGAATTCTTTCGTTTTCTTGAGGGGCTAGAGCCATCACAGGGAGAAGACTTGAAGCACCTTGGAGGATGTAATGGCCAGCAAGGTACTCGGGAGTGGCTCCAATAGGAACTTGAGAGGAATAGATGACAAGGCCGACCTGAAACGGTTAAATTATTCATTTTCACAATTGCCATTAGTTGCATAGTAAAAGTACCTTGCTCCATTTGCCGACAGGGTCTAGATTAACCCCCCTGTTTATTAAAGCCTGGGCTAAGTCCCTCCTTCGTGTCTTCAAACTGTTTGTTCGGATGGTGAGAGGCCTCTGCACTTCACTGGCCTCCAAAAACTCTAAAAGTTCGTTGAGAGGGAAAAGCTGCATCAGCTTCTCAATCAAGAACTCATTGTAACTGTAATATGTACAAAGATCGTTCTTCAACATCTCCAAATACTCGGAACGGGAATGTTTCTTGTCTCTTAATTTACTAAAATCTGACAAAACGCCAACGACGTCGCGAATCCTCTGTTGAACCTCTTGTAAGCTTGCAGTCTGTTCCCGTTCTTTCTTAGAAGGAAACTGAAATTTCTCCTGGTCACCTATGTTCATTTGCAATTCTTCTTCAGCAAGTTTTTCATCTTCCTCTTGTTTCTTCAAAAGTTCTTTATTCTGTTTCTCAATTGGAAGCAATTCATCGTCTGAAGATTCATCAGTAACGTCGTCCAAAGTCCCCATTTTTAAATTATCGTCGCTGCTGCTATCATCTGACTTGACAACAGTTTGCTTTTTCGGTTTAAGCCACTTTTTGTTATCATCAGTGAAGCCCTTACTGTCGTCTTCTGATTCACTATCAGGAAGGATTTTCGTGTCATTTTGACTGATTGAAGGTTTTAACCACGCCGCTGTGACTTCCTCCGATTCTGATTCGCTACTTTCTCTCTCCACTTCAGGGGTTTTTATCGGTACACTTTTTTTCTTTTTTAATCTTTTCTGTTGACGTTGTTTTTGGCGGTGGCCCAATTTTTTCGCCACTGGCTCATCTGAAATTATCTTTGTAAAAGAAGAAACGATTATGTGTTTTTTTTTTACCTTGCAATGCTTTCGGAAAAGAAGGATCTTTTTGTTTCTTGGCTTTCTTGCCGGGGCCCCTTTTTACAACCACGCCTTCGTTAAATTTCGCTTTTCTACCCATTTTTATTAGTCGCGAGTATTTACGGTAACAAACACACGTGCTGCATTTAAAATGTGAAAATCGCAAACAACAAAACGAGGTTATGTTTTACGTCATTCCGTAATACCAACCAAGTGGCAAAGCAAATTTTGGTGAAATAACTAGAATCACAAAACGCTCATATCATAATCTTGTGTTGTGTTTTGTGATTAAAATCACCAGAATTGTTTATGGACACGTACAGGGTCATCAAAATTGATTGAGAGAGTTGGTACTCCCTGTTTTTGTCGTGAAGTTTGTCAACCTTATGACAGATTTGTTTAAGGTTATATGGCAATGAATTCAGTGGCGTGACAAAAATTAGAAACTTCAAATCTGACAACTAATAATGTTTTTACCAAAAAAAAAGTCGAAAAAAGACGCCACTGAGTTTTGAAATTTGAAACTTGAAACTTCAAATCTGACAGCTAATATTTTTATACAACTTAATAAACCAAATTATTCAAGTTCAGGTTTACCAACTCTCTCAATCAATTTTGATGACTCTGTATTTTAAATACATATAATAATCCTGTGTTGACAACGATTATCGTTTTGCTTTGTTTCTATCTCAATTATTGTTAAGTTGTTATGCAACCAGTCAAACTCATATCGGGGAAAAATTAGGTTATACGGAAAAAATAAAATAATTATCAATCCAGGGCAGATAAATTACTAGTCAACATTATATTTCATCGAAACGGTTGGTTAAATGGAAAGAGGGAAGTCAGGATTTGTCAAACTGCTCTTATAATTGTCATTTTTCAGGTCACGTCGCATCAAGCCACCAACCTCGAGCAAACGAAATCCCTAACAATCTTGGTTTTGTCAGTAGTTAGGCAACCCACAGTTAGTTTCTTGCTTGTGGCACCTCCACCATTTTTAATAAATACTAAAATTCTCCAAATCGGTTACAAGTTGCACAAATCGATCAGTTAAAGTATCTCAATACCAACTGCAACTGAACCGAACTGTTGTCGAGCAAAATGGTAGGTCATTTTCTACTTTCAATTCCACGGGCCTTTAATGACACCTCATATAGGCAACCAAATAAACACGAATTTTGACTCAGCTGCAAGAACGGTCGTTTAGGACACTTCTGCTTGAACGCCTGCAACCGACATTTCATGAAAAAACACTTTGAAAAATGGTGTTTATTCCCCAATTACAAAAAACTGAACAAATGATGCAAAGAAAATAGTAATTTATTGTAGACCGTAGGCCTGGATCAATGCTTCGGCTTTGGCAATGTACTGTTCTTTTGCTGAGTCTTGAGAAGTGCCTTTTTTCGCGTTCCACGCGTCCCACTTGGATTTGCCTTTCAAGTCTAGCATACCCGGTCGGTCTAAAAAATTTTATTAGAAAACGTCACATGAAAAAATAAATGCGGACATACCTGTGTTGACGTCACCGACGGTGCCCTGTTTGAACAGGCCGTAAATTTCCAAAAGCTCGGTGTCCTTTGGTTTTGCTTTCAGCTTCTGGACATCATCAGCGGCTTTTTTGAATCTCTACAAAAGACGTTTGTAAAATGTATCTATGTAGGCGTTCATCGCGAATGAAAATTTTACCAAATCAATTTTTTTTTTCTGTATTACATGAAAGATATGTTACTGAAACTACTGAAAATATTGATAGTTATGCCACATATTTATAAATCATTTGACGTAATACTTGACCTATTTTAATTTTGGTGTACTATTGATTGCATAATTAACTTTGTTAATAAAACGCACCTTACGCGATTATGAGCAGAGATAAGGTAACGTCTTGCAATTTTTTGTGTACATTGAGTAAATATCTAAAACTGATTATCTTATTTGATCTACAGAAATATTCCGTCTGTAGAACAAATTAGAAAACATCGGAGGCAGGTTTTCACTGATTATTTTAGTCTGGAATTTTTATACTCGTTCTTTACACTTCAAAAAAAAGTACATAAAAATTGTCCGTCTTCTTCTAATCGACCTTTCACCCAACCTAACGACAATATCGCACGTACTCACCTCGTCCAAGGACATGTTTCTGAAAAAAAAAAAAAACTATTGATTATAATATATCGATGTTACCAGTCCAAAGTACACAAAGGTGTCAAAAATTTTGCACGACGTTTTAATTAAAATTATCAAATAATCTACAAAAAAGCAAACAGTAAATATAGGTGGCATTGTGATTAAATAATACACAAGATCCACTCGAATTATGACTTATCACACTTCAAACAAAACGAAAAAAAATATATATCAGGATAATCTAGTGGTGATACGAGAAGCAAAGTTTATCAATCACAACGTGTTGCGGGTGCAGAAACTAAATACATACACGATATGTTACCGACTAATAAATTCTCGAAGAAAAATATTTCCGCTGCAACGGTACAAGCCATGAAGGAATTTCGGGTCAAAATACTGAAAACGACAGAATAATTACCAATAGCTGCAATTACCGATGCTTGAGTAACGAAAGGCGACGGGAATGTCGTCAATGCTGATTTGTCATAACTGAAAACTATTTCAATCGTTGAATTCATTACACTCACGAAACACATTTACACACAAAGGAACATGAAGCGTCATAAATTTTAAATTTTAAGAACAGTAAAAATTCAAATTTTTGCCGCCCCGAACCGGCTCGAGACGCCGGCAGTTAACAAACTTAGCTAGAACACGTCCACGACGTTATAGTTCTGTCTTCCTTTAACTCGCTGAAACCTGTATATACGTCTCGCTTCAATAATCACTGTAAGTTGTTTGCTCATGGATATAGACTGCAATTAACACGACTGATTGCAGGAAATGCCACCAAACGTTTTTATGGTAAATACGGTAAATATTGCGGTATTACTGTATCTACGCGCATAACGTAAAAGGACGACGTTAAAAAATCCTGTTTTTGGTAAACCGGCCATACCACATTTGAAAAAAAAAGAATACTTACGCTGAAAAATTTCTGATAAAAACTTGTGCACTACCAAACTTCTACAACACGTCTGCGACTGTGTGGTACAAAAGGACACGTATATAGAGTTGCTTAGGCGAGTGGCAAGTGGAAAGGGAAAACGTGAGACAAATGGATGAGTAGACGAATTAAACTAAAACTATTGGTTGATTCGAACGTGGTGTGGGATTAGACTGAGAGTAGCCGTGTTGGAGACAGAGAAAACAACAAATCTATGTACGAAAAGACATTGCTTGATTGGTTTTTATATTCAAGGAGAAACGAACCGTAAACAAGAGATTGTCATTTGTTTGTAGCAGAATGTTTAACACGAATGTTATTTTATGTTAATAATTTTGATGTATGTTCTTTTTGTGGCGCGATGTTCAAGGTTAAGATGAGGGTCAATCGATTGCATTAAAGTGGGGGTATAGGCAACACATAATTCGGGACAGCCCATATTATGTGTTGCCTGACTATCAGTATAAATACGGTTAAAATATTTGAGAATGTTGGAATTATTTATTTCCTAAAAACTATTACCTCGTTGTTTATTTATTAATGTTTGCTTATGCAGCACTTTTAAAATCCAACTAATACAAACATTTTATTGTACAAACAAAGAACCAGTTACACTTTGAATTACGTATTCATTGTTAATTTATAATTTTTTTAGTATTCGGCCACTGAATTACAAACTTTCGAATACGTTCAAAATTTCTAAGAAATGTATTAACCAAAACACCTAAAATTCGCACCATCCACACAGAACAAGACAAACATCGTCAAAGACATGAAAACTTGTTAAAACATTCATTCCAAAAACTTCGGCTGGACAATTATGTATACAAAAGTTGAAATAGTCTTCTTCCGAAACTCATTTACCACATGCATACTTACACGAACATTAACACAAACAACGCTTTGCGCCATCGATGACTAATTGAAAAAAAAATGACTCGACAAACCACAATCATCACTAATTCCACAAAAACCAGTTTCCAACAACTTTTATTAAATTACGAAATACTAGAGTGTATGCAACCTAATCTATTTTTCAAAGCACGTCGGTGTTGCCATGTGTTCATCTTCTTGTTCAGGCATAAGTTCCAGACAAACCTTGCACTTTTTCGATGTACTTTTGCTTAGCCAAATCCGCAGCAAGTCCTTTTTTACCATTCCAGGCCTCCCATTTTGCTCGCCCTTGTATATCCGACGGCTTCGCTGTGCAACACTCATAAGTTTATGACGACTTTACGACGTAAACTACTTACGAATGTTAATATCTCCGAGCGTCGCCTGTTTGTAGAAGGAATAAACTTCCAAGATATCTGAATCTGGGGGTCGTTTTGAAAACGCCCTCATTTTCTCGCAGGCAGATTTGAATTTCTGTGAAAAAATACTGTAAGGGATAGACAACCAACACTGCAACTTACCTCGTCCAGAGACATAGTCCGCACTAACGCAAACACTATGGAGTTCGCTCTTTTATAAAAGGGATACGTGTCAAAGTATTCATTCAAAGTCCAAAGTTAATGTCACATTTATTGCCCGACAACGCATATTTACAACAACAGAGTAGTTATTTCAGTGGGTGGCATATTAATAGTAGCGGCTAAGACAGGGTGGGCTTGGCCTTTGCGTATCACGAACACCCTTATTGCCTGTCCCGGGAGTTGTTCTTCTCCACTTTTTAATACTTCGGTTACTTTAGTTTCAAGTTTGTAGGACAAACCCGGAGGTATTAGAGGCACCTATAAGTTACCAAAAGGTGGTACCGGTCGTACTTGAACCCGCCACTTACCGTACTCAGGTAGCTCGATAATTTATAAATTGTTGGTTTAGCGTGAAACACCACTGAGAAATTTGAAACGGCTTTGTCCCCGTTCATATTTTCCAAAGTCAAAATGAGAGTAAATTTAGGTCCCAACCCCAAAATTTGCGCCGATAGCTTGACTTGTTCTTCGGCATTCCCCGCTCCCGACTGCTCAGTTAAATTCTGCACCAAAGCCCTGGCCGCCGTCAACCTTAAGTTAACCAAATCCTGCTGGAAACTCTGGTGCATTTGCATAGGATCCTGCCTCTCCCTCATGCTCTGCTCGATAAACAACTTGCTTCGTTTGGGAAGAGGCAGCGGCTTACTTTGCAACGTAGGCACCGACAATTTATCCTGATTCGACAAATTAAAATCGGCGGTGCGTTTCAAAATTTTGAAGTTGATGGTACCACCTGCAAAATCCACCAAGAAAAAAAAACAACCGCGGCTGCGACTTACCCATCGTTATGATGACCATCACGTGTTCTTCTTGTCCCAGTTGCCCGAAAACCATCGCCGATGGAGTATCAGGTGAGTTCGTGTAGTCGACGGTTTGGCGACCGTGGTACAGATGGACGGAACCACCCTTCAAACCTACTGCTATCAAATGTGTGCTTAAGTGTTTCAGAGGGACGAGGCAGAGGCACGTTATCGCGTTTACTGTAGCTGCAGACCATACTCTTTGCCCCTACAAAACCACGTTAGTACCGGTTGAAGTCGTACCAAACCGTACCCTTTTAGTGTAGCAGTGCAGCATTTTCGAGGTGGTACCAATGATGATGAAATTGTCTCCCGGAATTAGTAACAAGTCGATTATGTCTTCGTTCAGTTGAACTACAGGTTTACCTTCCAGCCATCCCCTGCGTAGTACGCATATGCTATTTTCTCGGCAGGCTACCACGATTCGAAATTCGACATCATACATTCCGGTCGTTTTGATTATAGTCGGCGTGGACTTAACATTGCAAACGTTAGCCTTAAGAAAGATAGTTATTACTTAGTGGACGATTAGAAAGTGACGATCGTACTTGATGAAGAACCGTGAAAATCTGGGGGTCCAAGACGTAGATAATACCATCTTCGGTACCCAGAACTGGGCAAGCCACCGCTAAAGCATCCTGCGAGCTCCGATTGAGAGTACTCATGCAAACTATCGGTGAAGTCTTGATGGGCGTAATCCCGACGTACCTCTGGATGTATTCTTGCGCTTGGTTGGGTTGGAGATTCAACAACTCTTGACTGCGACCACTCAGCTGGTTAAAATTCACAGATTTGAGATCCGTTATTAGCTTTTGAGTGTCGTAATTCGGCTCGGCGAACAATTTCCAACATTCTTCTTCCAGAGGGGTTAGAGGGCCCGGGGGTACGCAAAACTTATAAAACGGTTTGTTATTCTTGAAAATGAGAAGATCGGAGCTACAAGCCACTGCAACAGCTACAAAAAGAATTACAAAGTACTAACAAGGGTGTGGAACGGAACCTGGTACTCTCGGTTCCAAATCGTCCGTGTAGAAGCTTATAACAGAGCTCGGTACGTCCGGTAGTACTTGATCCGAGGTGAGTAAAGTGCCTTTATAAACTTTCAGTCTGCTTCTCTTATCGGTTTGGATTCTAACATCCGTGAGTACCAGTTTGTAGTCTCCGTCCCCGGAAACGTCCGCCAAGATGACATTTCTTGCAAACGTCGTAAGCCCAGCACTGCGGTCGGAATGGGCTTCCAACCAACGTGATATGTTCAAGTCGCTGCAAGATGATGTAAGATCGGTATTTATGTGCAATCATTATGTGCAGGTGTTGTGAAATGAAATTCCAAAGCTTACCCTCGACTCATTTGCAGTTATTTTATGAAAATCTATTTTCGACGTGTACGTGTTTGTGTTTGGTTACCACGGAGTGCTGGGATCGATATCTGCGCTCTGGTCGTCCGGTAAGTTTAATGCCCGTTTGCACCAGTTCTGGTTAAATGTGGCCGTTTGCTAACCACCGTTAAAGTTAACCATAGGGCTAAACAAGACTTGCTTTGCACCGCGCGTTACAAGACCCAATGTTAACTAACCAAAGGTTAATACACGCGTTGTTTGGCAACGTCGCAAATTTGAGGGTATTTGATGATAGCCGTTGGTAGCATTGGTGTGCGCACATGGTTTTGTGTACCAAACAGAGACTTTAATTAAAGTCGCTGGTACCAAAGAGGTTAGAGACAGCTGAATCTGCTGTTTACTCTTCGTTCAGTGAGTACATTTTAGCGCATCAAACGAAAGCGACTCTTGATTACTTATTACCTTGTTACTAGTGATGTAAGTATTGTTGCTTTAATTGCAGTCAGTTTTTTAAGTTATGGAAGGCAGAGGAAAAAAAAGGATGCGTGCACCAAACTTTTCCATTGACGAAAAGTTGCGAATTTTATACGTTATAGAAAAGTATAAGGATGTGGTTGAGAACAAAAAAACCGACGCTCTAACGTGGCAAGAAAAAAATGCAGCGTGGACTAAAATTACTGCTGAGGTAAACTCAAATGGTAGTGTACCTCGCACAGTGGAAAATATTAAAGGTTTCTTTGAAAACCAAAAAAGAAGTACTAATAAAAAAGCTGCAGTTGAAAAAAGGCAGTTGAGGCGAACCGGGGGAGGCAGCACAACTGCTATTGTAGATGATCCCACATTTGGGATCACTATGGAAATTTTAAATAAAAAAAATATTTATGGATTACAAAACCTTTATGATGGAGATGGCGACGATTTAGATCCTGGCAATTCAAAAGTAAGAATAAAGTTATTTATGTGGTGGTGTACAATAAATATATAAAAATATACATATTGTAGGTTGATGAACAAACATTCCAAGGCGCAGCAAGTACTTGCGAAGAATACGAAGATACTTTACAGGGGCCCTCTATTAATTCAAAGGTAACGTTATAAAGCAAATATTGCAAAAATGTAAATGTTTACATTTTATACTTTTAGGTTGAAAACTCGACAGATTGGGGCAATTCATGCCCAGCCCAGTTGCAGGCTCCAATGAATCCCAAACTGGCGGCACTCATTGACAGGCAAACACAAAAACAAATTGAAGTCCCTGCAACTCCGTCAACGTCAACTTCATTTACTAATAAAAAAGTAAGTTGTAGTTTTTCTTTTATTAAAATTTAACAATTATGCACATTACAGCAAGAAAATACATCACACTCAAGGAGAAGACCATCTTTGCACTCTTCAACAAATGTGGCCAGAAAATATGAAGAAGTGGCAGAAAAGAAAAAAACATTATATGATATTCAAATTTCCATTTTTCGAAAATTTCAAGAGCAGCAGGAGGAAATGGCTCGTAACTATCAGCATGATTTAGAAGAGAGAAGAAAACATGACGAAAAGATTCGTTCTCTACAAATTCAAAAAGAAGTGTTGGACATTGAAATAAAAAAGGCCCAATTAATAGCTCTACGGAAAGGGATAGAAAATGAATAACATTATTAGTGTTATTAATATTGTATTTTATAAGTATTAATGCTAACAAAATGCTAACTATAAATTAATTCATAAATTTCCAAAATAATTTTGAATCAGAAAATCCCTCGTTCCATCCACATGCCTTCGGTTCCTAATATCCCCAGGTGCAACTATTTGCCCATCCTGGATTAGCCTTTCTAGCTGCTCTTCATTAACCAATTCAGGAAGAGGTGGAGGCACATTATCATTGTGGCGGAGTGCCAAATTATGTAAGACACTTGCAGCTACAATGATAATTAAACATGTGTCAACTTTTAGCCTACACCCATAAGCTAGTATAGGGAATCTTCTCTTTAAAACGCCAAAACATCTTTCGATAACATTCCTAGTCCTAATGTGGCTTTCATTATATAACTGCTCTGGAGGTGTTCTCGGATTTAATAGGGGTGTCACTAAATACTTCCCATTTGCATAGCCACTGTCACCTAAAAATGTTATAAATAAATTTGAAGGTAAAAAAGTAATAGGTCTTATATTTTACCAAGAAGTAGACAATTAGGATATACATTGTCCTCAAAATCATCTTTAATACGGCTATGGTTAAAAATATTAGAATCATGGGCAGACCCTGGCCATCGAGCAACAACATTCATTATTTTCAAATTGGCATCACAAATCACTTGAGTGTTGATAGAAAAGTACTGTTTTCTATTGCGATATATTTCTCCATCAACTCCACCTAAAATTTACAAATAACTGAAAATTTCAATAAAATATATGAAAAACATTACCGGGAGATTGAATTTTTACGTGGGTACAATCAATGGCCCCTACAACTTTTGGAAATCCGCTAATAGAAAAAAAGTTCCGTTGATTTTCACTCATTTCGTCATTTGTACTAGGAAATTTTATATGTTGTCGATACAATCTTGCAATTGCTTCGGAAACTCTTTTCACAATTCGTGACACTGTCGACAAATGCATCCCCATAAAATCAGCTATGTTCTGAAGGTGTCCTCCTGTCGAAAACACTCGCAAACACGTCAAAATCTGATTCATGGGCGAAACAGCATTATTCCTAAAAGCAAATTCGATTGTTGTTTTGGTAACAAATATTTTTACATAGGTAATATTCTTACATATCAGATGGGAATTCCAATTCACGTTCAATCGATATTAATAGATCGAGAACACACGCTCTGGACAGTCGAAATCGACGACGAAAAGCTGCATCGTCCAGAGTATCAAAGTGGTTATGACGCGTATAAAGTTGTCGAGGCAAACCATTGAAGATGAAGTCGAGTACTTCAACATCCTCCACATCCTCCTCATCCTCATTAATTCTTATTTCAATTTCCATCATTTTTCTTTTTTTCTACACAACGATATGGCTCACACACCAAAGACGCCACTTGCCACACTTGTAAGATATATTTAATGAGAGCTGCACAGCTGATCACGCGCCGCCATCTTTACAAATAGTGTCTGTTAACTTAACCACCGCTTAACCACCACCCAATCTGCCGATTAAATTTGGTCGTCGTTAGTTCGAGTTAACTTACGGTTAGTACGCGGTGCAACGAAATTAACAAAATAACGGCCGGTTAAATTTTAACCAGAACTGGTGCAAACGGCCATAAATGTTTGAAAGTGTTAAGATCTTGTTAGTGCTTATATGATCGAAGGATCGTGTATACTACGGAAATGATGATAATTTGTTTATATTAAATTAAAATTTTAAAACATAATCGTAGACTGTGAAAGGCGGGGTGAAACATTTCCACTTCAGTTTGAAAAGTTGGTTCTATTTTTCAACGCGAAATTGTAACTGTTAGTGTGCAAAATATCAGTCAATCTGTCGAAGTTTCTCTAATCAGAATTCAGACGTGTTCGTTTATGTCGACTTGCGATTAACGTGCGAGGGCACAGAACAAAGCCACTGCTCGCGCTGTTTAATTTCAACGACCATTAAATATAAATGATTGGTTTTCGCAATAAACATCCGAAGTGATAAACCCGCCATAAAACTCCACCATCGCATAATTCGCGTCCTTGACTTGACCATTCACATCAACAATCGTCCCAACAAAGACAACAGGTGTTGTGGCGACGACCGACTGCAACATCATATTCAGCCCAAATTTCGCTACAGTCTCGATCGCTCAATCGCCATTTTCATACAAAGCCCCATGTCAAAGACACGTGTTCGCCGAAAAAATCCGCCGCCCACGTGACCATTGTCAAAACAAACGAGGTACTACTCTTCAGGTACTCCCCTCGCTAATCCCTACACCTGAGGAATGTAAAATCGTGGCCGATTCCGTCGCCGTCCGAAGAAAAACGAGTAAATGTCAAACAACAGTATAGCGTTTCAGTCGTTCGGTGGCTGACGCGCGAAATATGCCATTAACAGTTTTATCGGCGCGTATCCGGTTCAATAAGACACGTTCGAGTGGCATTTTGTGAGAAAAGTACCTTTTGAGTGGACGTGAGGTGGTACCAAAAAAGCAGGAATTTCGACCGCCGAGTCGCCGATAATGTGACAGCGCAAGGTGAGTGCTGGTGTCCGGTGGTACCCTCGTAGCGCCTTCGTCTCCTTTTGTACGTGTTAATTAGAAGAATTAATCTCGACTTCCGTTCGCATCGAATGGTCGTGTCGAGATAAGCGAGCCTGTGTTATGACATGATGGTGAATAATCCCGCTCGTGCCGTCTTTTTTCTCAAGCCCGACGTCGATCAGCTGGTGCCCTATCGCAACAATTAGCTTTGTTCTCGTCACGTGACCACTTAACAGTATTCTGTGTCCGTTGCGTTCCATAATCCATGTGGTTTCGTCCGTGCCCACCAAGCCCAGCGAACGCTAAACAAATTCATATTTATTTATAATAAAACAGTAAACGCCGACGCTGCAAACAAGGTTTGTTGACATTGCAGCGCTAAAAGGGGGCTCTATTTAGCTGACTTTCGCAACTGCGTGTCTCTTGATCGGGTTGCAAAACGCAGCCTTTGCGAAGGCCTGCCGGTACTAACCGTTCTCATAATTGTTTTCTTACGTCACTCTAAAATTCTTTCTTCAGATGCGATTATTAGTTGAAAGTGAATTCTGAAATAGTCGAAGTGCTTGCAAGAGTTACGCAATTGCACTTCCTAGAGGAATTTGGTACCGATACACTTTTCGCGGGCTTCAAGTAGGACGATGGAAGTGGTCACTCGGGTTCAGTAGACCGTGGAAGGTTTGAGCGGTGAGGATAATCTAATTAGCGACACGATTGCGATTAGACAAAAGCGGCTTGTCTTACACGGTACGACTTTGTCTTTGCATCGAGGAAAAGAAAGTACTAGTTTGTTGGGTTTTTCTAGATTTTCGGGGTCGATTCTAAGCTGGGAATATGAAAAACTAAGATTGTAATAACGTAATCGATATTACGTCAGAGTGGTTTATGTGCAACTATTTGCTTTCTACAAGCATGTAGGTACTTTTCATACAAATATGTAATAAACGTTTGACACAGTGGTCGCTTTTGTAATTGCAAATTATACGCGGAAAATGGAGGTATAGATAACAGAATTTGCATAGTACGTAAACATATAAATTTTTGTAAATCAGTGGAAAACACCGGTGGTACTAAAAGTTTCAATTCCCCATTTCGTACGTTTTCAAGAAGTTGATATTGTTGTCTTCATTGCACATTCAAGGTACGTGAAACTTTTCGTATTTGTGAAAGAATTCCCAGCGATGTAGTATGCTTGTTTGTTTGTATGTTATATACAATGTCAGTTCTGTAGTAAGTTTTTTTAAACGAACACGTAGGCATGTCAGCAATTTTCTGTTTACATTCGCTACTTGAGTTTACTCGAGATAAATGTTTTCTCTTAAATTAACAAATTACATTTACCTTTAAACATCGCTCGAATAAATAACAAAATTTGTCATCAGCGGGAGTTTTCATTTTTGCTGTTTCTTCAAACTAGACGCAGTTAATTCGTTCGAAATTTTATTTTATTTCTTAGAGTAATTGATAATCTAGATCTTAGAAAAAAAAATTATTATTAGAAATTTTGACTTATCTACGCGGTAACAATAATCCGCCAAAAATCCATTCATTTGTGGTTAAGTATGTGGGTAGTACCTCGAATCGGAATGGTATACTTTTTTGCAAGTAACCACAATAAAAACCATCCGAAGTATATGTTGTATTGTCGTTTCTTTCTCTTAATGAACATGAGCTCGTTGAACAATGCATTTGTGTCGTATTAACAACGTATTATTTAAAAAACGGTAGTACCGGGTCCCGTTTTATGGCAGTACGCACCATAAGTTTTCTCTGAAATGCAATTTAGTGCAGCCAACCAGTTCTTGTGAAATTTCAAAGTGTCTCTTAGCTTAATCGTCCGAACAATTGCCATTTGCTAAATATTTGTACGTGCCATTAGTACTTATGCAGCCTATGCGGCGACAATAATTCTTTGGAGACGCCAAATCAAAATTTACAGAGGTATTGTAGTAATTGTTCGCGATAAGAACCAATAAAAACTTTTGTTTGTGCTCGAAAAGTGGATCAATTGTGTGGCATTATGACCTCGAAAATTTAGATTTCGGTACTACCAACGTGTGCACGAGTTTGTTACGGTTGCAAAAAGAATCGCAGCGGTACCACGTTAATCGCCCGGAACGATTGATTATTATTAAACTCTTATCAAAAACCCACATCCTTACGACGTCAAGTCCGACCACAAGTGTCACAATAGGGATATCTCTATCGCCAGCTTCCCATCCCGTGCGCCTTCCTTGTCATCAAAAAAGCGCCATTTTTTCCTCGACTAAACGCACCAACAAGCCGTTTCGCAAAGGAAATTTCGATTAGTCGTTCACCGCAAGCACTTGGTATTCACGCGACGCCCCAGCTTCAGCAGCCACTCCTCGCGGTACCGCTCAAGAATCGCAACCAACAAACAAAGATCCCCAAGAATTCGTTATGAACTGTTACACAAACATTTTTCTCCATGAATCACTATCGATTAGAGACCGCGCGAAAGTAGGTCCTTGAGTGTGATAATGATTCAGTAGCCGGCAGATAAGTAAGATTGGTACTCGTTTTTCCAGACTTGCGGTAAAACTTTTAATTACAATTAATCGTAATAATAAAAGTCTGCGCTGTGAGAAAGCTTAAACGAGCACAACAAAGCCTGCACTGTTATGGGACGAGTTTAATTAGCATCTGGGGTTAGTGGCCACCGATTCCCAAGAAAAAATCAAAATCGGCGAAAGTCGTTGAAAAGTCAAAGTGAGATATAATTGGCGCGCGCTTTCGTGACTTTTGGAATTCCGGACGATGTAGTTTGTGAGAAAACAGAAGTTTCTGTGTCGCGTTTTTACGCGGATTGCGAAACTGTGGGAAATTTGTATTTGTGACATGAAAAATGACGGGAATTCGTGTAATGGAAGCCGAGACTTTTACTTGCTGTAATCGATGAAGAGCTAAAAGCTATCAATCACGATTAGAAGGTGGGTCCTGGTGTGAAATTGATGCTTTATTATTATTGATGTATTTGGTTCTGTTTGTAGAAATTGGTGAATAAACACCAAAGTGGGTTCAGTCAACGGGTTATGGCCAAATTTTCTAGCGTCGACAGTAAGCTTGATTTACCGAGTGAAAATTGTGAATGATTGATGACGTCACGATTTTACCCATTTTGAAATAGCTACCTTGACTCGGTAATGGAACTTTTCATTAGTAATTTAGTGTTCTAGATTCCAGAATTTGAAATTTCCAATATCGGTTCTGTTTCGTGTTTCACAGCGAACCGACGCAGATTTTTTTTTCCCATAGTAATCGTCAAGAACATTCACAGATCAACTTCTATTAAAACAAAAGATATCCTTCGGTATCCATGAATTTTAAACAAATAAAGCGTGACGTTTACAACATTGATATGAAATAATTGTCCACCTACTACTGCGCTCACACGATAACATTGTTTTCTCCGAATGCAATAACATTATTTCCTTTTAATTATTGTATTATTTATCTCTCCCTCTTATCAAATTAGTAGGCCGAACCGTCATTGTCGTCGTACCAAACAAACTCGGTAATGCTTTGACTACACACTTTAATTATCTCGATCGTTACAAGATGATTCAGGGATTTAGATAACGCCAACGATTTCATAACGATTTATAAAATTACTAACAACAAACATAAATAATTAACAATAGTTATAAATAGAAACCGCCGTCGCCATAGCAGCCTTCTCTCATAAATTATTCATCTGTGCTAGTACCAACGGACAAAAGGTACTTGTGCCCCAAATCTCCGAAATCCGAACACAAATCTCTGCCATCGCCCGACTTAATTACGGATGAATCATGCGCCCATCGCTGGGCAAAAACGCATTCCTCTCTTGGTACTTGTGACTCACGGTAACAACATTCCATCCACATTTCTTGCCGATTCCCCGAAAAAATCAATCAAAAACCATCCCATACTTCCACAGTTCAACGTTCTCCTCAAACCGCAAAGTCTTATCGGTACCATCCGGAAGATTATCGAAAATCGAGCGGTACCCGTACCAAGTGGAGCGAAAAGTTATTAATCGGCAAAATCGTCGCGAAAGTTATCGAAGGCCGTCTTCTTTAGGCAAGAGGATGCTACAAGTCGTGCATATTTCATCAGTTCGATTGTTCGAAGTGATGTTATCATTAATCAAAAGGAGAAGAAAAGGCGACTCGAGCTATTAATTACGTTTATGGCTTGTATATTCAAATCGCGACTTGTTCGCCGAAAAAAAGTGTGAGGTGGAGTCGAGAAAAATTGATGGGCAATGGTCGCCTGGGTGAAAGGGGCTTGGAGAAATGGGTTACAGTTTACAGATTTTTACAGATGCAGCGTGCACGAGCGAGGAGAAATTTTATGGAAATTTATTGATTGCGAGGTCTGCATCGACGGGAGAAATCGGAAGTGCGGGCACTTTTGAAAAATATCTCATCAAACGGCGGTACTCTAGAGTACTGTTGGCAAGACGAAGATTTAAGTACGCGTGATAAATGCAGCTACTGTGGAGATGAGAAAGTACGTTTTCGTACCATTTTCAGTTCTCTTTCGAAACGTAATGAGATTAATTATCTTTTGGTAGTACCGGTTTTTTTTGTAAGAAACCAAAAATCGATGACCGTGATTGTAGTTACACTGAGATTTTTCATATTGCTCGGTAGTGCATTCTTTAAAGTACTCTTAGTAGTACTATGCTAGATCGACGTTTAAATTCGATCTTTTTTCGTGTGGTTTTTTATTCAAAACTCGTTCTTATCACGATGCGGCTACCACGTTATAGGAGAAGGTACTGCTACCTTTCACAAAAATATCCGAGAATTGGGTTATGGTGTGAACGTGAGTTATCTATAAACACACGTGTAGTTAAATAAAGTAGGTTTCCGAGATTTCTTTAGTAATAGGTATATGAAATGTGGCTTCTGGACCACCCAAAACGGGGCGCTTACGATCTCGTAAAATTCACAAATCTCTAAATACCCCGAACGCAAAACCTGTGAATGAATTTTTTGTGTATGATTTATTATCGTACTAACGTCACCGATAAATTTATACAACTCACTAATCCATCGCATTGTTACAGGATTTCGCAACCACCAGCCATGCGAGAGCGACCAACAGAATGGGCAATTTGAATAAAAAAGTTTAGTGGCCTCGGGTAAGCACTACTTCACGAACACATACGTACGCCTCGGGAATTTTAATTGTGGACACCTATTATAGTTTATGCGATTTGGCTTACAAACAAGAATTTTTCCAAACCGCGGAGGTCACGCAAACAATGCTACGAAAGGCCGACAAATTATCCACCAGCTTGTCAACCGGCTTAATTGTTTTTAATTAAATCGAATTCAATTAAACTGTCACTTTTCATTTCGACCATCTCCGACCCAGATGAAGGGTTTCCTTGCGGGGAAAACGAGAAAGTGATCGCTCGAGCAGACTTGACTTGCAAGCGAAGTCGTAGAAATTGCCTTGCACGAGTTTTCTTGTACGTTTATTGCTGCGACAAAATGTGAATTTATAATTCGGAAGGAACTACCGTAGTACCTGATTAGCGATTATTTAGTAGTGCGGGGTCGGGTGCTACTAGCGCACGTTTGGTTTGATGCAAAATGCAACCGAATCCATGTGTAATCGCCCGCTGAAGGTGTCCTATAAGGTTGATTGGAGTGGTACCGGCCGTACCTTTCCAAATCGTTCAAAACAAAGTTTTTGCCGGCATTATACATGCGAACGTCACATTCCGGTAAGCATCGTCACGCGTCAATAACAACCCAACTTGGTATTTTTATTGCGGACTGTTTGACGATATTTGATAAGAAAGCCATCAGTTCTGACGACTCAAACTTCATTTTCAGGCAAACTCATTATTTTTCCTCAAACTCCACCGCATGCACATCCTGCTTTAATCGATCTATGCAAACACTCCGTATCTTCGTGCTGTTGTCATAACATATTTAAAAACTAGTACAACATTCTTTTACTCGAACCTTCATAAATCGTTAATCCATCTCGTAAATACTGATAAGATAACGTTTTTGTTGTTTCCAGAACGATGGCAGCCCACGTAAGTTCAGTGCAGTGGGAGACTCCTCTGTCGTTAGATCGACACTTGGTGATTCCATCCGTCAACCCTTCGTTCCTCCACTCGCAAAAGCTCCGCGAATCCTTATCCGAATCTCGTAAAGCCTTCTTGCGCGCCATCAGCACCGATGAAGAAACGGAAACGGTAGAGCCCAGCCATGAACCCTCAAAGAAAACCCCCGTGAAGAAGATCAGCTTCAAGATAAAGAAGACCTCGTCCGTGTACCGCCGTAACGCCTCGACCGCCCCCAAGATGGCCACCCTCAGCGCCAGCAAGGTGGCCGAACTGACGAAGAAATTTAACCAGTTCAACGAAAATCCCGAGCCGACAAAAGTGAGGAAGTTGGTCAAGCGGGTGAATAGCCAAAGAAGTTTAGATAGTGACAGAGTGACGCGGAAGAGTAGTGTGAAGTGTGCGCGGAAACCGAGCGTGAAGACGAGGGAGAAAGAGATCGTGATAGTGAAGCGCAAACCGGTGATCAAACGCGAGAGTGCCAAGAGGGAGGACCAAGACAGACCGAATACTCTGCGAATCAGCGAAGATGTGCAGCCGACGCCGAAGCCGTCGCCGGGCGGTACCGTCCGGGCGGCCATCGAGATCTTTGAGCGGAGGAACTCGAACCCCGTACCTAACCAAGTGCCAAAACCCAAAGTGCCTGAGAAACCCACGAAGCTCAAAGAAATGAAGACTGAAGAAGTACCAGTACAAACTAACATTCCCAGGAGATGCGATTCGATGTACGAAACGTTTAACGCGACTTTAACGCTAGCGAACCCACTGAAGGAGACGAAATCTGAAGAAGCCATCGTACCGGTCAAACCCAAACCAAACACTTCCTTCCTGTGGAAGATCAATCAAGACAAGTCACCGTCGACGTCGCAAGACGACTGGAAAGATCTGTACGACTTCGTGGACCCGACGCCTCAGGTGCCTCCGCGCTCTGCTCCTAACCAAAAACCCCCAACCCCTCCGAAAAAAACTTTCAAGAAACCTCCGCCCGAAGAAAAGATCTACGAAGAGTTGAACGTGTGCAGGGACGAAGATACGGTTAGTCACGCTTACGAGTACTGCGAAGACGACGGGTACGAAATTTGCTCAAAGGAGAACATCTACGAGACGTTGCCTCCTCCTCTACTTCCGCGAAGACAACAATTGGAACCTCTGCCGCCGCGACCTCCGTCGAGGAGTAGCAGCTACTGTACCATCCAGGCCGGGGAGAACGTTTCGAACTGCTACGAATCCATCTACAACCCCGAAACTAAATCGCTCGACGTGGAAAGTACTTACGAAAGCATCTATGGATGTCAGATCCGTGAAGGAGGTTCCAACCGCGACTCTCTTATTTCGTCCGACCAACAAAGTAACAGTTTGTACGGAAGGGCCAGTCTGGCGGGGTGGGGGGACGATCCTGCCAATCCCTACAGCGGAAAGGCGACGAGCGACTTAAGTACGAGCGATCGCAGCGACGATTGGGTGGATGTGACGGATAATGAAGAAAACGACAACGACAACTCGGAAATCATCATGTGAGTTTTTTTGTTGACACTGTTTTGATCCACGTAGAAAGGTGCATTCTAGTGTTAATGGTCTAGCTTATCAAAATTTATGATCAGGCTATTTTTTGCTATTTGCTTAACCTTAAACGGAGTATAATTGCCTTGGTGGCCGCCTGCGGCGATGTCTTCTTCGCGACCGGTTTTGATAGTGACGTCAGCATTGATTTTTTTGGATTGCAGAAAAAATTGTGTCTGAGGAACGGAGCCGAAATGTACGCTTCCGTGGAAAGTTTCCTTCAATTAGTTTATACGTTCTATAAAAACGCAGTTTTATGATATTCAGCGCGACAGGAAATGTTTTTGTTGGCTGTTTTAGTTTCAAGGAAGTTTTTTATTAGCGAATAGTGGAATGACAATGAGAATGGAGGTGTCCTTGCAGCTGGATGTAAACTAGATCGCAAACTCGCGTGTATAGTTGGTTGCCTAGATCGCTATAACACCGATTGCATTGTTTTTTAATTCCACTTTTCAAAGAAAATAATCTTTTATCCGGTATTATCGAAGCTAATGGAATTTACCAATTACGTTTCTTGGGGCCTTAAAATGGGAGCAATTATTTTTTATGTCACAAAGTCGTATTTTATGCATAAGAATTCCCAAAGGTGTCCTTACGGGTAAAATTTTTAGGATAATTGGCATTTTAAATCGAAGACCATGGCTTAGTTCTCAGAATTAAGTTAATGGTAGCCTTTGCATTGCTATTTGTGTTACACCTACTAACTAATTTGGTGCTTGAGAGCAGCCACCAGGAAATTGGCGGTAATTTAACAACAATAGCCAATGTTGATAATTCGTTTAGTTACACGAATTCTTTGTAACGTTTGAGAAAGTGACCATTTATTTGCTCGTTTTCAGAATTCGCGAACGCCAAAAGCCGAAAAAAACGCCGGGATGGTCTAGACAGTGCCGGGAGCAATGGTCCAAGTCCCCCAAGAAACTAGCAACGGATCACTGTAAGTTAAATTTTCATTAACATTAATTATTCTTCAGGTGTTGTTATAACGCAACCGCTCGGAAAAGTTACAAACTTTCTACATTGCACTAACTTTATATTCAGTACACACTGCCATCTTCTAAGCACTTCCAGGTTCCATCGACTTTAATACATCGATAATTACAAAACGACATTTTAATAATGTTTTAATGGGTGTTTAGTCGTTCCGTAACCTTGACAGGTTTTTTCCATTTGTCTATTTTTAGAAAAAAACGTAACCCCGTTTCTGCAACTTTCTTACATCTTCACAAACATGATCAATTACGTCATCGTTTTTCTCTTTTTTTGATTGTTAATTGTACGTGTTCGCGTTTTCCCGTACTTAGAAATCTTGAGAACGATCTTCTTTGTTGTGTACATAGATCTTGTATGAACACACGGAAACGTTAGGTTAAGGTCAGAACGTTTTTAATTTGAATTAACGACATGGGAATTGGCTTCTGAATCGCTTTGGACACTCGGACACCGATTTTATCTTCGGCGTTAAAAATTCGCATGTTTTGTTTCGACTTCCTCTTGCACCTCTTCCCTCCTAAGCGCAACTAATTGCATTTTTTTGCATAAAAAAACTTTCCCTTATAATTTCCGGCTTACGACGCGCGAACACGGAGTCCAGCACGTGAGGAAAATTAATCGACACCACATTCTTCATTGTTTGGAGCACGCGCTTTATCGGCGCATCTGTGACTTAAGCCGTCGAAAGTCCTGAATGGTTTTTGCCGCGTTCCCTGTAACCAAAATGGCGCAATTTAGTTGCCCAATCCGACTTTTTGTTGTTGTTCAAGGTGCGGAGCAGGTTGTTGGTATTAATTCAATGACAAACGGAATTACTAATCGTGCATGCTCGTACCTCGTCGTTCGCTCTTCGCACAATGCATCGAAAGAAGGTGAAACCGCAAACAAGCAACCTTTGTGTGCTGGTCGTACCCAACCCGATCCGCCCAGAGACGTCCATCGCCAAATTCGCACTTTTACACGTTTTCGAGAAAAAGCTATCACCGTTGACCGCTCGCCAACACTCGTCGACTTCGCAATTATTTAGTTGCTGCATCGAGTGAAAGTTGTGCGTCGTTCAGTACCCGACGGTACTACCGCGAGTGCACTTGAGCGATTTTCGATCATTATATTGTCAGTGATGGAATTTTTCGTGTGGGACGCCGAGTGATGTCACTGCGTGGTTATGCAAGAAGTGTATCAGTGCTAAATCGGGATGTTGCCAATGAAGTCGTGTCCGCTATTATCTAAAATGGGATAGTTATGATGAGCGTCGGTGAAAATCCACGTCATAGGCGGTCGGTTTCGACGGGTTCCGGTCGACGAAGCGAGAAAATTGCCCCGGTACCACCCCCCAGATCCGCGCCTACGACGTGTCGAAGACCGAGGAGGCACGTCGGGGACAGGGTGTTCGTGTCTTCGCCCACGAAAGTCTACCTGGACTACGTGGACGACAATCTAAAGGTTGCAATGGAGAGGATAGCGCCCGAAGAAGAAGAAGAAGAAGACTTCGACGAAGAGAGCGTGGGCGAGATGATCCGCACGTCGAAGGACATCCCCAAAATCAGAAGCAGGATCTTCGAGGACAGTCTAGAAAGCCAAGAGATCAGCTTTTACATAGGTCAGGGAGAAAGAAAAGCCGATTGTAGCGCGCGGTGTGAAAATATTAATCGTCGCGGTGGAGATAGTGTTCAGCCAATTAGCTCAATTAATAGTATGCAAGGTTTCTATTCTTCGGAGAAAAACGATCTTCGGCTAGCCGTTTTTTATGTATCCGCTGTTACGTCAAAGACTTGCACAATTAATGTATCTAGGTTACTGGGTATAAAATTGTGCAAGGTCCCTTACATGGCGATTTAAGATCAATTATTTTCTTGACAAACTTTAAGATTTCGTGCTTCCAGGTGCCGACAGCGACCCGGACCACCTGTACGAGAGCCTCGGCAACAATCCCAAAGAAGAATGTCCGGACGACGACTACGACTCGTTCGACAGCGATTCCGATTCGGATAGTTCCTTCACGAAAGTTAACTCGGTGAGTTGTAACGAGCGCAGCGAGTTCAAATCTTGCTTCTTTCTTTCTTCTGCTAACCTACATGTTCGCGTTTTAGAATGATAGCGGCCTAGACATAGGCAACAACCAGCTCCCCGATCCCCCCAACAGCCAGCCCTACGTCCTGACCCGGCTCGCTGCCACCGTGAAGCGTAAACTCCGCCGCAATTGGTCCTTGACCAAAAGCGACATAAGCAAGTCTCTCAGTCGCATGACGGGCCGCAAGTCACGCACGGACCTCGAAAAGATGAAGCACCGAAAATCTAGTCCCGAAATTCTTTCGAACGAAGGGCCGTGCGAAAGTCCCGAACAGCCCGAAACGAAAACTTTACCGCGCAAGAGTTTCTTGACGAAGTTTAGAAGAAGCATGTCTTTGAGCGCCGAATCGGCTGCCGAACTCAATACGAACTTGGATAACAAACCGAAGAGTACGTTTTACTTGACGGAGGAAATAGACGTGGATAAGAACGAGTCGGAAAGGGACAGCGGAGCTTCGTTGTCGCCGGTTCAAAGGAATTCCAAGGTTATCGTAAGGCCGCACAGTCCTCCTCCTCCAGCGCCCGTCAAGAAAAAGGACAAACGCTCGACTTCGTGGTATGCGGAGGTCGGTTTGTTCAAAAATTCGGAGAGCTGTTTGCCGAAGAGATCGAACACGTTCTGGTACGCCGAGGTGGGGTTGTACCAGACAGCGCGGAGTACTCCGAGTACGAGCTCAGCGGAGAACAGCGGGAACACAGGGAACGTGTCGATTAAAGGGGAAGACTTTATTAATCAGGATAACAGCGAAGAGTACTATAACATGAAAAATGGTACCGATTATTATAACGACAGTATTACCAGTTTCAGTAGTACTGAGACTAAGAAGGACTCTTTGACGAACTTGACGACTGATAAACACCTGAGATTGGAAGACGAACCTCTGTATCAGTTTTACGATGCCGCGCTGCTCGAGGTTTGTGGTAGTTACACCGGTGATGATTTTCACGTAACGTTTGAATTTCAGTCGGTTTGCAACGAAAGCGCGTCCGATTTCGACTCCGATGGGTACGAGGAAGTCGGAGACACTAATTCGGAATCTCGACTCTCATCCAGACCATCTGCAATGGAACTCATATCGACCAAGAACTCGGTGGCGGTTTCTAGAACCCTGTGGTGCGAAATTCCAGAAGTGATCGCCTCCTCGGTCTTAAGTAAGTCTTCGCTTTTTGAAGAGATCTTTCTCAGCTTCGATTCCAGGCACGCTAAGCACTCACCAAAAGAAACTTCAAGAAGCGAAATTCGAAATGATAACGTCCGAAGCGTCCTATTTGAACTCTCTCAACGTCCTCCATAACCACTTCGTGAAGAATTTAGACAACAGCGAGATTTTGACTAAAGAAGAGTTGGATACCCTCTTTGGAAAAGTGGCGTCTGTGAAAACGTGCTCGGAGAAGCTTCTCCACGATCTGGATAAGTGTTGGCAAGACAATATTCTTCTGCACGGCGTGTGCGATATCGTCCAGAAGCATGCAGAAGAGAACTTCCACGTGTACGTGCCCTATTGCGAGCACCAGATTCTTCTAGACGAGACGCTAAGACGTCTTAAGTAAGTCCCCGCTTTCAGGAGACCTCACATGACGTACTAACATTTTCAGAGAAAAACCCGCCTTCCTCGAGTTGCTGCGCCAAATGGAGTCCAGCCCTGCGTGTCAATCCCTCACTCTATACTCATTTTTAATGTTACCAATGCAGAGAATTACTCGATGGCCACTTCTTGTAGACGCGGTTTTGAAGAGACTCTCACCTCAGGATTCAGAGTATTTAACGTGTCAATACTCTCTAGCTACGATCAATAAAGTAAGTTGTCGATTCGGAAGTTTTAGTTTCTAGAGGAGAGTTTTCAGATCGTGAACCAGTGTAACGAGGGCGCGCGTCGCATAGAACGCGAAACCGAAATGAAGAAGATCGTCACCCAGTTAGAATTCGCCAAAGGCGTGCCTCCCATCGAAATCATCTCCGAAAACCGATGGCTCATTAAATCTGGCATGGTTACCCACATGCAGCAAAGAACCGACGAGATTAAATTAACGTTCGGCAAACGCTTCGCGAAAATCAATCTGTATTTAATTTTGTTCAACGATCTGCTCCTCGTCACTAAACCAAAAAGGTATTCTTGCGATTTTGGTCCTCGTTCTTCTAAATGCGCGTACTTTTTTAGTGAGAACTTGTACACCGTTATCCACTACTGCTCCCGGAACCTGGTGGAGCTCAACAGCACGGACGCCGTCCTCACGCTCCCTGTGAAAGACGCCCAAAGCCGTCACCTCCTCTTCCTCACGATCCTGGAGAACCAAAACGAAAAGACTGTCGAATTCGTAAGTTCTCGTTTCCGTTTTTGGGGTTTGTTAATTTTTTCTTGTAGCTGTTGTCGTGCAGCAGCGAGAGCGACAAGGAGCGGTGGGTGGAAGCCCTGACTCCTCCCAAGTCCGAAGATCCGGACGAAACTCTGTACGAGTGTTGGGACTGTCCTCAGGTCACTGCCATTCATAGTTACTCAGCTAGTCAACCGGACGAATTGGCGCTGTCAAAAGGTGACGTCATCAACGTTCTGCGGAAGATGGCGGATGGTAACGTTGCGTTAGTTTTTCGGCTTGCGGTGATTCTTGGTTTTTAGGGTGGTACCACGGAGAGAGAATAAGAGACGGTCAGACTGGCTGGTTCCCCGCGAATTACACCGCAGAAGTGGCGAATCCGCACGTCAGGTCGCGCAACTTGAAGCAGAGATATAGGTTGTTGGCGTTTTCGGAAAGTTATTTAAAAGCGAAATAATCTTCATGTTATTTTTGTTATATAATTTATGATATAAATTCTATAGACAACAAAGGTAGTGATATCAAATGTTTTTATTCAGTTATGATAACATGAACAAAATGTATATATTAAAGGAATACAAAATAAATTTATTATATTTTTTAACGGTTTCGCTTTTGTTGATACCAGTGACAGGCATTTCGTTAAGGACTGACAAAATGGAAAAATCCGTTCGATGCGTGGATTTTTCTTTTTTTTTGACATAACTTACGTAGGACTAATAGCACAAGACAGCCTTTTTAAGTTCAAAGAAAATAAATAAAATCTCATATCCGAGACCGACTGGATCCCGACTTGATATCAAACAACTTCCGCACGAAGTATACTTGGACTGTGGTAGTCAGAGCGATGACGACGATCTGAATTATCGACCAACGCACAACGTAGGAGTTGTTGTCTTGTAAAAGATTGAAATCCCAAGCTTCACGAGCTCTGGAGTGGTGCTGGTACTGCAGGATGTCGTTGATATTTCGATCGACAGTGACGATCGTACTCTGCAAAACCACAGTTATTACTGCGAGACATACGGTCTAGAAGGCTTACAGTAAAATTCTCCATATTCATATTTAGTTCGTCGATGTCTTTCGTGTACTTCTCCCACATGTCGTATCTCACTACTGTTAGGTAAATGTTAACGAGTTTGCCCGCAAATCTCGAGAACTGGTTGTCTATGCAAACAGAGTAGTAGCCTCCGGAGGACGTTTGGTCCTGGTATTCGCTGCTGGGCTTCCACTGGTACGGATGAACGATTTGCCCCGACGGGTGACGTACTGCAAAGCCGGCCATGCCGTCGCCCCCTCTCACCACCTGCAGCACACAATCTAGCGCATTATTAAATTTTCTACAACTACCACTTTTTATAAAACAAAGAATTAAAAGAAAATAACTAAATAGTTAAGGTTATGTACAAAAAGAAAAATACAACATGTGGACGTGGATAAACAAATTTGCACGTATATGACATTTATAAAAGGCCCACCTCTCATTTTCTCCCACTTATCAACGACAATCTAGATTTGTTATATCTGTAGTGTTCAGACCAAACGACTATCTCGAATTGTTAAATCGATGATAAAAGGTTATAAAATTTAAAATGCCGATTTTTATCTAACAAGTATACGAATTACACCACTCATTAACAAAAACAACCAGTACTTACCTGGAAACTCACGTAGAAAGTCGCTCCGGGGTTAACATATTGAAAGTAACAATCTTCTTTTCCTGGGTCTATGTGGACCTTGTAATCCATGGCGACCGCTGGAAGATTTTCGTACCATGGTACAGTCGTTTGGGCCTTAATTTCACTCAACAAAAGACACAAGAAAACGCTACATGTTGCCAAACACGAAACAAACGTGGCACGACATTGACCCATGTTGCGTGTATTGCGGGTTGCGGAAGACTGGGATTTGCACGCAGATTAGAAAGTAGAAAAGCTTTCAGACGGAAAATTAATACATCAAATGTGACAAATCGCGCCTTGCATTACAACACGAGCTTAATCCAACATTATTTATTACAAATTTCAAAAAACAAGCTTATCAGTAAGATTATAAAATCACATTTAATTTTATCATTGGCTCTGTGAAGCTGACGCTTCTTGAGAATTCTTGTACACAATTTCCAATGCTGTCGATATCGTCCTCACGTCTCCTTCGATAGTCTTGGCCCAGTTCTCCACATCTCCCAACTCTTTTAAAGCACTACTGAAAGACTCCACCAAATTCAACCATTGCTGGGTTTGTTTAGAAAAATTGGTAGCGCTAGCGTGTAGTTGTTTAGCTTCCGCATCCAGTTTCTTTTGGTTGAGGTAGGCTTGGGCCACTCTAAAAAGAAGAGGTCAAGGATGGATTTTGAAAGCTAGACAACTCACCCTACGTTTAGATGATCAACGAGAGCTTGAGTAAGGTCGCTGGCGGCGGCGCATGCATCTTTACGCTTGGTTTCTGAAAAATGGGGGCTATCAAGGGGACACTTTGCAAAAGTCCTTACCTTGAATTTCCTTCTTCGCTGTTTGTCTCGCTTGGTGTTCTTTCACCATAGATGATAGCATTTTACTCATTTGATTTGTTTTTGGGAAAAAATCGGACTTTCTTAATAATAATAAAAATGACAACAAATGACAGTAGATCTCGTAACATTAAGATACTACAAAAGAACTACACCATGTCACCACCAGAGTCACCACTATAGAAAGAAATTAAATAAACAATTGCATTGTATTAGAACGCATGTTTTACAAGTAAAAACCAAGTAACTAGTTCTAACAAGTAATAACAAATAGTAAGCTTGAATTATCTTTACATTGTAGTAGTTTTTTTGTCTACTCTTTAACTTTAAACTACCGCATGACATCCATGCATGCATCCATGACATAACCTGACTTATTTTGAATCGTACGTACGATGAACGAATTTTTAAAACTGAGTTGGTGAGTGTTTTTGTTTTTAATTTTTTTAAATTTCCGTCATCATGTTTATTTTCGTAGGCGTAAGAACATTACCGATGAAGAATTTGACCGGAAATTTCTCACAGATGCAGCTGTCGCAGACTTGTATGTGTACAAGAGTTTCGACAAGCCGATTAATTCGAAACCGAAAAAATCGATAAAATTGCACTTGGCCAACAAAAAGCACGTTCCAGGTTTAAAATATCACCGCTTAATCAAGCGTAAATCTTTGCTGACCAAAATTACAAAATTTCATTGTTTGGAAGCTTTGAAAGTCATCCAGAGCGGGAAGAGACAAGATCTGCTGACACGAAAAGAGACGAATAGTTTGACAGTGTACAATGTACGTCTGACGAGTAGCCATATGGGTGTATAATTATGGCTGGTTGGTTGTAGAAATGCCATTCAAAGATTGTTGAAGAGAATCGACTTTTTAACGAATATATTAGAAATGTGTGGCTTAAACATAGATACAAGGAAGCGAAAACGAGGCCGGGGATTTACAATTACGCGTGGAATTACTGGAAGGAGAAAATGGGGAGATATTTAGAATATCCACAGTATTATAAGCAGTGTGAAACTCTTTGTTTGAATTTTGAAGAAAATGAAGCTTCTGTAGACTTTCAACATGTGATACAACCTTTAGAAACGGTATGAGACGGTTTTATTGTTTCCAGTTGTAATTTTTATTTTAGGGCACGTTAGCAAGGTATGTCCATGCAAATCTCAAAGAGCAGTGCATTTTAAAACTGAATGTACTACGTAAACTTGAAAAACAAGATTTACTAAATTCAAAACTGCCAGGTATTTTTATTATTTTTAAAACTGATATTTCTTAACTATGATTTTTAGTTAGTCAAGACAAAAATATTAATAAATTGGCCCAAAGTCATAATTTTGATGTTGCTATATCTTCAAGTGGTTTAAAACGGATCATTGATTATACCAGTGTTAAAGATAAGTGGTTAATTCCAGTGGTCATCAAAGAAATACAAGTTGACAAGGGTGGCACTACTACTACAAAGAAGATCGTCTTTGTGGATAAGGTGTTGCCTGATATTAATCCTACAGTTCACGATTTAAATAAACACACTTACAAACGTCTTCTTAGGTTGAATTTTTGTCAGTATGAAGCATTCAGGTTTGTATATTTTTGACTTGTAATATTTTTTTTAAAAAGTTGAACTATAGAACCACCCCATGTCAAACTTCTACCTGGTATTTCAAGGCGTTCAAAATTATTAAAATTATCGTAATTCACTGCAGAAAATTCGTTTTTACAGAAGATTCATTTGTAATAAAAATCAGCAGAAGTTCAAACTTTTTTTGTTGTTGCTTTAATTAATAATTGTTGTTTAGTTACCCCGTTGAGGAAGTTCCAATTGAAGGAGTGAAAGAAGAGTCGATCAAAACAAACAAAGAGGAAGATGAAAAAATGGGTATTAACGTTTTACAGATTCTTGTAGTTTTTCAATAGTTGTTTTATTATAGAAGAATTGCCGATTAACGAAAAGCAGGAGAAGAACAGAGTTATACACCACAACGTGAATTACAGAATATGGAACATCAAGAAATGCACAATACAAAATACGCTCATGAAAAATCAGGTCAAAGATAAGGAAATTAACCTTTTAGTAAGGTGTAAGTTGGATGGATGTGAGGTGAGCACTTTTTAATTTATAACATTTAGGTTTAAAAACGCTTTAAAAAAATTGTTTTAGGCCACAGAACAAGGCGTCCTCTACCCCGTCATTGTACGACCAAAAATCGAACAGCAGGTTCAATATGGGGTCAATATACCCTCGAAAAGCGAACTAGCTCGCGATTGGACATGTTTATTTTTTCGTTTATATTCTGTTCTGTATCGAGGTAATCTTGACAGTATGCTATGAATTGGGATATAGTTGATTTTTTCTAGCTCGAATTTACAACCCTACGACCGAAATCATCGCCGTTGAGAAGTGTTCAATACAAAAAATTAACGTAGAAGCTCACACTCATTACGAATATAAGCCTATACTCGGTCTCGGAGTTCTACAGAAAATTTTATCCCGCTTGATAACTCTCGACTGTGGTACATATCTTCTGCAGCACCTTCCAAAGCAAGAATCTTTCATATCTTTGTTGAAACAATGCGATAAGTAAATGGTTTTAACTTTAATTTGTGACCTTCGCATGTTCAGAAATCCACTTTTAGCGAGGACAAGGCCTTCGACTTACACACGTACTGCGCCGAGCCTAAAGTTGATACAAAAAGACATCCGAGTTGGCTGCCAATTGACGTCAACTACATTTTGCCCGTGCACGAAGAGAAAAAGACCATTCCAGGTTTATTTCACGGTTTCGATAACGCAGAACCCAACAGAGTAAGTAAAAATAAAAAATATTGATTTTTTATACGACTAGAAAATGGACTCGGTTTTGCTTTATTACAAAATTTAAATAGTCATAAAATCCTTCTTCAGCTGTTCCACTTCTTTGATGTGTTGCGCCTTAATCCCAGTTGCTGGTGACGCCGCTGGCGGCCTTCCGTTGTAGATCACCGGCCGGCTCCCTTGAACCAGCGTCCTCAACCGATCGTGAACATAACTATACCCTCCGCTATTTTTGGGCTCTTCTTGTGCCCAGACCAGCTTCGCCTTGGCATACTTCTCGCATTCCGCTTTGACTAAATCGTACGGGAAAGGCGAAAACTGTTCCACCCTCGAAACCGCAATTTCTTTCTGCAGTTTACTTTCGCCTCGTTCGGCGACTATATCGTAGTACACTTTCCCGCTGCAAAACATCAACTTCTTTACGTTTTCGGGCTGCTTGCTCGCTTCTCCCTCTTCCGGAATCACTCGTCTAAATTCGGTTCCCTCTTTTATTTCGTCGAACGGACTGCGACAAGCCGGTAATCGCAGCAAGCTTTTAGGGGTGAAAATAATTAAGGGCTTGCGGAACGGGAGATACATTTGGCGCCGAAGTATATGGCACATGTTGCCGGGGGTCGAACAGTTCGCTATAATCCAGTTGCAACCGTGTAACTGTCTTATGCCGAAATCCGGAGTGAAGGGGGGAATGACGTCGGGGTCGTCGTCGCACATCTGGAGGAAACGCTCGATCCGCGCGCTCGAATGCTCCGAACCCATTCCCTCGAAGCCGTGAGGAAGGAGGATGACGATGCCGTTCTGTCGCGACCATTTCGTTTCGCCTGAAAATAATCATAAGTTTGTCTTTACGAAGAAGCAGTTCTTAAAGGTTTTTAAAATAGCGCAAGTTCAACTTACCCGAACACAGGTACTGGTCGAACATGATCTGCGCCCCATTAAAAAAGTCACCGAATTGCGCCTCCCACAACACTAGGCAGTTAGGATTAGCTTGCGCATACCCTATTTCAAACCCCAACACTCCAAACTCGGATAAGGCGCTATTACAAACATCGTAAGTAGCCTGATTCGGGTACACATCACCTAGGGCTTTGTACGTCACTTGATCGATCTTTTGGTGATGTATAATGTGATGTCTGTGCGAAAAAGTTCCTCTTTCCACATCCTCTCCTGACAGTCGAACCGGAAACCCTTCTTTCACCAGACTTCCAATAGCGAAAGCTTCGCCGAGACTCCAATCTGCCAATCGCTGCTCGACGCTTTTTCGCCTCAGACTTAAAATCCTTTGTATCCCTTTATGAATGACGAACTCCAAGTTGGCGGGGGGCGGGGCGGAGAACTTCTCAGCTATGTGCATGATGACGGCTTCGGGTAGTCCCGTTGGAGCGACCTTGAAAGGATCTTTCCCCTCGTAGAATGCCTCCCAGGAAGAATCCTGCCAATCCTTGGAAAACAACTGCGTTTGCTGACGGGCTTTGGCGTACTGGTCTTCGCAGTACTTGTTGTACTCGTCTTCCACCGCTTTAATGTGTTCAGCAGTCACCACCTTCTCGTAGAGCAACTGTTCCCGGTACTTCTTAGCCACTGGTTTCGTGTTGTGGATTTTCGTGTACATGAGCGGCTGAGTGAACATGGGCTCGTCGGCTTCGTTGTGACCGTGCCTGCGGTACCCCACCATGTCTATTATCACGTCTTTGTGGAACTGGGCCCGGTACTCCGCGGCGAGCCTGCACACGTTGACCACGCTCTCGGGGTCGTCGGCGTTCACGTGGAAGATCGGCGCGCTGACTACGTGCCCCAAGTCCGAGCAGTACCTCGAAGACCGCGAGAACCTCGGATCCGTCGTGAAACCCACCTGGTTGTTAATAATGATACATATACTCCCGTGGGTGGTGTAGTTCGGAAGATACGACAGACTCAGACTTTCGTAGTTCACTCCTTGGCCACAGAAAGCGGCGTCTCCGTGCACGATGATGGCCATGATTTTTTTGCCTTCTTCGTCGCCTCTGTGCACTTGCTCGGCGCGGGTGCGACCCAAAATAAACGCATTGACGGACTCCAAGTGCGAAGGGTTAGCCACGAGGGTCAGCTTGTACTTTTTCTGGGTGTGGCGGTTGGTGCGCTCGGTGGTACTGCCGTAGTGGTACTTCACGTCGCCGGCACCGATGTCGGCAGGTTCCAATGGCACGAACTGGTTGAAAATGAGGTACAGAGGTTTGCGGAAAACGTTGGCCAAGAGGTTGAGACGGCCTCTGTGCGCTATGCCGACGAAGAAGTGATCCACGCCGAGTTCCGTCGACGTGTCTATGATTTGTTTGAATCCGGGGATGAACGTGTCGCCGCCTTCGATGCCGAATCGTTTCTCGGAAGCCCACTTTTTCGCGAGGAAGTTCTCGAACTCGGAGGTGCGGATGAGACGTTTCAAGAGGAGCCGCTTCTGCTCTTTGGAGAGGTTCAGGACTCCAGGGGTCTCCATTTTCTGGCGTAGGAACTGGCGTTCGTGTATGTTGTCGATGCCGAGGAATTCCAACCCAATGTGCTTGCAATACACTTCTTCTAAACGCCTGATAATTTCTCGTAAAGGTAACTTTGTGTCTTTTCCGCCGATGTTGGTGTTCTGTGGCAGTGTGTAAACCTTGTCCATGTCCTCAAGTTTATAGTTTCTCAACACTTCGCTAGGTGGTGTTCCGCTGTAAATTTTGCTGTTGATGCTCTTCTTCTCCATCTGCATTATTTCGAGGGGATCCAGTTTGGCGACGAGGTGACCGCGCGCTTGGTAGGTTCGTATGACGGCCTGAACGGCTAAGTGATTTTCGATTGTTTTGTCGTCGAGAACACCCCCTGCGGGTGCTCCTGCAGTTGATGCACTTCGACTGGACATCGCAGCTGAAGGAGGAGTTCTTTCGATGAACTGACTAGTTAGGACGTCATCAAGTGGAAGCAAATTGTGATTTGTGGGCGGCGCTAGATTGGGAGGAGGCAGATAGGCGTTTTGCAAGCTCTTCGTAACGCTTGTAAAGTAAGAATCCCACGATACGTGGACGCTTGAGGGGTCTTTGAGCCAGGCATTGTACATGTCTTCGACGTATTGCGACGACGAACCCGTTAGGAAAGACTCCTTCGAATGGTGGCGAATTGACGGCATATATTTTTGGAATTTTGTGACCAAAGAAGAGGCAATTTTCATACAATTCATAATTTTGGCGTGATCGTTGACGTTACGATTTGACAGGCAACTGCAAGCCCGCTCGAAATTCGCGCTTAAAACTAAAATTTTGAGCGGATATATCCTAAGCGAATTTCAGAAGATATAACAGAACTTTAAAACTTGCTCATTGCTTCCAAAAGACTGATGACGTCACATCAAATGTTGTCAAGTAATTTTTTTACTGGAAAATAAGACTTTTATTTTTTTAGAATGCTTTAAATCGTTACCAATGAAAATACCGCACAAGTTAATTATTTATGTATTCGCAAATTGACCAATTGCACCTCTGTAAGCACATGCTGCATTTGCGCCACAATTTAAAAATACATCCAAGTTATTTATACACCGATCTTATTTTAAACTTTTAAAGCGTATGTTTTGCTCATGTCGTCTTTGTTTTCGAGGAATAATTTTCGTAGCGGAAACTTCCAATAGCTGAAAATATTGACTGGAAATCTAGTAGGCATCGTTTCGTTAACAACCAGTCAGATGACGTGTTGTCATGGCGATGTCGACGCCGACTTCGAAATGTCATGAAAAAAGATGAGTCACTTTTCCGACACCCGGTATATACAATGAATGACTCAACCTATGCGCCAAATTGTCTGCCTATTTTTAAACTCTGTCCTCAATGACATTGCATTTCAGGTAAAAGGAAAAGGGAAGAAGAAAACGAAGAAAAACCCACCGTAAACTTCTATAAATAACATTTTATTGTGACTTTTTTACAATTGTAAGCATAATAATTATCAAAATACAACTCGAATGAAAAACGACTTTTATTATCATCCAACAATCGAGACAAAACACACAACAATCGCACAGAAAATGGTAAAATGGCGACTTTTTTTAGAAAAGCAAGGTTAAAAACCCAAGATCCTTGAACAGTGTTAATATGTACACCTAATATTAATGGGAGGGGGGGAAATGTTAACATGGACAAGGTAAAATTCTCAAATGTAGGAAAAATACAGTCTGTTTACTTTATTTTTTTTTTTTTTTTTTAATAATTACAAATAGCCTATGACAATTTTTTAGCTTTTTGATAAAGCGTATCTACTACTTTGCTCATACTTTGTATAGTTTCTAACGCCATTTCGTACGTTTTATCTACAGGTGTTTCTTCGAACACTATTAAGACACCTAGAAGAGAGAAATCAGTACAATTGATACAAATAAACGATCGGTCATACCTTCTCCTTGGTCTAAGATACCGTGAAACTTGGCGTCCAGAATCATTTGCGAGAGCTTCTTCTCGACCTGCGGCATGGGCAGTTTTATCGTTTTTGCCACGTAATCCACCTGGACCCTCGAATATGGCTCGATGATCCTACACAAATTCTGCTCCAACATGTTATCATACAACGTTCCCAAGTGCGCCCTCACGATGACGTCGTCCTCCAGTTCGTGCTTGAACTGCTTGACGGCTTGCTGGAAGTCGGCGAGCGACCTTTTGTGTGAAGCTTGTGCGACGGCCTTCATAGCGTCTATATCCTTCCCGGCGTACTTGATCGCCAATTTCCCGCTCACAATCTGTTGTACGTCCTCAGGGTTATTGAGCATGATTTTCGACAAGAGCATGTACTTCAGCGCGGTGAGGGCTTTCGGCGACTCCACGCTGTCGAAGCCCTCGAAAGCCTCATAAAAGTACGAGTAGGCTGTTTTGAAGTCTTTCTCGTCGGCGGCGTGGAGGATCCCCGACTGGAGATCGAGAGCGGCTTGCATTTTCGGGGGGCAATAGATCGCGTTGGCCGTGGTCCTGGCGGACGTGAGCGCCGCTCTGGCCTTGGGGAGGTTGCTGAGGGCGTGATATGTCTTACTCTCCAACAACTGCACTTCGACGAGAAGGTTTTTGTCGTCGAGCTTCTTGAGTTCTTTGAGGAGGGTCGAGCCGAGTTGCAGCGCCTCCGAGAACATCCCCGTGTCGAAATAGAGGGCGATGAGGCGCGCTTCGAGCGATTGTCTCAGGAAGGTTCGTCGTTCCTCTTTCGCCCATTCGATGCACTCTTTGCATAGTTGCACCTCGATCCCGATGCCCGCCTCTAGGTCTAGGAAGAAGTCCACGAGGGAGCGGACTAGTTTGGCAGCTTTAGCTTTGCTGATCATGCTGAGGAAGGGTCGGGTGGCTTTGATCAGGTCGGCGAGTTCCTTGGCCTTACCCTCCTTCTTGTACTGCTCCCCCAGATTGAGGATGTCCTGTTCTTTGTTTTTGATGTTTTCTTCGTCATTTTCTGGACCTTCACTGTCACGTTTCAATTTCAATAATTTCTCGTGGTTCGAATTAGAAACAGATTGCGCTCGTTCAAACAACATTGCACCCGCCATATTAGTTGTCTAGAAAAGCACTGTCATTCTGTCATTCAAGCAGCGTTGCCACTTACCAAGCCGCTCTTGAATTCCCTAGTAGGCGGCAGCACTGCGGCATAAGAAGAAATCTTACTCAATGGTAATCTTTTTTTTTTAATAAAAACACAGTTGCAGAAAATTTATTTTTATAATTATATATACATGTCAGAGTCAAATTTTGGCCACCAATTAAGCAACTGCCATCTTCTCATCGGTTTTAACAACTGCAACAATTCTTCAAAATGCGTAATGATGTAATAATAAATAAAAAGTATTGAGAAATCATATATCTACTACTACGTTTTTGTATTTATTTAAACTCTGGAAAAACATGTAAAGAGAAAACATTGTTGTTTCACGCTCATAGAAATCCCTTAATAAAAAGCACTTCTATAAAATAATAGTCACGCAGGTCAGGCAATTACACATGTGTGTATGTTGGGTTGCCTGCTTACGTTTTTACGAAAAAACTAAAAAATTGTATATAGGTATGTATATGTACATAGAATATAATCTGGGCTATAGTTCATTTTTAAGGTTTTCCTTTTCCATTTAAAATTCGTATTCGTATTTCGCATTTTTGCGACAAGACTAGGGACTAGGTTTCAATAGCAATGCAGTGGACCAAATGAATTATGAGCGCGTCAGAGTCGAATTCTTCGTCAAAATACTACCCACTTATAAGTAATTTCTTTCATAGTTTCCTAACGTATTTAAATATTTGTAATTACAAATTGATTAGATTATTATTAAATTACAGGTAAAAGGGTACGTTCGGCTATACATTTCAGGTGGAATTTATTTAACGATATTTTACATATTTTATATTTAACCATATTTTAAGTTATTTTCGTCTTCGACAAACAGAAATTAAGATTGTTTTTTCTTCAAAGTGCACTTGTCTTTTATGTTGTCTTTTTGTGTTTTATTTGTCGTGCACAATATTTATTCTTTGTTCTATTCTAATAACGTTCTACATTTAGACGACCTTGACCCCGTTCAAAACAAACAAAAGAATGTATTTTAAATTTATATATTAAGAAATAAACTAAGCGTCTATGACATTATAAAAAAATAAATAACTTATTTGAGCAAAAAAAAAAATTTTGTACTCTTCTCAGTTTTACAAAGACCTCGATTCACCAAGAGACGCTTCCTCCGACGACGCTCCTCTAATCCTCGCCGCTAAATTACTAGCCAATCGACTAATGTCAAATCTATAAAACAATAAAACAGTTACAGAAACACAAAGAATTAATACTCACTGATGCTGATGAGCGGGCCTTCTAATTCGCCTACATCTTCCTCTCTTATCTCTGGCATATCCACTAGCGCACCGTCTATAGTGAAGCACTTCCCCATGAGGTGAAGTACTAGAAATTCCCAAATCATCGGAAGGTACAATAGCGATATTTGCAGTGGGCTCTTCGATAATTTGCACCTTGATTCGGTCAGGAGAACTCGTGCTGAATGGTACCGAATCCACTTTTTCGCTTTTTTCGGTAGTCGGCGTTTTTTCGGGTTCCACTTTTGTGGTACTTTCTATTTTTTCGGTCGTAGATTGAGTTTCTGGTTTAGTCGATGGACTAGTACTGTTAGTTTCTTCAGGAGGAGGTTTTAAGGTTACATTCCCAGCCGGAGGCTTCACAGTGAAATCCGAGTAGTCGTAATTATAATCATAGTCCTATCATCAGACACACGCATGAATGCAATTTGTTATCAATGAATAACGCCTACGCACTTACCCCCACAGCTTCATCCCCTAGCACCGCTATAATCTGAAGGTCTTTCAAATGTACTTGGATGTTGTATTCCCCGGTTTGTTTCTGGTCGTAGACGGAATGCTGGGGAGCGCCTTGAACTGTTAAGACGACAATAAAGAACGTACTTAGGTGGTACTTCATTTCAGCAGAAGTGTTCGCGATCGACTGGAACCAACAATGACGGTCGACGACTTCTTCAGCAGATGCATGCTCTAAGGAAGGTCAAGATTAAACCAAAAGTGGGAGTTATGCGATCGGCAGGTTTACCGCTAGGTTCAGGGAACTGTCACCGCCAGTCAAAAGTTCATTTTTTTCAAAATTTTATGACCCCGGAAGCGCCTAATTAATTAAACGCATCTTCCCCGCAACAGAGTACCGCTTTCAAAAATTCGTCGCCATTTCCTCGGAACTCCTTAACCTCTTTGATAAAACGTCTATTTCGGTCCGCGATAACGCTTATTTTTGTTTTTGTTATGCAATTAACAGTTAGACTCGGACTCATCTCCGAGCAGCTGCACTTTTCATCTGCACCAGTTCCAGAGGTCAGGAACCTCCCGTTACTCAACGAACGCCAAACGGTAAAAGTTCCTCGCCAAAAACGGCGGTCTCAGTCAATCCTCATTCCTCAACCCATCAACATGCTCCTCTTGCTGCTCCTCGCCGTCGGCGCGGTACTCTGCACGCCGGTACCACCCCAAAAGATGCGCGTCCTTTACGACCAGCGCCAAGAAGGTGAGTGGAATGTTAATGCTGATTTCAAAAATATCGTCGTCATGGTCATTCCAACGCAAACTTCAAGTGGATCGAATGCTGCTTCGACTCTGCTCGACTTTCTGCTAAGGACGGTACCGAAGAGGAGTCAGCTGCGGAAACTGCAGAAGAAGAAAGCGCCGGCGGAGGAAACCATGCACTTCATCGAGTCGAAGACGGCGCCTTATCACGTTGACATCAGCAGGAGCAAGAGTCACCTGGCTAAGCTTCATCCGGAAGTACCGCCGGTGGTGCGAGCCGAGGAGATCGTCATCGCCAAGTCACCCGCCGTCGAGCTGGTCAAGGACGGCGACAGTCATCACAGGGTCGCGAGAGCTTTCGTGGTGACCGTTCCGGAAGAAGAACTGAAGAAGAAGGAAGTGAAGAAGAACATTAACTTCGGGAAGTCGATGCTCAAGTTGCTGGGGGCCGAGAACGAGCAGTGCGGGCCGGGGCTGGCCAGGGACGAAGAGGGGGTGTGCAGAACCCTCAAAAATTAACTTCTAAGATTGTATTTATTTTATAATTAAATTATTTGCATCGAATTGGATTTTTTCTTGGTTTTCGGGAATCTGAACCCAACAAGTATCGGAAATTTAACCCCAACAAGTATCAAAACAAGAGGTTTTATTGACAATTTATCAACACCAAATTGGTTTTATTGCTTGGTTTCGACCAAAAAGATAAAGTTTTTTAAAAACAGACAAGACAGTGCAGGAGTAATTTAAACAACTTTATTATTATTTTTGAAACACAGTCACAACACAAATAAATAATATAAATAAGTGGGAGTAGGTTACGCGTGCACGTGATGTCTTCTCAAGTAGGGCCTAAGAAATCCCGGAAGTCCCAGTTTCCTGAAAGAACTCTTAAATATCTCCAGTCTTGACCACAGCACTTTACCTTTTACGGGCGACAGCAGTAGTAGTGGTGCTTTCGGTACTCTCCGCGGTACTACTTCCTTCGTTACTACCTTCCGGCTTCTTCGACGTCGCTTCTGGCTTGATAACAAGAGCTTCCTCCGGCTTTTCTGGCTTGAGAAACTCATCCAAACTTCCGGCTTCTTCAATCGCCGCCGCGTCGGCCAGCAAAGCCGCCGTCAAAAGGCCCCCAGGAGGACTCCAAACCATGACGATCTTCTCAAGATTTACTCGATAGTTTTCGGTACCATTCTGCCTCTGGTCGTGGACTTCGTCGAACTGGGAAAGATCGTACGACTCGCTTTGTTTGATTGGAGTTGAGTATTCGGCTGGAGCACTCTGGACACTCAGCAAGGGCGTGAAGATGAGAACGAAGAATAGAGACGACATTGTTTTCGCAATGAGTCGTCGGATTGGAATGGTGGATTGATCAAGACGAGTTCTGCATCGTGGATTATCCTGTAAATGTTCACAAAGAGGGGAAGAAGAGCCTCAGGCTGTTTGTATGCGAGAACTGGATGACCGTCTTCTTGAACTTGAGTTCGAGTAACGGTTCCGGTCGATCGACTGCACATACAAAGTTGTTCGTGCGAGAGGAAATTTTTGGCAGCGATTTACAGAACTTTTGAAAAAAAGAGATGAGGTCCGAGTACCGTTTTCGATAAGGAGAACGATTGTTTTTTTGTGGATCCGGCTCCCTAGAGTGTCCAAGAGAGCAGCTGTAGATAGAATAATTATTTATGAGTGCTATATAGATTTTAACATGATTTTATGTCATATTTTTCGTGTACAGTTGGAATTCTCTTAACCCACGTGACACACCCGATCACGAGCTTCGCTCGCGTTGCAACATCCTATAATTAAAATTTTATGCTTAGCGAAGGGTTTTTGTTGATACACCAAAGATCCTCACAACATTAAAGTGCCGACTTTTCAAGTCAATAGGGTATCAGAATCATGATAACAAGTATTCAGTCAAACAATCAATAATATATTTATTTTATTACAAAACACACATAAGAATTAAGTTATTTTTAAAATAGGATCCAGATTTAATATGGCCGTCCTCAATTCCTCCTTTTGTTCTTCACTTTTAAGCCCTATGCAGTACTCATCAAATTTTCTCTGTTGATACCTCCGAATAAACTTAAAACACTGTTTAATAGTAGCCCCTATGTACAAAGTGTTTACAACAACTTTTTTATTTTCGATAGTCCGAATTAAAGGTAAAGTACTCGTCACAAATCTGTGTGGGCCGTGTCGACACCGAACGATTGCAACCCTAGTCTTCTCATTACAATATTTTGCTGTAAATCCGGCTGTTATGGCCGCAACACCAAAGTCTCCGTGTAATTTCTGAACCATAGACATAACAGAATGGTGTAAAGACCCAGGCTTGAGGTGGAGAGACTCTGTGGGTTTTCTGGATTCACCGTTGATTTCAATCACCATATATCTATTAAATATTAAAACGTCAACTTTTGAGAAAGGAAATTGACTGTACAGTTGTACACATACCTGTTTTTGTGGCGTACCATTTTGCGTAGTCAGAAAATATTGAAATAAATCTAAAAAACGTATGTTACTATTTACAATATTGCATGTAACATAACCTCAAACTGAATTGCACTTTGTGTTTATCGTGATGTTCAAACGTAAATAGAGAGTGACCTTGGTGAAAATTTAGTTGGAAAAACTGGTTTCGGATTTGGAACTACACAAGCGTTAAAAATTTCCACTGTTGTAGTCAGGATGAGGAGTTCGCGGATTTTCACGGACGTAAAACGCCCCCCCAAAAAGTTGGGTACCTATCAAGCATGAAAATTATTTTTTCTTCGTAGAAATTTTTGTCTTAAAAAAAGTTAAAAAGTCAAATGACTAAAACTTGAAACGGTTTTAATATGTGACGACTTCTATTCGATTTCACGTTCATTTTTTGAATTAAATAATTTATTTTATTGATTTATTTAATAAATAAATAAAAAATAAAATAAATAGAATTTAATAATTATTATACAATTCAGATTTCATTTTTAGTCCTTCACCTTTCTCTTCAGAAACGTTAAAATCAATTCATTTGAACTAACTTTTAGCGCGCAGTGTTTGCTAAAACAACCCAAAATAGCGAGATAAAAAATGCTCATGCTCATTTTTAATCTCTCGCCGCAATAAAAGCTCCATTTATTGGAATTAACGTAATCCGCTTCTTTATCATTGGGATTGCTGATAAGCCGCGCAGTTAATGAAATCTCCATATTTTGTTTAATTTTTGTGTCCATATTATTGACGTGCCTATCGAAATCTTGACCCTTATCAGTACCACAACGTGGAGCTATCGACGACCCCTCTGCTCTTAGTTTCGACTTCAACTTTGCTCCCACTCGCTAAACGAGTTTTGCTGTTAATCGAAAAGACCTTGAAGATTCATTGTAAGTGAATCGATCATGCCGGGTTGTTATTTTGTAGGTGTCGACGTCGGTACTGGTAGTACCCGAGCTGCTTTAGTCACCGACAATGGACGGATTGTCAGTACTCACGTTCAAAACATACAAACCTGGAATCCCCAGCAGGATTTTTACGAACAGTCATCCGAAAATATCTGGAACGCCTGCGTCACATGCATTAAAGTGAGTACCTATTGTAGTACCGCGGTAAGACTCGAGAGTAATTTGTAGAAAGTTGTAGAAGGGGTGAACCCCGAAGAAATCAAAGGTATAGGTTTTGACGCCACTTGCTCATTAGTTGCTTTAGACACATCAGGAAACCCTTTAAGCGTTAGCCCTACAGGTACGCCATTTCAGTACCGTTTTCTTTCCCCAACTTACCATTTTCTAGGCCACAATGACCAAAACGTTATCTTGTGGATGGATCACCGCGCTGCCAAAGAGGCTTCAAAAATCAACGCCCTCAACCACTCCGTCCTCAAATACGTGGGGGGCAAAATCTCGCTAGAAATGGAGACCCCGAAACTCCTCTGGCTCAAAACCCACCTCAAAACCCAGTGGGACAAATCTGGGTTGTTTTTCGATCTCCCTGATTTTCTTACGTGGAAGGCTACAAACTGCGAATCGCGATCCCTATGTTCTTTGGTTTGCAAATGGACTTATGAAATCACCACCGACGGCAAGGAAGGGTGGAATTCGCAGTACTTCCAAGATGTAGGTTTAGGGGATCTACAAGCGAACAATTGGCGCAAAATCGGAACGAAAGTACTACCACCTGGTAGTCCTGTTGGGGATGGTTTGTCGCTAAAAGCAGCCGGAGAGCTTGGTTTGAAAGTTGGTACTCCTGTTGGTACTTCAATTATAGATGCTCATGCTGGTGGGCTAGGGTTGGTGGGTTGTCGCGTGCCGAATATCAGCGAGGATTTCAGTACTCGATTAGGTACCATCTTGGTTTAAGTTGTGTCAGTTTGTAAAAAGAGTTTTGAAGGTTTAATTTGTGGCACTTCCACTTGTCACATGGCTGTGTCTGATGTACCAGTTTTCACTCCTGGAGTCTGGGGGCCGTACTACAGTGCGATGGTACCGGGGATGTGGTTGAATGAAGGAGGGCAAAGCGCTACTGGGAAGCTTATAGATCATGTGATAGACTCGCACCCTGCGACGTCTGGAATTAAGGGAAAAATCGGCGATATGTAGGTTCCTATCGTTCTTAAAAGTAGTACTAATTTAACTGTTTTAAAGGCACATTCAAATCTACTTAAGCGAACTATTGAAAGACTTGGCTAAGAAAGCCGGTCTTGACGATGAAGCCTACTTAACTAAAGACTTGCATGTGTGGCCCGACTTCCATGGAAATAGATCACCAATAGCTGATGCAACCCTTAAAGGAACGGTTAGCACCAAATCGTTTTTAAAAATATTGTTTTCTCAACCGTTGTCGTAGATTTGCGGCCTGACTCTCGCCGAAGATGAGGAAAGCTTAGCTTTGTTATATCTAGCCACAGTTCAAGCTCTGGCGGTAAATTTTTCGCATTCCGTTTCTCGAAATAATAAAATCCAATTTCCAGTACGGTACTCGCCACATCCTCGACGCCCTCATCAAATCGGGTTATTCTTCCATACAGTCCATTCTCATATGCGGCGGTTTAAGCAAGAATCTCTTATTTACCCAAACTCAAGCCGATGTCGTGAATCTACCAGTTATCTGCCCAGATGAAGTGGAATCTGTTCTTCTAGGTTCTGCTATTTTAGGCGCTTGTGCTGCCAGTTATTTCCCAGATATGAATTCCGCTGTAAAGTCCATGGGTGGCGAAGGAAAAATAGTACGTCCTAATTCAGCAGTGGTGGAGTACCACAATAACAAATATAAGGTGTTCCTGAAGATGTACGAGCACCAAATTGAATACAGAAAAATTATGAGTAAAAACTGAGCAAATTTGAACGGGTTTTTTTTTATTCCTGGATACAGCGTCACCAACTTAAAGAAGTTATTGGAACAATGAAGTTTGTAAATAATGTCTTTTAATTAAAAATGTAATTAAAGTTATGTTCATTTGTAACATTCTTTTAACTTTTATACAAATAATTTTTATCGTTAGTTCAATTGATTTTTCTAAATTTAGTGTCGTCACGATGATAACCGACAGTGTTCCGATTTTGTTTTTGCCGTGGTGATTGGTCGATTTTTATGCTTTTAGCTTTAATTTCAGTACATATTCATAGGAATAACTTAATGAACTTTTTGTTATTAAAGTAAAATAATTACGATCAGGAAAGTTATTTAACTTAGTTGAACTTGTGTGTATATTTGGTTGCATAACCACATTTATTTTAACCTAGTAATTATTCAAAATAACTTGACGTTGTCTTTTCTACTGTTTACTACGAAACAATCGACCTGTAGACCTTAATTATTCTGTTGCACAAATTTTCACTTAAAAATAAACTTTTGCAACCTTTATGCAACATTTCTTCAGTAGTTTGTAGCAAAAAAAAAACTCGAATCACAGGTTTTTTGATATTTGGGAATGGAGCGTTGCAGCTTCGTGGTCAATGAATTGTGCACATAATAGTTAAAATATTTTCAAATCTGGAGGTCAAGGTTGGATGCAGAACGTCTAGTAGATAATTGTCGTCATTGTGCTTTATGGATTAAACAAACGCATAGTAATTTCAATACATTTATTAAAACTTATAAATAGTTGTACACATTTATTTAATTTGCACGTCATATTTAACTTCTATGATATACTCTAATTACTGGAATTAAAATATAAATATAACAAATCTAGAAGAAACAACAAATTTCAATATATGTATATAATAACGAACAAGTCGTAATGTTTTTATTGGTCCATTAAAAAAATTGTACTCGTGTCAAGCATGAATGCAGAACTGGAAGTAACATTTAAAAATGTGACGCTAAATCCTCTTATTATTATAACATTGAACTCGTACATTAGAAACAGATTGCTTTCAGAAATAGATCTACTACAACAAACATTCTTTCTACATTGTTCTATAAAACGTAATATAAATATTTCAACAAATTTAAATATTTATAAAATGCTCTATCATATAGTCTTAAATAGAAATAGCACACACAGCTATGAGTATTTGATTATAATACATAGAGTGAGTTTGAGCCTTCCGTGTTAACAAATTTCGATTCTGTACAATGTTAATAGGTTAATCAGAGATAATGAGAAGGTAAGGACAGACGTGCACACTTTATGGCAACGTTTCGTCAAATCCGTCATCGGTGTGCCCGATTATCCCATGATTAGCTACACTACGATGCTTAGTACTGCTCTATTTTGGCATATCTTAGAAAGTCGAATTAGAACACCAAACAAACACAATTTACACATGCAAAATCATGTCTGTTAAAGATCCTTGGTGTTAGAAACGTTCAGGTTCTTGAGAGGCGTTCACATCCGAGACTTTGGCGCTTGGAAGCGCACTGTCCTACAATCTCTCCGTTACACACACCTTTGTATCGCCACGGAGGGTCGGACTGCGAACTGCGAAAGATACTAAAATACCAAGTGCCACCAGCACCATAGCAAGAGCGTTCACTATGATAGGCTCCTCCGCGAGATCCTCCTGCCATTTCGAGTAATTCCTGAAACGGTTAGTCGTCAGAAAATTTCGCTTTGTACAAACGCCCGAACCTGAGTGCTAAGCGCCATGCGTTCGAAATAAATGAGAGAGCATGCAGAGTATCGTTAGTTGTAGCGTCAAGAAATGCATTTTTATAATACAAAAATATAAAAATTATCACTAAGAATTTTGTCATGGACAGGAATTTAGAGGTCCCCGGAACGGATGAGGATGTGCGCCCGGAAACGGAACTCCTCCCTCTGCAGGATATATCCTGTAACAATAGCTAGCGCCACTAGGACCATTCCTAACGTGTTTACTACATATCCTTCTGGAGGGAATGTGGTATAGTACGACCTAATCGGGAACAGAAAAGTCATTAATTAGTCAGAACGGCACCCATTATCAAAGAACCTTGACATTTTTCATACATTATGTCTCTCTGTTTATTAAAGAAAGTTGCAATCGCTTTTTTCGCATTCTTCAGATATTACAACGTGCTTTGCATTCGAATACACTCATGCGCGATGTTCGTTCTGATACTTACGACAGCGAGAAGAATACTTTTTCAGTTAGTCCTGTAAGACATGCCGCGATGGCCAACATGAAGGTCGTTAGGCCGAAAGAGGCGTGGATAGGAACCAGGGACGCTCTGAAACCCGCGGTGGCTCCCTCACAGCACAAAAGGATCAGGAAACTGAAGAAACCCACGACGAACTGCCAAAGAAACCAGCATTACAGTACGGAAACGAAGAGAGCACATTTTGGTTTCATTTACACATTTACTATAAACACCGAATATAGAAAGTCGCAGCGGTACGGTTGCCTGACTTAATTAAAATTTTGTGGGTCGTTTGAACAAGGAGTTGAAAGCATTATGATTCTGACAGATTCGAAAGTGATGCTGTTCATATTCCACATCTGTCACCTCGTACACAATTGTTTCATCTGGAATAACGAAATAATTATCTTAGATAAGCTAAAACGCTGCCTTCGCTGCACCTACTCTTTTCTCGTTCTTGCTCATAGAAAGTTTTCCTTGCGCGTACTTTATTCTAGAATCGTAACTTTGGCCGTCACGGCTGTAGTTATTTCGCTCCAGAACGTGCCAATAAACCATCGTATTTTTGAGGATAATTCAGTCGGTAAACCACAGACAGCACAACAGATTTGCGGGATTCCTCAAAGCCGCACCTTCCCCATAATCTATCCGTATCGAATGTACGTCATCTACTGTGGTTGCGGAATCACGAATGAGCAACTCTTTATCTCCCGAAAAGGGGCATCCAGATAGATATACAGCCACTGGAGCGTTTCTAAACTCACGCTCCGGGTCCCTAGAATAGACAAAGACGGGACTTCCTATCGCAATTGCTTTAATATCTGGGTCAATTACTGTTAATAAAACGTGAAAAACCACGTTAAGTGAGATTCCGTCTCCTTTACATATCCAATTGGCTCGAGCCCGTACCGTTTCTTGACGGAAGGAGAGCGTGATATCGTTCAAAAAATTGTTCACCCACATGAGTAAATTGATAACAATTGTTCAATTGCGCTCGTTATAATCCACGACGTCACACGAATTGACTCCCCCGAAAAGGCGCTTTTCTCTAATTCGCGTTAATTTTCCTCGTGAACGCTCCGACAGGTTCACGAGAAGTCGAAGCGTTTACGAGTATGACACAATTTTGTGACGAGAGCCGGGGGGCGTGAGGTAACTGTATTTTTACAGCGCGGCGAAGAGCGAGATCACGCCCTTGGCGATTGGCATATCACGAGACGAGCGAGGATTCTTCGGTACTGACCTGTATGGCGAAGAGGCCCATCGTGACCAGGCCGATCCAGCTGTGAAGGGAGTAGAAGTTAGGAATGGGGGGCTGCGCGAGGTTGTGCGAGTCCAGCACCGTGAGGAAACCGACGGCGACGCAGGGAATCGCCAAAGCGTGAAAGACGGTGTGGAGAAGCTTGACGTAGATCCTTCGGCAGCACCGACATATTCTGTACAGTAGAACGGCTGGAACGAAAGAAAGGATAAGTCGGAGCTTCGGAAGAGGTTCGCCCTATAAATTTCTTCCGACAAAAAAAAAGCTCTCGCACGGCGCGTGAGTAATTGACCGAAACCCAACAATGGTAAGTGGAGTAGAAAGAAGCTCAAGCGACACTAATTACCCCAACTTATCTAATTGCACTTGTATGTGACGCCGCTCGGAAGAAATCTGCTTCGGGATGGTCGTCGACCTCATCTCCAATTGCTGGCATCCGTGCCGTGCAATTAAAATTTCAGCCTTGACAACAATTTTGGAGTGCGAATCGATCGGCGATAAGTTAAGAATTCGCGGACCGATCCTTCTTCCGCGTAAAGTACGGTTAAGTGTAATGAATGCGACGAGGAAGAAGAGAGAAATTCACGACTGATCTACTTCTTCGGACGCGCTCCATCGAGCTGTGATTTCTTCGCTGTCGTCGTGAAAGGCGATCGGGCACCTTGTAGAAATCGCGTTATGCAACGTATACTCACAGAATCCGCTGAACGTGATGAATCCGGCGACCATCAGAACCGGATGGAAATTGAACTGTTTTATCGGGTCATCTCTCCACGCGAAGCCTCCTCGGTGTTTGATTACCCAGTAGAGTGTCAGAGCTAGAGACGCCAGGAGGAGGATGCACGCGAGGATCATTACCAGGGCGTACTCCAGCCAGCTGCCGCAGCCCCATTGGTTTTCCTCTTCGTAGTGCCGGTGTCTGGAAGATTAATCGATCAGCTACTGAATTATGGCGATTAGCGGGGAACAAGTTCAAGATCGTGATCGGAGGAGGGTGGGTCGGCACACACGAGGTTGTAAACGATATCTCGTCGGCGGAAGTCATCGTCTAGCAAGGAAATTTAAGTTTCACCGATTGACCAAGACGAATTAGGTTCTTTGATGAAAGTACAAAAGACGGAATGACCAAGTGACATGGTTCTGATAGATTGTGGGAACGCGCTGTGCATCTGTTCGAAGGAGCAATTTAGATGGAGCGTTTCACTCGCATTGTAGTTTTTTCGATGGATGGTTTTATTAAAAGCGAAGTCGGACCGATTTTGCGTTTTCACTTATCTTGCAGCGCTTTCTCTAAAAGATTTTCATAAGAAATGTATGAGTTTTTAGAGCGCGAACTTGAAGGACGCTAGAACTCTGGATTTTTCCGAAATTTGGCGAAATCGTGCCTCCCCTCCGGTGGCCATTACGCGCTTACACGACGCCCTGCAGCGTTCCACTTTCTACTTCTGCTATTTTATTATTTTTCCAAACATGGAATTGACGGAAAGGTCAAAGACGTAACGAGCTGTTGGGAACTGTTTGAACAAGAATTCAACACAAATTCGATCATTAACTTTTCCATTCCCTTCCAAGCCGTAGCTTTGAACTTTGAGTCTAGTATTTGCAGTGAAAACACGAAGAGCAAACACGTCGAACACCTACAAACTACACTAAACAGGGGCGAATTTAGTGACCTCTGTCGGTTTCTCTTTGAGACATTAGCGCGTGATTCACAGGCTTAACGCGCGGAAAGTTCGGGACCCCTCTAATGGAAATCAAATGAATTTCCCGAAAAAAGCTCAGTCGTAACTCGGCTTCGTCATTAACTCGACTCTGTCCGATGAAGTGTAAAGAACAGTGGGTCGTCGACCCGAATCTTGTAGCGTCTTCTCATTCATTCTCCGTTTTCGTAAAAGTAAGAAAGTTCCGAAAAGGGCTTCGTGCGCGTACGTTAATTAGCGTGATCCAGACGGATCTCGCCCTTTCACACGCTCATCTACTCGTGCCCATTTATTCATTCATTGCGAATTATTTAGTTAAAGCTCTGACGGTGCCGTCACGTCAACTCCGTCTCTCTGCCATTTATCACCGTTGCTTGCAATTCGAGGCTATCACAGCTGTTTAATATTGCATCGCTCAAATATAACAGATGTAAGACGCCTACGCTTACTCCCAGAGATGTCGGAATCAAAATGATAAAAATTTCATGAGCTTCGCCTTCCCGGTTTCTCGCTTTTCGTGGGAAATGCTAAATGTTAACGGTTATGGAATAATAGACGTACTTTCTACGCTGCACACTTCGTCGTTACTCGCTCGAAAACTTAATGGATCATAATCGACCGGAAGTGAAGATGCACTTCGACGTCGATTTGCAACCTCCCCTACCGACGCCATTAAAATCTCCCCCTCCCTTCTCGCTTCGGCACGGCTTCCTCGATAACAACCCGACTCTGGTCTTCGAGGGCTCATTAAGGCCATTATCGTCAATTTAGTCACCGTAATGCAGGTGTCTAGACTGGTACCCGGTGGAATCGAGTGAGATTTTCCGGAAATGTCGCCGCATTAATGACCACGAATTCCGCGCCTCCCCTGCCGCGGCCATTAAAAATAGTGCCTCTCCTCCTCCCGCCCTGCACAGGTGTTTTGATTTACGCCGTAGTAGCACGTATTATGGCGACCTAACGTGGGCTCATTGTGAAATCGAACTCGCCCAGCAACCTCTCTCCGCTGCATTTCCTCTTAAAAACCAGTTACCATTGAAGATTATTCAATATCGGCTCGGCGCGCAATTCAATTCTCATGCGCTCAAGCCCGAATTACATAAATGTGCAAAAATGAAAGTAAAAGTGGGCCAGATCATTTCGCATAATTAATGTCGAAGGTAAGTTTCGGGTGAAAAAGAGATGAATCGCTCGTTTGCGGTCGACTTTCGTTTTTAATTCCTCGTAAATGAATATCGGAAGTGAGGAGTGTGAAATTAGGTCGATTATGTTTATTCGCACATAATGCAGTGGCGCAACTGTACACCCGCGAGGGGCAAAGACTCGAGGGCTTGACAAAAATAGTACGGTGGCATTTTTTTCGCGCTGCCTACTTATTTCGCATTCTTGGCATGGGATATGGCGTGTTGACCGTAGAGATTGGATTTTGAGGAGCTGTGGATTCGCTCAAGGTTTGAATAACGTAAATATCAAATTGCGCCAGAGATATGATAGTCATTAGCAATTCCGAGTGCTTTATCTAATTTCAATTAACGGATGGGTTGTTTAAGCAAGACATGACTGTCATTATTGCTGCTTGCGTAATGATCATTCCTCAACGAGGAGAGAATTGCATACGCTTACACTCCTTTAAACTAGAATAAATTAGTCGAGTGCAGAGGAAGTGAATATGATACTTTCAGCATTCGTTAACCTGTAGGTGTATTGTATAGCTCGAGTTTTTTTCCTAACGAAAGGACAAAGCAGCGAGATAAGATTTGGCAACGGAACCAAAAAAGCCGCACCTGCGTCCCCATTTATTTTGTATTTCCACAATGAATTCACTTTCCGTTATATTAATAAAAAACCGATTCAATGACCTAAACTAATAAAAATTTACTCTGTCATTGAACTGCTTAATTTTTTGAGCCAAACCAGAGCGACAAAAACCTGAACAATTGAACTAAGCCGCAAGGCTATTATATTTGTGTGCGCTGTTTGTGATGAAACGATCGAGTCAGATATGGAGCGTAAGATGAAACTTCGTTTAATGGAGAGGTAACGTTAGAAGTCGGGATAAAAATTCATAAATTGCATCAAGCTTCATAAATTTCAAATTCCTACTTTGTTGATCTCGAATGGTTCGTTTCTCCAATAAATGTCAGTCTTTGTTTTTCTAAACCCTCCGTTAGGGTTCGAAACATAAAAGGCAACGACAATTCGTAAAAATGTAGTTTTTCATACACCGCAACACGTCGACCTTGATTTAATCTAACGTTTTACTTAACTAACGCCGCATTGTTTGCGCTGTATTGTGTGAGAATTATGATGACGGTAGCACGACTTTTTTAATTCTTGGAGCGCCTCTAGAGGAGCTTTGAAGTATTTTGGCAAGCCGTCGAGAAAAGCATTTTGTTTAAAGGGACATTCGTTGTATCTGAGAGTCAATTTAGTTCAAGAGACGACTTGACTGCTCGCTGAAGAGCACCCGGCGAACAATTCATGCTTTAAAAGACCCGGAACTGCGTTTAATTTGTCGCCCGAAATGTGTTAGTTGTCGCCCGACTCGTGGTTCAAACTGCAACTTGATGCACTTGATAAGAGAAAAGTTTATTTTTACATCGTGTACATCGTGTTAAAATAAGTCGAGTGCCACGTTAACGAACTGTGAAAATTGGTAACACTTTGTCCCAGTTTTCGTCGCCGAAGAGTGTACCTATCGGTATTTCGAGTGCGGGACGTGATAATTTGTAATCACAATATACCAAGCCCAGTTTGCTAATAACGTGCAAACAAATTTACAGTTACGGTGTTTGCGATTTCTGTTTGTAGCCATAATGTAAAAAAACGAGTAGTGTTTGTTGTGCGTCGTTAAGTCGTAAAATGTTCTTTGGCTGTTTGTTTTCGTAAATAAGTGGGATATTGCTGCATTTTAGATAACGTATTCATGTCGGATCCTCAATATAAATAGCCTCTGACTTAATTTAATCTTAATTTTTCCTTCCATCTTCGGCTAAGGTCATCCATGATACAGGTTCTTCCAAGCTAACTGTGCTGGCAATTTAAATTCATGTTGCCAAATTACACGTATCATTCCGAATTAATTTTTTATCGATGTTGTTTGGACATGTTCACATCGTGGCAACGTCTGCACGTATGAAATAATGCACAATTAGCTGCAATTATTTTTAGTAACTTAATAGAGTACTTAGTCACATCCTGTTTAGCGTGCAAAATTTTCCCTTAAATAATTTTTTCGAGTTACATAAGTTAGAAAATGTTTCAAGGGCGTTTTTACATGAATGAGATTTTAATTATTAATGTGCGAATGTTTACACGTTTCATGTTTATTTTCACCTTTTATCTCCATTTTGTTTCGATCGAATGGGATTTCCGCGTATGGTAGAAAAGTTTAAGTAATTCCTAATAATAATCAAGGACTTGTTTACTCGAATGCAACCTCCAAACCTTGCCAATGGACGCATCTCCTAATTATATTTGCCGATGTTGCTACACGACATAATAACTTTGTCGAGGGTTCGAGAGTTATGGAGCCGAACCTATGAACCCTCCTAATTGATTAAAAGCTCACACCCTCATGTTAAGGGTAGGAAAAGTCGGTGACTTAATACCCGCATTGCTCTCGTAATCACCGGTTATCCAACAGCCTTATAAATAAACAAACCTGTTCGAACCACCACGGGCAAGGTTAAAATGTTTGCAACGAAAGGAGGAAAGATATTTGTTTAAGGGAGTAGCTCGAGCCGCGTTTCCGCGTAAAGAGTTGGATTAATTCGGCCAATTTACTTAACAGGTGTAAATTAGTCATCCGTTTACACACTTTATTGTGTGTACTTGGTCGCATTCTTTGATAATAACCGAACAGATGATCGAGTTTAACACTTGTAGACTCGTTTTTACGACCCAACTTGTGTTTGTAATTAAAAGTAGATTAAAGAGGGCCGTGGCGAGTCCCGTTTAAAACTTTAGAAATTGACCTCCCCTACGCGGCCCATGATACTCATGACAGACGAATCGCTTCCCCTCTCGCGGCCATTACCTCCACCCTCCGTAACGCCTTGATTGGCTAATGATGGCTAACGACCGAATTAATCGAGCGACGAGAGCATCAATCATCTCTTCATCAAATCCAAAAAAAAAAAGTTGCGACATCATTTTTCGCAAGAAAAACTTGACACAATTAAAACTCCGCCGATAATAAAAGTTACGTAAACTATTTAAAATTTACGACCCGGCCTTACGTTGAACGCAAATATTTTACCAGCGCTGGAAGTTTTTCGAATCAACAGGTTTAAATGCCTCGGAAAAAATTCGCCGAAGGCTATCGCCGTCGTCGGCCGTCGCTCACCTTTTGCCCCCCGGTCACTACTTACGTATGCATCTTATTCTTCGCCATGGTCCCTTTTTTTCTTGTCGAACTTTTCAATTCAAAAACTTCACACTTTGTTTACATGTAGGCACAACATGCGCACATACACCACGCACAACGAGCGACGCCGGACTAAATAAAATGAAGACGAAGAGGACAGAGAAGAAACCCACTTTGAGTTTAGAGCGGGACTGCGCGTGAGTTTCTCGTTGACATTGGCAGCTTTTGTCGGACGACATCTGTTTGTTGGGGCGCGAATCAAAAAGTTTTAATTGGTTGGGTAATTAGACGAATTGGTTCGGCGATGGGATAACCGACGATCGAATGGTCAGACGGCGTTGGAGATTTTTTTTTTTTGGAGGAGAGGAAGGTCACGTGGATGTACGTGGGAGATGTAGGATGTGGGGGATTACGACAATGAGGAAGAACAATCAGCTACTTTTATATGTTAATTGGAGTTTGCTGCACCGCATCACGGTCAAACGGGCCATTATAGGGTAATTCAGGGTTGGTGGGACAGCGCAACGGAAGCCCGATTCGATTGTGGTATAGGCAACACATTATACAGACGGGTGCACGGAAGCGGCTATTGCACTGTAATGTATTGTTCGTTGCCAAGTTTATTGCCCACTAAATCTGTAAATACCAAATTTATTAATCGATATTTTTAATGCTCGCTTTATGGAAATAGTGGAAATAATAAATAAGCAGCTCGATAATGTACTGCGTATTGATCATAAAAAAGTCATTGTACTAGGTAATCGCCCCCGAATAATTTATCTGTAGTACACAAATCTAGATACAAAATCATGTAGTGGTAGTGCGTCACTTTTAAATCGTTTTTCATTTTAAGTGTCGCGTCAAGCTAATTAGAGGCTTTAGTTTCAAGTAATCTAATAAGTATGACCGTAATTTCTAGAACCTTTTAGAATGTACGGATACAGGATCTGTCACGTGATAGACCCTCGTTTACCTTTTTTATGTCAAATAAGATATATCAGTTTAACTCTGGTCTTTTCCCGCATCAAATTTTATAGACGGGGACCCTTGGTATCCAACTACTCGCTTTTGTTGTTTTCTCTTCTTTTAGATACTTCCTACATCACATATCGATTCTCCTTTTTTCGAAACGAAACGAATCCAAAGTGGATTTTGACGTTGAAGTCCAACTTTATCCAGATGTCGTGCCGCACACTTGGCATTATTTGTAACAATTTTCATTGTCGTGCCTGTTTATTTTAATAAATAAAGTGAAAACTAATCTTTCGTTCCCATCTCAACCCAATCGGTCCGGCGCCACGAACCCTACCCAACCACCTGTTCAAAACCCATTGTATTCGCCTCTATTAATATCCACACCAAACACGTCGTAGAGGTGAAAGAAACAAAAATAGTCTCGGATTGTAGCCAGCAATTATGCAGACGTAATGAAAATGCAAGGCACGCTCCTTGGGAACGTTTTTGAATAGAAAACGCACAATGGTACGAGTGAGAGTGCAACAGGAAGAGCAACAATTAAAATGGCGTTTCCTAGCTAGCGCGTCGCGGATTTCGTGTAACCAGGGGGTGACAATAAAAACAAACGATAACGGGAATAATAAAGTTCCACCACACAAAACGGTTTGACGAAAACGGTGAGTAATGGCTCACTCCAATCAATTTAATTGCTCGGAATGAATAGCAAGGGGTGAACCGGGACAGGAATGTGGATGTCAATATAGCGTGTGCAGATGTCACCCTGAAGTCTCGGGGGTGAAACTACTCATAACACTGTGGAATGGATGCTTTTGTAAAACGGTATACTCCGACTGTAGTTGAATTTTCATTTAAATGATCCGCAACACGAAAAACGATTAAAATTCTCGCGTTGGGGTGAAAGTCTTCATTGTCTGCATGGAAAACGAGCCGACATGTAAAAACGCTCGTTTGGTACTTTCGAGAAAAAAGTAGATCGTCTTTTAAGAGTGACGTGGATATTGTTTGATAAATAATGAATTGATGGAGTACAGAGCGATAATTTATTTACGGTCGACCCAATTCGCACGGGAAATCTATTGTTGCATGTACTTACGCTTCCTTTTCTTTTTCTTCTTGGACGGTGACCGTAGTCGGCGGCGGCGGCAGGTCGTCCATGGGAAGAGTGTCTTCCGGAGGGGTGGGAGGGGTCTTGTCGAATTCCGCTATGGGGGCCATATCCGGCATGGGGGACACCGAGTTGCTTTCCATTGTACGTTTACACACTCGTATCGACTGAAGGACACTGACACTAGATCACACCATCATGGGGTTGGGACGGCGGGCGATGGGTCGCTGATGGTACGGAGGGCTTCTGAAATTGAATGCACTCAACGAAAATGGATTTTCTGGCATAATTAAATAAATTATGAGTTCGGCTAATGGAATTTGAGAACGAATCCCGACACTTGGTAATAATTCAAATGCACTATCGGAAAATGTGGCGGATGCGCCAGGTAAAGCCCGCATTCGCTTCCTAAGGGACCATAACTCTTCCACCTAACGATACAGAATTCGCTAGGACGAGTTTGTGATCGCAAATCATTTGGGAGTCGGACGTGGTTCGGATTTTTTTTTCCGTAAATAGTAATTGATCTCCGCCGGCTCCGCGCGATTTGTTTAAAATAAAACAGATGTCAATGGCAACGTCCTCGTAAACCAAAAATTGAACTGGGTTCGCTTCAATTGCACTCCCGAAATAAACGGGAATAAGCATCAAGTATTCATCCGAACCGACAATTCAGGCGAGTCCTTGACAAATTAATTACCTTTTAATATTTAACAAGGCGAGGTCCTGGAAAATAGTACGTGTAATTAAGGCGAGCAATTAATTTGTGGCGGTTGATGGGAGAACTGCGGGTGGAGGGTTGACGAAATGTGATTGGAATAGTTGGACAATTGAAATTTGGGGGGCCGACAGCCACCTGTTATGAGACAAGTGGATGCAAAATGGAGAGGTCGAGGTAGATTCGCTTGATGGCGAGATAGTCGGAATTTTAAGTGGGGAACAAATCGCACATTTAAATTAGACAGTGGCGTCGATGTTTCTCTTGAGTCAAAAAAAAAAAACAAGAAAGCGAAACCAAAATTTTTGACCTCGAAATTTCGGCCGGTCGGTCCGTTAGTTAGCCTTCGAGCTTGCGTAATCTATTAACATTGTATTCAAATTATTTCGGAGATCAAGAACCGGAGAAAGGCATTGAAACTTATCTGCGTGTGAGAAGATTTCTGCGGCAGTTAAAAGAGTCGTAGATAATTGCCGCGATTCGGTTTTCGGCGTCAATGAAGACGAATTAAAGAGCGTCAAGCCGGAGAAAAGCCGTCGCCGAATCCGGGCTCGAAAAATTCGCCGCAGTCGGCGAAAATAACGGTCAATAAAATAAAATCGAGCAGTCATCTGTAGCGCCATAAACATAACGTAGAAACTTTACAAGGCCGCGTCGCGCGTTCTTCTCGCATCTTTATTTCCGCCGTACGTACGCCACTGCGCCTCTCCAAAACTCGCGACTTCCATTAAAACTTAACCGAAGGACGTAAATTTACGAGTTTCCACATGTACGTGAGGGCAAGATATGCGAAAACGCAGTTGATTAATTCGGCGCGCTTAAATCCGACAACAAACAAGTTTACCGAAACGGGTCTGTAACGCGTGCGAATAATCCTGTTCCGGGTCCCGCAGGAGAATGATCCAAAGGGCGTGGCATTGCCCGGGAAACTTATCCCTTCGGTGGGAAAAAAGGGAATTTTTCGAAACGGGATAAGCGTATCGGAAGGAGTGGGAGGTACGCGCGGTCGTAACCCACCCCCGAGAGCAAGTTCGTTGCCCCCGAGTTTGGAGAACGTAAGGATAAACAAAAACTCGATTCGGGTCTGGTTCTGGCTTCGCCATACGGAAGCGCCGAGAATTTTAAAGGCTCAATATAAATCATTGCGAAAAGACGCGAGGACAGCGCGTATCACATGATGAGTAACGAGATTTTTTCGGGTGATTTAACAGTTTCTCACGGCCTTTACGGAGCGGAAATGGGACGATTGTTGTCTCGCTCGGCAACGCTGGACGATATTTTCGAGAAAATTTCGCACCGGTCGATCCAGCCTTAGCTATAGCTGTTTCTTATAAATGAAGACCGTTCCGGTACGGGACAACCAAAGCGGCAATTACCGTTCATAATTGATGTCCCTCCGTGGAGTGCATCGATTGGGGTTGAAAATCTCCCGCACGGAGGAAATCCCGCGTTAATTTGGAACTTCCGGTCGAAATCTCGTTCGAAAAACACATGTTCGTCGTTAACAAACAACAAAATGTGCGTTTGTGTGTAAATGCGCCTCTTGCCCGCCACCCCTCTCGCCGCCAAAGCGAACAAAGAGCTTTTTGCGCAAAAATTGAAAAATTGCGCGCCTAAAATTAAACGGCCTTCCGCGATTATTTTTAACTTACAATTTATTTCACTCGTCATGTTGTGCGAGTTTACCGTACAATCCACTGATCAGACGAACGTATTCACACAGAAAACGGAAACAAAACACTGACAATTAAAGCGGCCAAGCTCGCTGCGATCTACGGTGGATGTAAAACTGGAAGGGTGTGTGTACTCTTTGCCTCAAATCGCTGCTTTGACGCACTCGCAGTGTGCTTACAGAGGCTGCTCTCTCGGATCGCCATGGCTACGGAGCACACGTTTCGTAACTGTGCGATTCGCTAGCTCCAAGACACCTCCAATTACGTGACAATGCGATCATTAATTTCGTTTCCTTGCTTTTCATTTTTTTTTTTTTTAGTTCGATATTTTTTCGCGATGGTCGTACACTCCACGCTGACTTTTTTCAGACGCGACAAATTCGGCAACCGACGCCGCAACCAGGGAATCCCGGATGGTCGAAGAAGAGAGCGCCGCCACCGTCCCCCGGCTCCAAATAGTCGGCAGGAACGACCCTTTGTCTCCCTCCCGAGGCATTGTTTGCTTTCCGGTCACAGTTTATTTTCGGATGTGCCGCCTTATTAGATAAACGAGACGAAATAAGACCATTACATCCATAATCTATGCACATATGCACGGTAACAAGTCAAGGCCGGCTTTGATCCGATTCGCTGTCTCATAACAAATGCAGGGGGGTCTTCGGAAATGCGATTTTGGTTCGGTCTAGAACTGAACGAAAATAAATAGCGTTTCGATGAATTGCCGATGGAATTATTATTTCAACGTTTCGATTTACGCGGAAGCTTTGATGTGTCGTAAAAGTGTTTGAGTAGAGACGTGCGACGAAGACACAGATGTTGCTCGGATGGTAATATAAAGTGAATGTGTTTAAAAAGGTTTTTTTATGGGAGGATAGCGTCAAAGGAAGGGTGAGCAGCCTTGCGTGGCTGTTCTGTATTTTTGGAAAGGGTCTAAGGAAACTAGGGAGTCTGATCAGATTTTGATGTGAATGTCATGGAACGGATGAGGGTCGAGATATAAAAAGTCATCGATAAAATGCTAAAATGGGACGATAATTACATATTTATGTTATTGAGCGCTGCGTGCCGGTTTCAATGAGAAATATATTATAGCTGACAACCCCGCCGAGGGTTCAGCCATTCGTTAATTAACTCTACGTATAATTAGATGGTTAATTAAAATTTAATGATGGGTACGGTAGGTACATTCACGACATAGTCGAAGGTGGCGACGACCCATTAAATAATAGTGGCGTGTTGTGTGCGACTGAAAAGCGAAAAGTGGGATTTTTTTTTTTTGTAAATCGTTGACAAGGAAGGAAAACGGGAAGCAACCAGCAATACATGAATTAATTTAATCGACAGCGATAACAATTTGGAGGCTGCGTTGCGTGCGTGAAATCCGCGGTGTCGTGGCCTCGAATGAATTTAATAAAGCCGCTATCAAAAAGAGCCACTTTATAATGAGGCCCTCTGTAATGGTAGATGATTACGTTCGTGGTGTCTTATCGTTTTCGTCGTCGGTGAAGAATTTAATAAATTTTATGGGGTGTCGTTAACTAAGATGAAAAGAATAAATCAGGTATGAGTTCCCAGGATTTAATCAACACCCCTACTTTGGGCACTCTAGTACAGGAAACGGGGTCGGGATTAAAAGACAAAATAACAACTAGTATGCTGTATACATACAATTAGTTTACATTATACTATTCTAATTCAGATAAATTCAGTACATTAATGATTTTAATACATAACATTATCTGACAAAATATAGTTAGTTGACATTATAGCATAGAACATTTGTAATTATACCTTATTTTCTCTTAAATTCTCTTAAACGTTTAATCGTTAAGTTTTTGTCATCTCTCATAATATAATAACCGGCTGAAACCAGAGTCGTTCCCTCGATGATGATAAGAGTATGAAAGTTCCCTCGCTTCAGCCCTCTTTATGATTTTAATAAAACTCCATAAAAAATAAATAAAGTTTACATTTCTCATTAAATTCAGTCTGAATTTTATTATGGTAAGCGTCGAGTAGAATCAAAAGGACGAAACAGAAGACGAGGAAGAGAAGAAGAACAAAGCTTTTCCGTATCAACATTTTTGGGAGGCTGGTGACCAAAAATATTAATACAAATGATCCTCCACATCCTTGACGAAGCAAAAGGTGTTGCTGATTGTAGGCTCGTGATTGGAAACGCGTTACTTCAAGAATTGACTTTTAGATGTAACCAACCGATCAGGAAAATATACTGTAGCTCTTACGTTGATACATTTATACACAAAATATATATCTTTACAGATAATTATATAGGTTGAAACATATCTCAATAACATCAACTTGGACACTCTGTAACCTCGTGAGAAAAATAAATCAGCAGATCTGCGAAATCGATGGATATGTAATCAGACATGTGAAACCAACAGCAAGGTACGTGTGCGAAGATGAAGAATTTGTCAGGTCCGAAAGCGGAGTCGAGTAACCCCTAACAGGGCTGGTTGTTGGGAGTTGCTCGCTTGGAACGGATCGGTTTACTGTTTGTCCTTATCAGCCTGAGCGGGAGAAGGTTGCGGTGGCAAAGCTTTCAGAATAGCGTGGACTTCTTCGGCGACGGCGGTCAAAACGAATTCGAACTGCTGTTTGGTGGCGACCATGCGAGGTCTCTGGTCGCGCAGATGTTCGAGCGTTGCCGCGATGTCTATCTCTTTGGCGCCCTTGGCCATCCTGCTCAGCACCATGTCGATGAGACAGTAGGTGCCGGTCCTGCCGGCGCCGTCGCTGCAGTGGACGACTATCGGACATGACCGGCCCCGGTACGACTTGTTGACTTTCCTTCGGAACTCGAGCAGGGCTTTGGTGGAAGCCGGGACGCCGGACTCCGGCCAGGACAAGAAGTGGAACTGGGTGACGGTTCGGGTTTCGCCGGTGCGGACGTTCTTTAAGTAGAAGGAGCGGACCAGGTAGTCGTCGCACCAGATGTGCTCGCTGACGAGATGGACTTCGTAGATGTGATAGAGCTCGGAGCCTTCCTCCGGCCAGTAGCGATGACACATGGCGGCGCCCCCTTCCGTGAGCCGGGTCAGCATGACGATAACCACGGCTCCTTGCTCCCAAATCAGCTGCCAGAAGTCGGGTGCGGTGTGCGGGAGCGGTCCTTGGGTGGCGATGTAGGCTGGATTGCGGGGGTCGTGGTCCGTAATACTGGAAGCGTTTATGTAGTCGGAGCCCGAAGCGTTGGATAACTCGTTGAGGACGACGCGGGCGTGGTCGTACGGGACGATGTCCATGTATCTGTTCTTCTCGACGTTCTCTTTCTTCGACGCGATGGTGATGTCGCAGGGTTCGGCCACGTAAGCGCACAGAGCAACCCACTCCTGCTCCAGGCGGTCCTTGTTCTTCAGGTGATCCTCCATGTAGCTCAAGACCATGTGACCGGTCGAGATGTCCATATTGTGCAGGGCCGGTTCTTCGCTCCAAGAAGACGTGCTCGAGCGGCTCGAAGGACTCTGTTCGGATTCTCGAGACAGCGACGTTATCCTGCCGTGAACCGTCTCGCCGACCGGTTGTCCTTTAGTGGCCATTCGGGCTCTGCACAAATCTTGGTAATCCTTACTAGCTTCGGTGTCTGGACGGGATAAGCCTTGCAATTTCTCCTTGGATTTGAGATGCCGTTTGATCAGGATCAAGAGAGTTGCTGCGACTATCATCGCCCCTAATACGCCGCACACCATGAAGATTACGATGTAAAATTCGTTGTCGTAGATTGGGGATGATATTACTGTTCTCATTTTCGTCTACGATTAGCCGGGTGAGTAAGAAATTGGGGCGGTGTTGGCTACGTACCTTGTCTCCGATTCCAGCTGCCGTGATTACGATGCCCGTTGCGTCCTTAAGAGTTTCCTTGATCAAACCTACAAAGAGAAAGCGGTAAATTAAAGTTGAAGAACGCGACGAAGATCTAACCGATTTGCTCGGCCACTTGAGTCGAATTCCACCCTTTGTTGTTCGGTTCCACTTTGAAAGTAACTTCATTATGGTCCACTCTAGAGAGAAAGGAAAATAATCACCAAAGTCACAAACCAAGTCCGTTTCCACTTACCGTCCGTGGCTGAACGCTGACGGTTCTAATCCCAAAAGGTTAGAGATGTTGCCGATTAGTTGTTTACCTTCGGCCCATTTGTAGACGCTACAGTTACGACTTTCGTACAAAATCCTCTTAAAGAAAACTAACTCACTTACTTGTTCTCGAACTCGACGTACACATAATCCGTATCCACGATGTAGGACTCCTGAGGCGCCGCCTCGCTGACCATTTCGTGCGGGTACATTTTCCTTGGATGAAAGTTGTCGTGAAGGTTAGGAACAGCTGCAACACTTCACAGTCAACCTAGCAAATACGTAAGTCACGTGCGTACCTCTTTTGCCGTCCGGAATTTGTGCGTCGAACCGTGGCCCAGGTTTCTTAACATCGAGCCGCTCTGGTCTCTTAAACCCCACATTATAGTTAGTCAGAAGCTTGTCAAGATTTTCCCTCATGTCGCGTTCTTCGTCAGAGCGCGGAGCGTAGACCACTCCACCCTCCGTGTACACGCCGGGCCCGCTCCTGTGTTTGTGTTGCAGCTCCCTAAAAATTTCTTTGGTATTAAAATTATTGTCGTGATCGAATTTGTTCTTCAGTTCTCTAAACACGCCTCCAGGTAGGGTGTTGTACCCGCTCCCGTATTCCTCGTTCGACTCGTCGTTTTCGTCAAAGTAGATTCGCGATTCTGGGAAGTCGTCACCGTAAGCTAGAGCATCCCGCGATTCCCACCCTGCTCGAAAATTATCAGGAGTGTTGTAAGTCAAGGTGAACTTCTCGAAAGGGTCGTCCTCTTCCTCCTCCTCTTCCTGTTCGTTGCGCAGCTTCATATTCGTTTCTTCGATCTCGTCCAACAACTTCGATAACTTTTCGTACTCGTCTGGCGTTAAAGTCTCATGGACCTCTTCCGGACTCAAATTCACTCGACTCAAATACTTGACCAGAGGGTACATCTCGCGCAGGTCGTCAACCGTCAAATCGTCGGCTTCGGGAAGATACTCGAGATCGTCTTTAGACTCTCTGCCTGCTCTAAAATCGTTGGGAGTGTTGTAGTTTTCGCTAAAGTAACCCAAAGGCGGGGAACGTCGATGCATCTGTGGAATCCAGGTTCGTTTAACGACTTGTGCGTAAGGGTCTTCCATGTCGAAAACTAGACAGAACATTGTTGGGACGAGAAGTTGCTAAAGGGTCAAACTTACGATCTACAGCGTTAGGGGCTAGAATTTTCTCTCGGATGGTTTGTTGAGGTGTGTCGTCGACCGGCGGGTAGTAGACTTCGTCGGCGAAATCGGCATGAGGATCTTCAATGCTGGGAGTGTACTTGACGATGGCCATTTCTCGAGGGTCCAGGGGATCCTGTCCTTCCAGAGCTTTGAGGGCGCCTTCCAGGTCTTGGTCCACCAAGTGGGAGCAGGCGTTGTTTTCGAACGAGATGCTATAGAGAAAGAAGTCGAATTAATCTCAAAGAAACGCAAGACGGTCCAAGACCAACAAAATCTGTGTTGACTCACTCGTGCTTGGTAGCGTACAACATCGCCTGCAGCCGACATTGCGTGTATCCGTGACTCCATCGGTAGCCCAAAGCGAACAGTCGCCGTAATTCCCGGCTTATCTGGTGCAGGACTTCCCTCTCGAGATTGTATCTGGAACTGAGGCGTTCAGTAAAAATGGAAATCGAACTCGGGTTGAAGACCTGTATAAGTCGTCTTCGTCTACGTCCGCAGCTGGTGGCAAACAACGGCCGAAAGCGTAATCTGAAATTGTAATTCTCGGATGAAATGAAATCGCTATTGACAGAAATTCTCTCGAGGCTTACCGTCGAAGCACCATTCGTCTTCCAGGCACAGCCGTTCGCTAAACAAACAGCCTAGAAATTGAAAGGAGATTATTTTTGTTTAAAGACGTCTAATTGCGGAAGAAAAAAGCCCGCTCGACCGACTACTTATTTACGGGTGGCAGTCACGCGATGACTACGATAACGAAATGCCGTAGTTTCCAAAAACGCTTTTCTTGTTGCTCGAATTTCATGAATGGGCCGGGATTCATTGATCAATGCACCTACGCTAAAACGGCCGAATCGTGACGTCATCGCGTGATGCGTGGGTAGCTTTAACCGGGGATTTGTTGCATCCCCGTCGCGGTAATAAAAAATTCACAATATAAACACCCTTTACGAGCTATTCGAGTCGCGCCTCGATTTTGCTTAAAGCCCCAATCTTAAACGCTTCGACATGGCAACACGGAAAAGCTACGCGAACATCCGTCTTTTCTTTGTCGGATGCTACTTGCGTCAGTAGGTAGAACAATCGATATATCGATTGCCACAAAAAAGCAACAATAGGACAGACGTCGGAATAATAAGAGCCAGATACAAATCCGCGATTTGATTAATCCACGAGGGTGAGATTTACGACGGCGATAGGATTCCTGACGGATGTTTCAATTAAACGCGGGACGGCGTGATTAAATGTGGCGCTTTTATGAGCAACACGAGTGGTATTTGACATGAATATTTCATGGCTCGGCCAGGAAAATAAAAATCTGTATTCCGCTACAGGCCAAAGTTAAAATTATATGCTAATCTAGTTTCTGACACGTTTAATATTCATCTCGGATGGATGATGAGTCTTGAACGTGACACGTTCGTATTACGAACGAGGATACTTACCGACGTTACCCTCAGAACGGACTCCCGGAGGACCGACGGTGGCGACCAGGAGCAGAAGAGCGATCCGTAACGGTACGCCCGGCCACGGCATGGCCTTTAATCACAAAACATTATTGGATTACTAACAAGCACGGGCGGGGCGACATTAACATGGAGACGAACTCCTTCCCAACTTTGATGGCATGCTAATTGAGCGAAGATGAGGTTCTTTGCTCCTATTTACGAACTTTAATCGTTAACGAAGAAAATGAACGCCGTTAATCCGGCTCTAAGGAGCACTCGGCCGTGGCGCAAAACGAAACCCAACCTTCGATAGCTCAGTTGGTAGAGCGGTGGACTGTAGAGGATGCGAGATGCTGAAATCCATAGGTCGCTGGTTCAAATCCGGCTCGAAGGAGCGAACTTTTTTACGGTTATTCCGCGATTAATCAAAAAGTCATTACCGCGACGAGTCGGTCGAAAATGTTTTCCCGACGTCCTTTGACGTTTGCTTTTCCCTCGATCGATGTAGCAGCAAGCTTCTGACTTATTTCGAGGCGATGCTATTTTTGAACAGATTTTATCATGGAAATTAGACGAAAACTAATTAAACGAACCAGGATTTTCTTTTTGACGTCTGTCGCTTCGCTTGCAGATATCGAAACACAGCGGTTAGCAGTAATCCGACAGGTGCTTTGAAGTATTGATTAAATGTTACAGTCACGTCGCATCCACATAAAAAAAGTAATAAGAAAATTATGTCACAGATACAGAAGAGTCTATTTCGTCGAACAAATAAATGCCGTGATTACCGTTTGTTTTTAGAGGTTAATTTGCCGAGGGGTCGCCGAACATGTAAATGTCATCAAGTGTTATCAAAAATGTAAAAATATCTTTTATCGTTGGGCGCTTTAATTGGTATTCATTTTTCATGCTGCGTGGGGGAGTGTTTGTTTTAGATTTGCATTTTTAACGAAAAATGAACATTGGAGTTTTCGTGTTTCGGTGATTTCATTTACAATTGATTGTAGACCACGTTTATCTATTTAATTTACTGTAGTATAAATGAGCAGGTAAAAAAGGTTTGGAAGAACAATTTTAGTATCTTTTGTACAAACATTTTATAAAATAATATTTTTCCGATTTTTGACTACATTTTCGGTTTCAAAAAAGATCCTTCGAGCCGGATTTGAACCACCGACCTATGGATTTCGGTACTTTGTGTCTTCTACAGTCCACCGCTCTACCAACTGAGTTATCGAAGGTCGATTATCGTTTTCAAAATTGTATTTCTTCCGTGCGTCGTAGATTCAAAAATTGTGTTTTGGGCACCCAGAAAATTTACGACAGGATACCTATGTAAAAACCTCTAATACGAGAGTTCAGAACTTTTAGCGAAAAAGAAAAAAAGTTGGATGAAAAATTTTCGCCAGCAACTTTTTTTAAAATTTGGACATATTAACATTAGAAAAATTTTTCGAAAATTTGAAGACGTTTGAGAAATCGTTTTTGTAAAAAATAGCTAAATACTAGGCATACTTGGGACGCTCTGGATTACGAAGGGCAACAAAAATATGTCCTTCGAGCCGGATTTGAACCAGCGACCTATGGATGTCTACAAGAAGAACCTCTACAGTCCACCGCTCTACCAACTGAGCTATCGAAGGTTGTTAATTTCTTTCGTTTCGTTTCGTCGAAATTGAGTAAAAGTGAGATCGCCGACCCAAAAAAATTCCTTCGAGCCGGATTTGAACCAGCGACCTATGGATATCTACAAGAACAACCTCTACAGTCCACCGCTCTACCAACTGAGCTATCGAAGGTTGGTAATTAGCTTTCACCAAATGTAACACGAACTGTCTGATAAAAAAATGAGAGCGAAGAAGAGTAATTTTGGTTGCATAAGTTCCATGCGCGATGTCCGAGCTTTCAGCATTCGTGACATCGTCCGCAAGCTTTTATTATGTTTAAAACAACCGGTGAGGAAAATCAAGGCATTAAAACAAATGGTTTAGTTGATTGTTATTGATTACAACTGTTGTTTAACAAATTGGACGAGAGTAACCGAAAGATGTGGGTTTTCACTTTGTTTTCGATCGGCCCTTTGAGTTCGGTTTAAATTGAGTTAGAGTCGGGTGGGATTGGGAGAAATATGCAAATAACTACTTGTGTGTAGTAACAATTGTGTTGGTGCGCGTTTAGCGTACCACATGGTGCATGCACAGCGGTACTTTGGCGTTGACAAAAGGCCCCACTTTCAAAACAAACATTCCAACGCAATAAATTGGAAACAGGTGGGTGCTGACATATTCCCGATGTCGTTCCGAAACGTCGCAAAAAAGCAAAAGCTCACTCACCTGGTGTTCAGAAGAGGCCGTTCACAGCATTGCTTCCTGTGATACGTCGATCGCGGAACAATTAGAAAATTCAGCAGGAATTTGGGCTATGGGACGCCGTCACCTAGCCCTCTGAAATTTCTGTGCTATTAAGTCGTCTGTTCGAGATGACGCTGGGCGCCGGCGCTGTGTCGTCTTTGCGAAGGCGTACGTAGGTCGAAAATCGATTATTTCAAGGGATTGTACTTGGTTTAAATATTACGAGTTGGCCCATTCAAGTCGCGTACATTTTTCAGCGATCGATTTTACCACTGAATGATAACGAGTTGAATTTCAGTATGTATCAACGAGCAATTTCAGAGATAAGAAGGGCTTATCGCAGAGTTGCGGCCTGATTCGTGTTCCTGTGCTCGAGGATTGATTAATGGCAATGATTGGGGCTTTATTACATTGTAATTGGGGTCCTTATCGAAGATTTATCAGAGCGGTTTTCGAAAAACAAAAAAAACTTCACGAGTTCGTTTAAAATTCAGACCGCGATTTGAGATTCAAGCTAGTTTAGAAAGCTTTTAAATTAATTAAAACGTCATAATCCCAGTTAATTGTCTTGCTGTGGGCCAGCTGAAAGCAACTGGGGGAGGGATTTTTGTTCTTATCTGAGCGTGGGCGGTAAAAATGTTGACTTAGTCTAATTTGAAGGCGCGACGTTTGCCCACGGAATTTCCTTTGTGTAAAGTCGACGTTACCATCGAAAAACTTACGAATTATGTGCGAAGAATAAAACGAGGATGAACTGGATAAATTGAAAATATATTTACAATTCTTCACAAGATACAACAACACATACAATTTGTACTTAAAACTATAAAAAACAATAACAGGCAAGAATATGCTCAGCCTATAAAATGACCTTTATACACCAATTCACAAGCAAATAAACAATATTTACAAAAAGGTTAGCTGTATATACTTTTGGCACAGTATTCAGTAAGTAATACTGTTTGAAGAAATATTCAAAAAAGGGGAAAAATAAAAAAAACATGGTAATCAAAGCGATCAAGAACTAAACTCATGAGAAGAATAAAACAACACAATTATGTACAAGCCTAAATCACTACATTTTTATCACAAATTTAATTGCTTCACCTTGGAATAGAATTAATTACTTTAGAATCACATACATTTAAAGAAGCAAAACCTAAAAGTAACAACAGATAAATGCTGTAAAAATAAAATTTGCGTCGCATTATTTCCGTCTTTTTCAAAGATCAAAACAAAAAAAATCTTAGCCTACTTTCACACTCAACGAAAGCAACTTCCATTCTATTTAATTTATCCTAAATAAATAATGATTATCAATGCACATGCGTATTGCACATTTTCGCTCAGTCTACTCCCTTAAGGCACCCTTAAACGTGAGATTCGAGCGGTACTTTGAACACCGCAGTATCAGGAAAGCTCTGCGGCCTCGCCCCCATCAAATGCTGCTTAAGAGCCACCACCATATTCTCAGGTCCAATTAAGTTTATTTCGAAACATAACCTCTCCCTTCGCGTCGAACTCAGATCCGGAGAGCTCGTCCTCAAATTCTTCTCTTTGTTTTCCTTGTTCGAGGACACCTCTTGGTATTTTTTGTTGTCCCACCAAGTCATCTTGTCTGGGTCTTTGGTACCGCCCACCGTATGCCTCCTCTTGATCGACCTATCCGGCATCCCGTTCTTCCTCTTCAGCTTCGTCACGTCCTTGCGTCGGACCGACGTCGCCAGTTCCCGCCTCTTGTTCAAATTGCTTTCGGTTTTTTCCGTTTTGGTTAGGCTGTCCGACCGCTTTAGCTTATCTCCGGTCTTGTTCAGACTCTCCGACCTCTTCAGCTTGTTATTGAGGGGCGAAACGGTCCTCTCCTTATTCAACGACTCCGAACGTTTCAAAATCGAATTTGGCGCGGTTTTGCTCTTGTTGGTAAGCTTGTGAGATATGTGTTTGTCTTTGTCGGACGTCATCGTCGAATCTTCGTCCTTCTCCGGTTCTTTGTTCGACTCTTTGACCTTCGCGTCGTGCAGATAATTCGACTTGTTGCTGTACTGGTTTTTGTGTAGGCTGGGATCCCGGTAGAGGTCGCTCAGATTTGAAATAGTGTCTTTGTCGGAGAGAGAGGCGACGATCACACGGTGACTCTTTTCGGGCGACTCGTCGGCGTAGGGGAAGCCCTCGCCGGAGAGGAGATTCTCGCGGGAATTCTTGTTCAGTTTTTTGTCGAGGAGGGTGATGACCGACGTCAAATCCGTATCTAAAAAAAGAACAACCTCGTCAGAATTCGTCCGAACAATAGTTTCACGTAGTGAGACCCTGACGAACGAAAGCGGAAGAGCGACTGTTGCGTTATTAAAATTGCTGGTCTCTTCCGCTTCTTTCGTCGGACATGGAAAGCGATTAACGTTGTTATTAACGGAAAAATCAAGTAAAAATTGAGTAGAATTAATGAGGCGTCTGTGCATCAGTCACGTGTTACGCTAAGCTAAAAAAGGGGGTGCGTGAAGCTTGTCTTGTTTTCGCACAGCTTTCTACCTCACAATCTGTTGTACAAGTGCCGCGTACGTGGGGGACGCTGTGGCGGTGCGGTAGCTGGTGGCCTGACCGGCCGCCACCCTCTAACAGGAGGCAGAGGTGCACTACACCCTAACACACCCAAAAAAAGTTCTTCACAATCTACACTATCACATTTAAGAGAGAAGTACTCGCGTTGCTACTCACCGTCATCGGTCGTCACCTTGTTGAGGGAGTCCAACGACCCGATCCTCTGGCCGACGTCGCTCTGAAACACCGACCTTGATTAGCGACGAGTCCAAAGCACGATTCGCGCCACCAGGCCACCACGTCCTCGGTCCCCGGCTTAAAACTACATCTACTTGAGTGGCGAACGATTTCCGGTGGCCCGGTGCTCGAACTCGCCCTAGACTTACCTCGTTCTCGTATTTGACCTTCTTCATCGTTCCGTTCGCGTTCAAGTCCGTCGTGCTGGCGTTGACGTTCTCGACCGAACTGCCCCGCCGTATCACAAACCGTCCGTTCGTCTGCAGAGCACTCTCGTTTCGGTTCGTGTCGCGCAAACTACCACCGAAATCACTGTCACTCCGATTCGCGTATTGCACAGAGTACGAATTGTCCAAGCTGTGTCTGTTGTCGAGGTTTATAGTTCTGGAGAAAACTTTGGAAGCACTGTGTGTTTTAAGCAAAGGGGAATCGTCGAGCGATTTCGACGACTGTCGCGACTGGTTGACGTTGCCGGTCGAGGTGCTCAGATTACCCGACTTGGAAGCTGGAAGAGTCGCGTTTAGATAGCGCAAGCGCCGGAAGCCGATACTTACGGATGTTGTTGACGGAAATTTCGACGTTCCGGGGCATCTGCAACATTGCCTCGGTTTCTTGCTTGAAGTTCTCGATGCGTTTGTGGAAATCCTCTCTGTCTGTCGAGTAGTTAAACCAAGGCACTTTTTCGGGTGGCGCTTTGCTCACTTTTTCCATATCCGTTACGGTGGTCGGTATGACACTAGTCTTACCGTCTGTTGTACTCTGGAATAAAGTCACATGAGATTTTAAAGGGGCACGAAACGACGGACTAACAACATCTTTGAGATCAGTGTAGGAGAACGATCCCGAAGAGTAACCTCCGCTGTCGTTCGGAGACGTCACCTCTTCTTTACTCTCATTCAAGGAACCTGAACCTTTGGTAGTTTTTCGTTTGACCTTGCGCTGCGCCGCCGATATTATCGATGAAAACAATGCACCATTCTTCTCCTTATCCTTTAAAGCTACCAAGACCACAATTAGGACACAAAAAAAAAAAACAAGTACACGCTTACCTTCAAATTTGCTAATATTATCCAGTAACAAAGCTTGATTGGCCGGTTCAGACTCTTCATGTGCATCGGATATCACGGCGGGCACAGGCAGGCTCTCCGACTCGTCTTCCGCGAAGAACCAATCGGCCTACACAACATTATTCAAACCACCGTGATTTTTTGTTCCCAAAATCTACTCACCGCTGTTAACAAAGTCTCTACAATTTTACACTGGTGTGTCATATTATTGACCATCGTTTCCATGTTGTCGTCCTCGGGCCGAACGATATTCGGTCCGAACACGATCGCCAAGTTCTTCGCCTCCATCTTATTCACGTCGGAATTCTCCACCACTCTCTTCAAATGCAACACGATGTGCTTCAACGTGTGATAATTATGCGGTGGCAAACTCTTGACTAGCCTCTTCAATTCCTTCACCCTCCCCTCCGGATTTTCAATTTTATCCGCTTTGATGAAACTCGGATACAACGCACTGGTCATCAGCGAATCCGGAATCTTCCTGAAGTACGCCTTGAGTAAACTACTCACAACGTGAAGATCATTCCACCGCGGATCCTCCACCGGCACTTCGTCATAGTTCCGATTAATCTCATCCAGCAGCGCCGTGATCGACGCGTTGTTCCCCGGCACTCGGTAGATCCCCACGGTCTGCAAACCCCTAGCGTCGACGATGTCAGTACAAATTTCGACAAACTTCGGCACGTAGGGGTTGTTCGACGAAGTCAAGCATTGGTCGAGCGGTATCCCGAAAGTCGAACCTTCCGGAGCGGTAGGCGAACTCGGCGAGCTCGCTCCGTGCATCTTGCGGAATTGCTTGGCGACGCGACCGCGCCACGTCTTCACTTTGGGACTGGTGGAGGATGGATCGGCGACTTGGGATGGTTTGCGGGTTTTGCTGACGGGCGACTGGCCGGTCGGGGAGCGGTTGCGGGAGGTGGCTGGTTTGGCTTTGGAGGGTTGGGGGGAGAGGCGGCTGCTGTTGCTCGGAACCAGGATCGATGTGGAGGCGGGGACGGTCTGGGGGACTGCTTGCTGTTTGCTGGCGGCCAGCGGATCCTGCGAACAATCGAAATGGGTCTTATCGATAAGCACCGGCGATAACGATCGTAAGAATGCATTCAATTCCGTACGATTTTCTGGGGTACGAAACGGGACAAAGTGCGAAAAGTCGAGTTGGGTTGTGGCGTTCCCGGTGATTTTCGATGGGTCGATTAACGGTTAAGTGGAAACACGACTGTGAAAAGTTGCGGGATTTTTCGTGGAGTCGGAAAACTGGGAGTGATTGAAGAAATGCAAGTAAATGATTAAAACATACCTCAGGTGTTACCCAACACAGCAAACTAAGAGATCTTCTGTGCTTGGTGCTCATCGCACCAGCTAGTACATTATGTGTTTCTGACATTGCATTTATTATCTAATCGAGTGATAAGAGGCGAAAAGGAGGGATTTGAGATACTTACGAATTTCGCCTCAGCCTCCGTATTTGTTGCCATTTGTTCTTGTAATGCTTTGAACCAATCGGTAAACTCTTCGGTATTCTCGGCTTGGAGGAGGAACTCCGACCGACACGGATTGACAGATGATACTCTCAGAACGTGCTTTCTTTTAGTATAGTCTTCGGCGACTCGCACTTCGCTCGCCCTCATGTCGACACCGCTGGCCAAAGAATGTTCCACGGCGTCCGACGTACCCATCGGGCTCTGCAAAAACGTTAAATCGGTACTGCTCAAGATTACGGTAATGTAAACCGAACCGAGTCACATTATCGATAAGGGATTTTGCGATCGAAGATTAGCACTCCAAAGTTTGTCTGCGTTCGTTTTTTAGACCGGCGATCGAGACCGACGAGATAAAAAAAAAGTGGATCAAAGGGTTAAGGTCGACCGAATAAAGTCCGCTTGTTCCATAAGGCGCTTCGTACTAATTGCCGGCGCCTAGTAGAAACGGCTTTAATAATAATCTGCAATGCAGCAGTCACATGAAATTGGTTCAATCGTCCTTTTTCTTCGCAGCACATTCCTCGGCCCGGAGACCTTGAAGATACCGCGATTTAGTAATGCGTTTTTCGCAACCGTCTTACGCTCATCAAAAATCGTTTACCCACGAAACAATGGCCCGAGAATCACCTTCAAAGCACCTCAATTAAAAACCTCGTCCGCGTCGCCGATTTTCGCCCGCCGCAATTAGCACAAACGCGCACCACCTGGCATGCAAACCGCCTAATTACCCAGGATCCGGTCGAACCCCATCTCCTCAGTCTCCTCGGGAAGAACGCGTGTGCCGAGAAGTGTAGCTGGAGCGGGATGCACGACACCGTCCCCGACTTGCTCCGGTGCTGCGGCGTGAGGGTGTTCGACGCCATCTCTTCTCGCTGCGACTGCGGCACCGGGGATGGTGCCGATAGCGAAATTATAACAGGTCGGACGAGATTTTCAAGCGCGCAAGTAGGTGGTCGACGAGAGGTCTCATTAAGAAGGCTCGACGCTTCCAGCGCGACTGGCGAGTCCGCGACACGCGCCAAAGTAAAAGTTTCGTAATGGACGAGGAGGCGCATGTGGTGTTCCTGAGCCGTTTTTCCATTTCGTAAACCCGATACGGGCGGAAGTTGCCATATTGTGACTGTTGCACGTCAGCGCGTCCATATCGGGACGAAGAATTTACGAAACCGCGAACGACATACCGATGGGGTTAGTGGCAGGAGCTGGCGTCGAAATCGCCCGAAATTTCCGCCTCTGTTGGGAAACGCGAGATGTGTTAGCCAAGTAACCTCGATAACTCGAAAGCGGGACGTCTTAATCTCGCATCTGCTCGGCGATTGGAGGATTCGGCGTTCGAACAATAGAACAGCGCCGATCCGGACTTATCTTCGCGTAATTGGTACGGATGAGTTTCTCCCTTGTCTTCGGTTCGAGCGTAATTAAAATCGAGATCGGGCGCGAGCTCGTAAAAACGAGTGAAAGTGCGCGATTGTCTTAATGGGTTAGTTAAGTAGACTTGGAAATTATCGTGTTTAGGTATAGAAAGGAAAAGTAATCTACCGCGCTAGGGATTCGCTCAAGCGAGCACGCCACATGTTTCTGCCTACTCACCTGGTGATGTTTATCTTTGTGCAGGAACAGCTTTGGACCCTTCAGAGCCGCCCAAATTTGCTTCCAGGAGCGGTCGCCGGAACGCTGCAACACCCACCCCCACAATTCGGTCATTATCGACGATACCACCAAACGTCCCTTACCTTCCCGTCGATTTCCGTGATCTTGCAATGCAGAGGCCCTTCTCTGATCACCGCATGCTTTTCTTTATCCAAAGGACTCGCGTTGGCCTTTTCTCGATCCAACGATGCGCTGCTGCTGCTGCTGCCGCTACAAAACGCCGAATTAGTCACGGTCCGCGCTCAAAACTACGATGTTAGTTTTTCGGTGCAATGCATTTTCGTGTGTTGTTGCTGCTTAGTCTCCAAAAAACTACACTTTCCCTTTTCCGTTTTCCGATTTCTCCCGGTCTTTGCGACCAGCGAAGCATCTAGATTACGCAAGAGGGGCTCTCGTTGCGATTTTTTTCTCCTTGACGCGCTCAAGAAGACGCAACGAGTTATTTATATGGGCAGCGTAGAAAGTTCGAGCACGTTTAGCGTTAATGAAATACGAGCACGTCGCATTGCATTGACGCGAACAGGCGATGAACTTGCAATAGATAGTCGAACCCCAAAGAAATACAAGGATAGAGCGCCGAAAAGAATGGACCATGGTCGCTTGATTGCGTCACAAGGCCATAGAGGAACAGAACAGAGATTGAAGATAAGAAAAGAAAAGGACCCACGTAGCTGAAGAAGAAACGGGTCGTGTGCGTTCGTGTTGTGGGTGCTCCCAGCTACTCACGGGCCCGGGTGCATTACAACCCGATCAATTACCATGAAACAACTCGTTTTTCATTGTCTGATTTCTTACTTTTTCGATTTTTCAATTTTTAGATTTCTCGGTTTGCGTTGGCACTAACAATGTAATAACTACGATTAGACAAAAAAAAACCTACTATTTCGGTTACTCGTTTCGCTAGCCCGAGCACCAAGCCACCCGCAACCGAAAGCACCCCAACGACCAGTAAGCCACCATTTGGTCGTCCGGATAGCAGAGATCGCGCCAACTCTACTCCACATGTCGCACTGCAAGCCGTTAGACAATGTCTACTTGGGGTTAGTAGTGTTAATGCCGCAGGCAAACTCCAGCTCACCCCAGAGAGGAAGCAGCGTCCTCAAACAGTCTACGAAGTTGCTGAATGTCCCCAGGAAACAAAGGCGGTCGCCAACGTCTGTGCGCGCTAACAAACGCCAGAAGGAGATTAAAAATTTATACGGCGACACCACAGTCGGACCGTAAGCAACATGCTCGCTCGTACGTACGCGTGCGAAAACAGGGGATGATGTGGGTGGACGGGTCCGGGGAAAATAAAAACTCACCTTCGCAGGACCTGGGGCGAGACGTCGCCGTCGCTCATGTCGCTGTCTATGTGCATCCTGCCCCCTTCTGTGGCCTTGAGGTACGACTCGCGCCTGGTGGTGCGTTCGTCGTCGGCTGCGAACAAAGAGTGTATAGTCAGATACGGAAGCAATTTCGGGAAAACATAGAAAGCACAAGAATGTCGAGGGTCCACCTCGGTGGACCCATCGCCAAATTAGTTGTTAATGGTGCGGACGGTACTCACCCAGGTTAGTACTTTTAGTTCTTCTTTTAACCACAACTGGTTTATCCTCCCCAATGACTGCAACATCGAACGCATTAGATTCAGGCGACACGGTACAATGGCACAAATAGCAAAACAATTAAAAAAGAATAAGAACGTAAATGAGATGCTGACACCAAGTTAGTAAAGTTAAGTGAACCATGAAGATTCAAAAACACCGATCGTGGAAAGAGGGAGGCGATCAACCTCCGACTTTCGTGTTATTAGTTAGGTTAGCAGCCACGAGCAGTGATCGCTACCTGGTGAAACGGGACGACGCATCGGCGTGTCAACTGTCGAAGACGGTGGTTTGAGATGTCTAGCGGGCCTGACGGGCCCTTCCAAATCTAGCTGGTTGGGCCGGACGGCCTTCGAAGTCTGCGGGACTAGGACTGTGGGTGCAGGGGTGATGGATACGGAAGGGGTACAGTGCATGTGCTCGACGGGTTCGGGGATAAGAGGAGGCAGGTCAGCGTACGGGATCTGGCCCGGATCGTCCACCTGGTGGTCTGAGGAGGAAGCATAACGGAACATTATACTATTCGTTAGTAAAAATCAAAACATCAAAATTTCGTGTTTTGGTGTTTTGTTTTTGGTCGGAGTTGGTTCAGCGCGAAACGAAGCCTAACCTTTAGTTTTGTTACCATCGTCGACGATCGCATCCTGTCTACTGATCCTCTTGTTGCTTTCCGGTTTGGGTTCTGGTTGAGCATCAACTACTACCCACGACTCCGCCGAGCTGGAACGGGCGCGTACTCTGTTCGCCTGGTTCTCTGGCGTTTCTGCAAAAGTTCGTCGGGGTTAATGAATGCCGATGCGAGATTACGTCGTTATACTGATGTTACGTTTTGTTAATTCCATTCAAGTCTACGCTGTGATTACGGAAAAGACAGACAGTTGTTCTTTACGTTTGCACAAACAATACTACGACGAAGTTTGAACGGAAAAATGTGAAAGCACCGCGAAAAATGTACCGAGGAGAAAAAACACTCCAAGAAAAAGTTAAAAACGTTGTAAACATCACCGACGGAAGTAAGAAGTTGAGAAACCTTAACGACCTGTTTCAAAACGAACGCGTCGAATTGAGTTGTCGCAAATATGGTGAGACGTGACATCACTCTCTAGCAGTCGTAAAGAGCGTTATCTTTTGTTAATTCGAAAGTTACGGCCAACAATAATAACAAAATACATATAGAGTGCGATAACACAACACTACCAAACGTATTCTAACCGTTAGTAAGTGTGAAAACAAAAAATATCTTCATTCGGTTTAAAACTTCCAGTCAATCGCCATAACTGTTAGCGCGCAGGCATTTGATTAGTTGCAACGTTGGGCGTGACATCTAAATTTGAAGCAAGTCGATGCAATTACGCGAAGAAAAATCCATAATTGATGATGGTGTCTGAGATGAGATTAATCGCGCAATAGGGAGTTTGCATTTTTTCTTCTTCGCACGTTCCGCGATAAAACATCCCACTTTGCCCAAGTCAATGAATTTAATTGTCACGCCCCCGCTCCATTAATAAACTCGCGCCAACACCTATTTCTAACCTGTGGGCTTGCCATATTCTGAGGGCGGTGGACAGTGAATATATTTACTTCCAGTGGAAATCATTACATTTCCCGAAAGTCGTTTGGCCACCAGCTCGCCGATGCTCAAGCCGACGCTACTAGTGCTGCTGGAGCTCTCTTTATACCAAAATCAGTACACACACAAGTCGTCGACTCGGATCCAACTTACCAGTACTCTCCAACGACCTAGAGTCCCTTTGGATCTTCTTCGGGCTCGCCGGGACTGCAACAGCGTCTCGTCGCGGCTCGCTGGACCTAGTTTCGAACTCCTGCGCCCTTTCGGTGACGTTCGGGACGACCTTCTTCGAGCTGAGCCTCGCCAGCTCGGACCGATAGAAACTGGTGCGATCGCTGAGGATCGGGTCGTCTTCGGGGAGAGGCCTGCCGCTCTCGAACTGGCGAGCCCTCTTATGCACCATCTGAACACTAGGTGGATACAGCCTGCGAGGGGAAACGTTACAACCAATAGAAAACTTCGTGCCGAACGTACCGTCTCTCATCCGAAGTATCGCTCTCCGCATTAAACGACCCGTTGAACTGCTCCACGTGGTCCAACCCGCTGGGTGCAGTAGCAGCCTCTTTGATCTTCTCTTGATTAGCCACGAAAAGCTTATCGTTGGGCGAGTTCGCCCCCCTCTGCTGCGGCAACCCCACCGGAACTCCTCCACTCACCGACTGCAACTCCCTCTCGTTCTCGATGTCGTTCTTCACCCTCTGGAAGTTCTGATGCGTCGGTTTTCCCTTCGACGGCGACTCGACCGGCGGCCACATCGCCTTCTCCAACTTCTTCGGCCTACTGTAAAACTCCCTCTGTTTCACCGTCGCCTCGGGCGTCATCTTCAAGAACTCCTCCTTCTGCTGCAGACTCCTCCTCAACCTCGAGATGATCGCCGAATCGTCCGTCTCGTGCCCGGTAAGAGTCGACGTCGAATCGTACGAATTCAAACTATCTTTGCTGCCGTCGGCCAGCGACGACGTTAACGACGACGACGACTCCCTCCTCCCCGCGTCAAGACTCAAGCGGCATCCGGCCGCATTCGGATACCTCAAAGCCGGCATCTCCTGGTTCTGGGTTTCTCTCTGTATCGTCTTCATATCCGCGTAGTCCGTCAATTCGGGGTAGTCGTACAAAGCGCAGCCGTCGCTCGCCCTGCGGCCCATTTTTCGAACCGGAGGCACTTGGGGTTGCGCCCGGGACCGTTGGCGCTTGAACGAATCATCGGGGTAGTAGGTGGGATTAAGCGTATCCTTTATGTCGAGGTTGTCGGCGCTCCTCTGCGAACGGTACGACAGCGGCTGCTTGTAGTCATAACCGTACGAGTTCTGGAGGGACCTCCACGAGATGGCGTCCACTTGAAACTCGCCAGGGTACAGAGTTTGCGCGAGGAAGTGCTGGGCTGCTTGGCGGTCGTTCACAAAGCGAGGTACGTCTTGGTTGCTGATGGGGTTGTAGGCGGTCTCGGCAAAATACTAAAAAGAGAAGGATGAAATTTACTTTAGAGCATATTGACTACCTGGAGAACACGAAAGTGGAACATGGTTGCTTTAGTCGATAGATAGTGTGCGTTAATGGTGGACAGATAGCTCGACTGGATGACGCTGTATGCATACGACAATGTGTATTTTAGTGGACTCGTACGTGACTACTGGCCTGTTTAATTTATAACCGGGCGATAGTTTTCTTATCACTATGTCAAACTGAAGAAAGAAGTCAATATTAGCACTAAAGTTTGACGAATTCGTGTATGAATGGAACTTTTAGGCGGGGAGGACACGAATGTACCGTAGGATGTGCAAAAATTATTTGGATGTTAAAAGTTTACGAATTTAGGGATAAAATACACCACGGTAGTGGAATATAATTTGCTCACCTGTTTACATGTAGGAAATATTTGAAATATTCTGAATGGACGAACTAAAGTGTTAGTTGCAAACGTTATGTACATTAAAAAAAATTGTAATTAAAATTATACTGATATGTAAACACTAACTGGCTTATTTTATTTAAGATTCGTAATCTGGGTTTATATTTCCACATCGAATCGTTGCAAACAGCTTGACGATTGTGCGTCTTATTATTATAAAATGACCAAAGTTAGAGCGTCACGGCGCTGTGGGAAAAACTGTATCGACTACTTGAAATTGTACATACTAAAAGAGAGAGACAAATTCTAGATCATCAGGCCTTGAATACACCCAAGAAACAAATATTTTCGTAAGTTCGCAATAAAATCACGATCATAAATTACACGTTCATGTTGACTGTGATACGGTTATCAATATCGTGTGGTCGAAAATTTTTATTAATTGCAGATACCATTCATACATTCATGTACAAGGAAAAAATAATCGCTGTTTTTTTTCTAAATTTGAAAGTCAATTAATACAGATAAAAATAATGGTTTGTTTTTATAAAACATACTAACATTGATAAAATAAGTTAAATAATGACACAATGTCGGTTTAATTTTTTTAAATAACTACATATCTTCAAGGCGGCGTTTTAACTTGGTGTAAGTCTACCACACCAACGGTATTATCTCATCGATAAGACAATTGTTCTGTTCATAGAATTTCATAAAGGATTATCGTAGAAAAGTTGTTTTTGATTTCGCAACTGCATTCGCCGCATCATATAAAACTATTATCACACTGTTATGTATTTCCAACAAAAACAATCGACGGCTACATCTATTAATAAAACATCAACACAGCGGACAACATAACCTTGATAAGGCCAAATTTCCCAAAAGAACTAAAATAACCCACCATTTCGAAGAACCCGACTTTCTCGAAAGTCATCACGTAATGGTAATGGTATTTGCAAAAATTGATAAATCTGTTTAATGGCGATCATTATGTTCGCCTTAGATGATTAGATAACAGAACAATGTCCAATCCAGTTAGGCTCCATGATTCTAATTTGAATGTCACTACTCAAAACCTACCCTCTGCAGAATATCATCCTCCTTAGGCACCACTAACAAGTACAGCCACTCGGGGGTGTTCTGTATCAACTGCACCACCTGGGCGTACGTCTTATTTGTCACCAGCACCTCGTTGACTTTCACCAGACGGTCCCCTTGCCTCAATCCCGCTCTTTTCGCCGGACTCGGATCCTTGACCTGTTTCACGAAGATGGTGTCCATAGGGGCAGACAAGGCCCCCACAGCCGCGTACCTCCCATCGCTCTCCTGCAAACACCGAATTGTCGAAAACGTTCAAAAACCTTCCCAAAGTACTCACCGCTATCGAATCCGGTGGGTAGACGATGAAATGTCGTAACGTGAAGCCAAAACTGTCGCCGTTCCGCTTCAGGCACAAACTCTTAGGTCCTCTCAGTGTTGGTGCTATCCCGGCTGCGTTACTCTGCAAGCGAACGATGGGATTTTAATTCGCGATGTCGTTACTCTTGCTCGGTTATGTCAGTTGACGTAATTGAAATTAATCAAATTACCCAATGAGAATAGGTATTGTTCTAAATTTGATACGCCCTAAGTATAGTTGAGTTTAATGGCACATTCCGTTCTAAATTAAGCGAATCTGCGTGCACGTCTCGGCGGTAGACTCTTCGCTAGATAACTGACTTGCTTGTCGTTTTTGTGGAGTGGGTACGTGAACGTTATCAGAAGAAGCTGACTGCTTTTTCTAGATTCTTTTTGGAGAGGTATTAATCAACGACTTTGTACGGATGAAACAATTGTTATATTTAAGCGACACTGCAACCACTTATCAGTTTAGATTGAATAGTTTGCAAAACGATAAGTATAATTTATCGATAGACTCCACCGAACGTGAAAAAAAATTGTGGCGTCGTGCAATTACACCTTTGTCGTAAATAACTGACAAGTGGAATTGTTAATTCGTTAGATAAGTAAGGGCACAGTCTCTTTTACCGTTCGACGAAAAAGTTACGCAATTTATATTTAGGTTAAAGGAACAAAAAACGCGACAATATCGTGAAACGGTACACAACATTAAAAAACCATTTATTCGTAAAAAATGAATATGTAAACTTACACAATCACAATAGTGTCGAAATATACTCTCGTGACTCACTGATAAAGATAAATATATACATATGCTTCAATCGCATTATAAAACATCCCACTAATCAAATCCACGAAACAGATATACCTACATCGAAAGTGTCAACTCGGCCTGTTACGAAAAGAAACCTCATTAATAAAATATTAGTGAAAACCGCTTCACGAGGAGAAATCATTAACGCAATTTTTTCCATAATTGCGAGAAAATCTCCATGAATTCGACGCGCGCTTATGTTGTTCCACCAAAAAAATTAAACAATTATAAGTACGAATTTTTCGTTTATGGTTCGCGGAACAGTCGGCGTCCGTAAAAAATAAAGCAAAACAAATGACGTCAAGAAACACTGACCGAAACAATATAACTGCAGTTCGAAAAAAAGCTTCTTCAAATGGCAAAGCGCGTCTCGATATTCGCAAGACGCTTCGTTGCTCTCCAGCTCCAAGGATACGTTTTTGTCCCGAGGAATCGCTCAAGTGTGCGAAAAGACAACATTCGCATCTGTGTTTGCGTAGCGAACAAAAATGACAAATTAAGAAGAATGAGAGGCGATTGTACGGACGCACAAAGAGCCAAATACGGTACACATGTGAGAAAACATTTACATTGTTAGCGAAAACATTGTGTCCTTACACACAGATCGACGTCCAAATTTCAAAATGGATATTTTAATGATCTAACACAATATTTCTGGAGTTTACGGAAAAAACCGCTGCTATGCCGTCTCGAACACTGGTTATGCGTTCTAAAAATACAACTCTTGTTTGACCCGAGTCAAAAATTGGGCAATTAATAATACGTTTTTTTTTGTAGAAATCGCTGCAGTAAAAAGACTTCAATCACTTTGGTGTTTCGACGAACCTTGACTACGTCAAAACGAAAAATTCTACGATTCGTAGACAGAAAGAAACCTTCCAACCGCTTAGACCCGCAAGCCCTACAAAATCAAGTGCAACGACATGTTGACCCTTCGATTTCGGAGATTGCTCGACAATGGCAGCCTTGGGCTCTTGTTCTTTGGTCATGACACAGATACTTTTAACGGTGATCGGCAACAACAGCAAATATCAAATCAAATTGCGACATGTCGGGGGGAAGACGCGAGATTTTTGCCCGCATCAATCGTGAAGAATGTGTTGCGCATTTCTGCGTTACGTAAGGAGTTGTGTTGCGTCAACCGACGATAAGAATATTGTGGCAACAAGCGATAAATCGCCGGATTCATTCATAAAATCGAATTATCGGAAGGGGCGTACCGTGGGCAGAACGTTGCAAAAACCTGCGCATAAGACGCTCCAATTATTTACTTAATTTTTATCACATTTAAATTAAGTGGGAGAATGGCGTCATTTGAAAATTACTAAGCTTCATTGTTTGTCAGCGGCCTTCCAAATGGCATGTTTTCCAAACATTTATCCACCTTTCTACCTATTTATCTCGTTCCGAGTAAGTGCGAGATTACAAGAATGTGATTAAGCGCTTTCATAAATATCAATGTTATTGTAATTATGTTGGTTTTTGTTGATAATGCGCACCTGCAAGTTACTTATTACGAAAGTTAATTTATATTTTCGACCGGTGTTATATACACCTGTTTGAGTCGTTCGTCTTTTTTTGCGCTTAACTATAGAACGGTGTGGGTCGCCAAAGACAGACAATGAACCACTTTATTGTGTCGATATTGTGGGAACGTTCCTCGATTAACATAGTCGCGAATAAATTACCAAAGCAAACGCAATTAAAATTATTCACGCATAAATAACTCGGTGAGGCCACTCGAAGGCAGGCAATTATCCGGCGGGGGGAGAGAGGCAGTTTTTTTAATTGAAAACAGCAATCCTTTATGCAGAACTTTTTCTTTCGAGAAAAATCGCAATAAAATGGAATTTTTATTATAGCGTAAAATAAAAGACAAAAAAGACAATTCGATTTTCTGAAATGGTAACATACGACCCTCATCGGGAGCCGCTTTTCCAATCCCCTAAAGAAGTCCGCATCGCTATGTCGTCGTCGGCAAAACCTATGCGTTCTGAAACGTAAAGATGCTCTAAACCACGAGATCTACTCCGGACGCAGGCACAGCTCATTCTTCGAAAATCAGCGGACGTAGTTTATCTCGAGTACCGTCGATTATCGCTTCCCCCTTGCCATGCCGTAATCGATTATACATCCGTTCGAGGTAATCGCTCGCGTGAGCAATTAAATCTGAATATTTACATCGCCCGATTAGCAATTACAATGGCTCTGACGCGACCGCTCTTTTAATCGACAGACTTATTGGTTCTGAGACCTACACCTCTGACACTCAGTCGCCCACTTGAACCGAAAAACCCACCTCGGATGTGGATTTTTTCTGTGTCAGGCGTCGACCGACACTCGCAGACAGCCTGGCGACATTGCGGCAACACTCTCGTTTCGAATCAGCCAGCCGCTCTGCGTGGAGGTTGTCTCAATTCATAAAGGACGATTATTTATTGGATCGGTAATTTATATGCCTCTCCTCGATAAATCATAACAAGCCGCTATTTAGCGTGTCTGATACATGTGTTCTTTCGCGGCGAGTTAATTTAACCAATTAAGCTTGACATTTTTTAGTCAATAACGACGGGAGACTCCAAAAAGCGATGGTAATGTTGCGATGTGAAAAAGCATGGACATTGGAGTTCGAGGATTCGTGGTGACGTTACTGTTTGGACGGCGAGTTGCGTAAGAGATTTCTGGAACATAAACTGACATAGTTTTGTTTGACGTGGCGGATTGCGGCGGCGGCCTTGGGAGTTGGGAGAAGTGATTTGCGGGAAGCGGCAGCAAGAAGTTGTGGAAAGATCGGTTCGTGTGAGTGATACATAGAATCGCAGAAAAGGCGGCGTCGTAGGGCGTATTGATTGATTAATGGATGTGCCAGACAACGTATGGGTCGTACGCGGCAAACGAGACACCGCGGAATACTGCGTCCGGCTGGAAGTACATATTCACCGTTTCGTATTTTTGTGTTCGGCGACGGTAGACGCTCAGCAGAACCTCCTCTTTACAACATCAAAAACATTACGTAGGTAATGCACTCTCGAACATTCAAAGGCTTCAAAGTGCTGCTACGATTACAAAGTTAAGGTCAATTACATCAAATCAAGTAGCTTGTAAACATCTGTAGCAATGATGCAATTCGAGGAAATGCCACAAGATTCACACCGGTACGTAATCCCCGCGAATAGAATAGGTTACGTCATAAAGGTCCAGCTCAGGGTCCGCGCCCGGTTCCTCATTCTTTCGCTTATCTTCGCGACGACGTTATAGAGCCGTCAAACGGATTCTCACATGGCTCCGGAATGCCGTCCGAGGCGATTATCTCGGTCGAGTCGACCTTGGTGGCAGCCTTCACCCCGACTCGTTCCGATCAAATAAGGGTTGATGGCATAATGCACGCTCCTTGTCTCTGCCGAGCCGCTCGGGAGGTGTTCTTTTTCCAGTCTGGACGTAATTTATCGCATTTTTGCAGACGTTAATGCACAGCCTCGACGGCGACTTATTTATCGTGGTGCAGCCAGACGAAGGAAACCGTCTAAGACTTTCCGAAATTATCAATGCAGATGCGGACGACGTCAATACAGGGAGATTCGTAGTAGACGATTCGTAACACGGTCGGGCGGTTTAGCGGAGCAATGCACCGAAAATGGGTCGGACGATTTGTTATGGCAGAATTTCGCCCTACCTCTACTTTCGCAGAGATAAGAATCTATTACGCCTAATTAATTCATTAATGGAGATAATCACTTACCGGAAACCTGTGCTCGACTTGCGTTTCCTGCGCTCGGTGGAATGTTTCCTGCAAAAAGAATCGAAACGTTAGAAACGTGTCCATGGAGATTTTTTAGCAAGAGCGCGCGTTTCGGCGCACCATCTAGGTTACGATCTAGATGACCGCGTCTGTAAAAAACCGTCCGCGGCCTATTAACACCTGCGTAACTGTACATCTAGAACGCAAATATAATAACAGTGGCGGAAACAATGTGGTTATCTGCGAGCGCGGTTGGAGATCTGGCCCACATGCCCAATTTGGAAAAACTTCAAGGGAAAGTTCGTGACATCATCCGGTACGCGTCGATGTTGATTTACGAAAATTCTCACCTCGTGAAAACACCTAGGCCAATCTCGTTGCCGCGATGATTTATGAAAAATTTAAACACCTCGTCGTCATAACGTTTCAGCCGTTACCGCTCCTTAACAAAGACTGATTTATTGCCATCACTATAGCAAGCACACACGATGCTTGTACGCGCCGCATGTACAACGACCATAAATAATAAAAGCACGAAAACGCAAAACGGTGTGTGTGTGTGTATATGGTAAAAACGTCGGGTGTCACTTATCAGGAAGCCAGCCGATCGATTGATCGTCCGACAAGAATCCACTGGGAGTGCAGGAAACCCTGCAAGGATTTAGCCATGATGAAGTTGTGATTTATTAGATCGGCTCAGAACCAGATTTCGACAGAGGCTTTGATTAAACTTTTAGATCACGTATGGCCTACTGATTGCAAAAGCGGCCGCTGCTGCGGATACGTCGGGTCGGCAAACAGAAGCTGTCGGCGTTTTATGAAAACGTTTATTATTTATTGCTGCCGTAAAGAGAATGTCGCCGCTGTGTGTGACACGGCGTGAGGCAACGCAAACCAGTGACCTTTCACTCCAGCGACGTGTAATAAGCGAATCCCTGTCGGAGGGTTGCGGCAGAAAGGAACGATTCACGATTAGGACGATATCGGCACCGCACCGACTGTTAATGCCTGCAGCATTGTCGTTGTTTCCACGGCAAGCAGTCGAAACAATAGGGCCTAATTTTAGTTCTTCGACGCTCACAATGCGTGAGAATTGTTTCTTTTGGCTTTCGTGTGTCACAGGTTTGGGTTTTATATGGCTGGTGGCCTTTGAAGTGAATGATTGTTTCGTGTGTGGGACCATCTCAAATTACCTTCACTTAAAAAACACATTTAAGTAAATTTAAACACTTCGGGGCCACTACTGTTGTATAAATTTTAAGTGTTTATTGACTGTTCTTGTAATTTATGTTTCCAGCGCTGAAGAAACAATCCTACGTGTGAGAATTTATCACAAGTGCTTTGATAGATTGAATTTTCAACATTCCTCCAGCAGTTGTTACGAAGCAAAGCGAAGTAGAATCGACAGAGGAAGAGTAATGATACGTCTGTCAAATACGTTACAATCAAAACATGCGAAGGTGGAATTGACACGATGGAGGTAACAAAATAAACATTCAAACATGTCTGTTCAAAGAACACGGACGTCATATCGCTGCGACTGTTCGATCCGGGACGAAAATTTTTCGAGAATCCAACATAAACATGAAACAGTATGGAAAGTTCAGAGACAAAGAACATTTAAAGTGATTAACGTTTTTTTTTAGAACAACCAAACCGCGCAGTCCTGAATCACAGCAAGCCTAAATGAGATGACAAATTGCGGGTAGCCCAAGAATAAATCAATAACCGTAAAGATAGCTAACCACGATAATAAGTAAATAAAAATAACGCTCCGAGACCTACATTTTTTTAATAAGCTATAAAATCTGAGGGACACGCTAACCCAATTGGCGACCCTTGGCGAATTTTTCTAGCGCTCCCAAACCGATCGTCAAAATTGGCATTAATCCACTCCAATTAGTCCACCGCACGGTAGCTCAAATAACAATCCACTTACATACGATGTTTATCGAATTACATGAATGTTTGTTTATGCCTGGGTAGTGTATAAATCGACTATTTATTTATAAAAAGATTTCCCAGGATACTCGAACGTGTTTGATGCCATCTTATACATAGTATATAAATAGTGTAAATTAATGTTTGCTTAACATTAACCGACTTAATTATTTATTTACGCGACGTGACTAAGTGTGGGTCCGGTCCCCGCATGATTCACGTAATATAGAAAAATGAGCAGCCCGGTTTTTGCCGAACTTGACACATTTCGAATTGGACCGCGGCTCCCGCGGGCATAAATCTTTCTGCTCGTCTAGGCGGCAATTACCAGTAAATATCCTCGACGTTCGCGCTCAACTTAATAAATTATATTTTCAAAGCCGACACCTGACACTCCACCGTTCGCTATTAATTACGGACTCCCGTAATAACAAATATAGGAGCGTTCGGGGGGCGCTCGTTTGCCGCAGAACCAAACCGAAGTAGGTCTAACGGAAAGGCAAATAAATTAATGCACTTTATTTGCATGTCATTAACTTTCTACGTCCGATTAGTACAAGTCGGCTGATTTTTCGCGGGAAAATCGGGACTCTACAAGCGAAAGCGAAGGGTTTTGGGGAAAGCGAGCGATTCGTGTCGAAACCTATTAGGTTTTTACTACAAATTTCTATTTGATTTATGGTAAAATCGCAATGGAAAGTCTCCACGAGTGGACGTAATTCAACGTTCGCGTGGCAGTTGTTCCAAGTAGGTAAATAAACAATTGCATGGCAGGAGGACGTCGGATGCGAACGGCATGTGTAATGATACATGGGACTGAATTAACATATTTAAATGGTTTATAAAGAATCGCTTAGCATACAGCATTTATTATAATGAGAGAAATCCGAACGGGGCATCCGGACGCGGGTAGAACCAATATACTCGTAGATGCCGCTCACCAAAATCTGTCAGAATCGATCCTCGAAACCTCACAAGCTGACTCGCCGAAGACTTTTTTAATGAATCTAATCTTTTACTTCAAACTTTTCTTGAACGATTTCATGTGGTCAACGATTAAACGTTCGTAGTAATAACCGATAATAACATCCAAGTTAATTCTGCACGCTCATAAACTTCAAAATAGTTAAATTAATTTTAGATATTTCGATCTTTCTCTGGGGTTTCTTTTGAACTTCTGCCATTTCACTCTTTCATATCTATGTTTTTTAGGCTAAGTGCGTCGGCATTAGCAAAATGCTCTGTTGATTCATAAAAGACTTTCGGATTTACAACGTCGTTGCCGATTTCGATTCCACATTCTTAACGTATTATTATGTCATCGAAATCTGTTCTAGAAGTAACAAATCCTGGGTTTGTAGAAAGAGCTAAAAATAGGATTCGGATTGCCCAACGGTCGAAGACAATACTGGCACATCGTCTAAACGGACGTTCGCATTCTAAAATTATAAGAATACTTTTTTCCTCGAACCTTCTTCTCTGTCACGGCAATTTTTCACTCCGCGTTTCACAAACTTCTACACTAATCGCTTCTGCCGAATCTTCTATTCTCTCTCTGTCTCGATTTCGACACTTTCCCTAGCCCGTTATCCAATCAACAAATCGGCAACTTTTCGGCCTGCTTACACTTCCACAGATACTACATTTTCCCAACTAGAATAACCAAACATGTGTGTTTAGATAACTACAAATTGAGGAAGCGACAGCTTACATTAAAACCGTCCGCCAACTTTATTACAAACAACTAAAAATCAAAGTTTTGATGTCTTCCCGTACGTCATCCATCCGTCGAGAAACGCCCGTGACGTATCTTCACACTCTGACGTTTGTTTCATCCTGAATCCCGAAATCTTCCGTTCGCTGATGATCCACTGCGTCCATTAATCAACAGCCGCATCATCAACTTTCTTCCTGTTGCAACGTATCGCGGATACGCACAAAAACGATTATTAATGATGGCCATCGAGGAAATGGTTGTTAATCAGAAGAGGTAAAGTTTGATCGTGTTTTTCTACCTGGTCGGATGATAAATTGATGGACCATGCGGGTCATTGTGGTGATTAGCGAAGACGTGTTCGAGTCGGTGCTTCCATAAATTATGCTAATTCCCGATGGGCACCGATAAGATGGAGTCATTAGTGGTTAATATTAACGCGTATCATCGATAAATCCGCTGGGTGTGTGGTAATTTATGAGAGATTTTCTGCCGATTTTACCTCGCTCGTACATTTAAATATAATGGCGGTTCGGAACTCGTCCGTACACAAATCAACCTGCGTCGCTCCTGGACCATTCAAGTCAATACGACGTCGGCATTTAAAACAAAACCTAACAGTACACCGCGGTCGAGAAGAAAAAAATGTCGAAAGTGGTGTGATTGTGAACAGTGAACAGTTATGTGCATTTGCATGCTAATTCCAGACATCAATATATTCCAAGGTTTTCTGATGGTTTATATATAGACACATTATCAATACCTGTTTGCCAACTTGTCCGCGAACAAATTGCCATACCAATAATAATTATAGACGTTCCATCTATGGAACAGGACTCTCATTCATTTTCGATCTCTGCCCTATCCATTGACGCAAGCCTCGGACATAAACACCGCCGCGAACTCGTTACTTTCCACAAAACCACCGTGTCGCTTATTTATAATTACGAACCCGTAAAATTCGATGTGTTTCGTTTCAAAATAAGTTTCAATATCTCACCAATAAATAATAAATCACGTTACGACACTGGCTCCGATCCAGCAGATTTGATTTATTAATACTTGGCCAAATTACGGCAATAAACCGACTCTTTCGCTCACTTTGCACAAAAACGACGCACCGGCAACACGAAAAAAACGACAATTAAGAATCGAAGAGCGTGTTTTGCCCACGCCGACACGCGAAAACATCATAATCAACCCGACAATCGACGATCTGTCGACGCCAAAATAAAAAAGACTTAACCTACATGGCAGACCTGGACTTTCGCCCACGCCTTTTGGCAACGTAAGAGTCTAGACCAGCGCATACTACATGATTTTTGCTGAAAAATTATAACAATATTTTGTTTAATCTTCGAGTCATTCAGGCGGTTTCCTGCGTCAGCCTACT